CGCCAAATGCGCCTAAAACATAGGTCATTGCTTCTAAAAAAGAAGGCTCTGCGCCAACGTGGCCCTTAAAAATTGCCCCTTTAAAATCTGAATTTTCATATTAGGTGATCATTCGAAATTTTCAGCATTACAATTAGTGAGAGCTTTTTCTATTCTTCACGATTTCATCCTTAGTGCTTTTGTCTTCACCAAGTCACAGCTACCTACTAGTTCTGTTACAAAAACATCTAAATTTGCGTCTAATTTTTCACTAAATATGCCGTAATATATAGGCAAAAAGTCAATCTGGCCCCTAAAAAATCTTCAATGGCGCCTAAAATTCAGGCTTGATGCGCCCCATGGCTCCTAAAACTCAAAGGTGAGTTTGGAACACTGCTTGCGCTCATAGTGAAAACGAAATTTTTAGACTTTACTTGTTTTTCATCATTATTTAGATGGCGTCTGATTAGATCACAAATCTTAGAAATGTGTAATCTTATTAGGCGCAGTTCGAGGCTTTCATAGCGCAAATTTATCATAAAATGCAGAAAAATTACGCTTTCGTACCTTTAACACAACATACTTTCGAATTGTTGCATTTAACAAATCTGAAATTTGTTTGAAATTTTAACTCTGTTTGGACGCATTTCGAGGCTACCGTAACACAGATCTTCATGAATTTCCGCAGAAAAACTTTTTTTTTACCTTAACACGAAATACTTTCGAATTGTTGCAATCAACAAATCTGGAAATTGTTTGAAATTTAAACTGTATTTAGACGCATTTTTTGACGAAAATTTTATAAAATACTAATCAAATGAACACTGTGGTTTCATTTAAGACTCTACATCAAAAGAGATAAATATCTTCGAAGGCCTCAAACTTTTTCTTTTCTCGTCTTTCCTCATCATCTTCTGTCTCCTCTTTCCTTCACTCTTTCCCCCTTTTTTTTGCTTTCGGAGGGGGGGGGGTGGGGGGCTTGAGCCCCGTACCTGAAAGTGACATAGAACCCTGTGGGCATATCCGGGTGGTATTACCAACGGCAGGTGGACGGTAGAGTCGTGGGCTGCCCAGCGCATATTGCATCTGTCATCTAGTACCTCGCTCATTACAGATATGAGGCTGAACTAGAAAAACTAAGCGTTTGCTAGATGAATACGCGTCATTTCTCCAAAATTCTACAATGGTAGCTCCAAATGAGTTGTCTGATGGGAGGAACCTGATGAAGAGGCAACAGATGAGGAAGCGGTAAGGAGGCTAGGCAGGAGTGAACCAGGAAAACCAGAGTTTCCAATTATTTTTGGGAAGTAGAATTCTGATCGATCGCAGGCAATAAAAGTGACGGAGGGCAGGGCTTGTCAGGGTGGGTAAAAAATCAGCATTGAGAACTCGTGATTCTGACACATGGCTTACTTTTTATTCGGATCCCAGATCACGGTCAATGTTTCAAAGTTGCATCTTCGTGCGTAAATATCACGTCAAAAATTCGTAAGATAATGGGTCGCCTACAAGCCCAAGATCATAAAAAAAACTTTACCTGCAAAAAATATGATCTATTTGCATCCCTGAATACAGTAATTTGAGTCCTACGTATTTATTTAATGCGCATAATGCGAAATAATGGCTCAAATCTTGGGCCAACTCGGAATAATTTTCTCGATTTTTACCGATGATATGTGGCAATGCCGCGCCGCGATGGGAGTCTCTTTAGATAAATACATGTAATGAACAAAATAATAATAGATAAATGCATGTGCATATTCACTAGTCATGTGATCGTTACGTATGAAAAATCAAGGGTTTTGAACTTTGCTGAATGAGCTCGACGAAGAACAGCCTCCAAATACTGAAATAATCACAAATAGTTTTCTGTGATTTTAGGCAACAAAATATGGCAACACCGGCTTTTTCTTTGGAGGGGGGGGGGGGCTTTTAATTCCATAAAGTTTTTTGGAGGGCTACGTACAATTTCCGCCAAGGAATCTATTTCTGGTTTAAGATGAGTAGCCCTTTTTTATGCCATTTTAATAATAATGATGAAAAACAAGAAAATTCTAAAAAGTTCGTTTTAACTATGAGCGCAAGGGTTGCCATCGACGAAAGTTGGCCAGAGTGACTATATCTTACACCCTTAATGAACATACTTGAAGGAAAATTTGCTCCTCCGATGATATTTGATCGTTATGAAACAGCGGGCGCAGCGCGTCGAATGCCAAGAAACCCGAATTTTCCGCAAAAATTAGCCTTCAGACTCATGTTTAGGCCAGCATTAGACCCCTAAATAGGCCGAAAATGACAAAAGCATGACACATTCCGTAAAATTTAGACTCCCAAGAAGCAAAAAAATCGTAAAATTGAAGAATTTCAGGGTATGGGCCGAAAAACGGCCCTTATCGAAACCCCTAGCTCCTTTGGCAAATCCCCTTAATATCAATAGTCATTTACCGGCCTGCGCCTCTAACTGGCAACCATGTCGGTAGCCATTTTCGATTCGGAGGCTTAATTTTTTGTAGGAATAAACATTTGATCTCCTATTCGAACTCCTTGCCCCACAAAACTAAATTTTGAACGTATTGCTTATCATAGCTGCGCTAAATTGGTGTTTCAGCCGTAAAACCGGTGGCCATTTTGGGCGCCATATTTGATTTTAGGGTCTCTGGAGGGCCGCAGCGAAAAATGGACCTCATTTTCGGACTCTACGACCCCGAAAACCTAATAATTGATACCTCACTATGCACTTGGGCCCGTATAGGCAAATTAGTACCCCTGAGTGGTATTTTTGACCGCCATCTTGGATTTGGAGCCCTCCTTTGGGTCGGGGGTGTTTTTAAATGTGATATTCGGATTCCTCGTGTCATTTTACATAGGAATCGACATCTGACTCGACGCTATCCGCAAAATTTAAAACTTTCACCATGGCGGCGGCCATCTTGGACGCCATCTTGAATTCTGGGCGTCGGTTCAATTTTTGAACTTGACACCATCGAAATTCTGATTCTAGACATCCTAAAGAAGAGAATAACATATCACAACAATTTTACCCACGAAACTGCACACGGATGCACATGTGGTACTGGACTAATCTATGTACTAATGGGTTAAAACTAAAGATTGCGATTGCGTGCTTCTTGGTTTTTTCCCCTCTTTTATTCATTTTTTCAGTTTCTATCGGCACAACCGAGGCTCATTGAGATTAATGTCGCTTGGAAAAGGTTTTACAAATATTTACCACGTTTTAGTAAACACACAAAAATAGAAGAAATTCACAATTTATGTATTTTACGAAAGATGAAGAGGAACCGGTGTTTTTCAATATCTTTCATAAATTTCTGAAATTTCGCGCGAAATTTCAAGATTTTATTTTTCATGAAATATTGCAACCCTGCAGCTGCATCTCTCTCGCTGGTCTTGTCTTCTTACCAACAGGAGAAATGCTGCTGTTTCAGTGGTTTCGTCGAAAAGAGACTCTTCATGTTTAACATTTTTCATTGGTATGGAGTGTAGCCAAGTGCTAGAAATAACGTAGCATTTTCTTTAAAAAAAAAAACACATTTTATTAATAAACTGTGACCGAAGCTTTTCGAAGCAAGCGCTTCATCGTCAGAGTCACAAAGTGTAAATCACAATGGCCACAATTTAAGTAATTTCAACATTTGATCTGTTAATGTGTTATCAATTGTTACCACTGAAATCTGTTACCTTGCTTGAAATTACCTAAAGTATGGCCTTTTTGATGTATACTTAGTGACCCTGACGATGAAGCGCTTGCTTCGAAAAGCCTTGGTCAAGTTGTTTAATAAAATGTGTCTTTTTTAAAGAAAATGTTAAGTTATTTCTAGCACTTGGCTACACTCCTTACCAATATATTCAGTGCTACTATCTTGTAGACATTGTGTAATACAATGTTCGCTGGACTTGGGCATTTTTGACGCGGGCTCATTCCGAATTTCATTTGAAATTTCGATGGAGATGTTGCATGTGTGAGGAATTTGCGATTTGACTGTTGGTTCCTGTGTAAAAGTTCGCGAGAAACACGGTGGTGCCACTGGTTTTCTCTGAAATCAACTTTCAAGCTCAAGAAAAAAGCTCTCAAATTGATGCCAAAATGGAGGGGATATCCCACGCTACCCTGAGAGTCCACCTCTGCATCAAGACAAACTCTCCATGCGAAGATAGGGAGAAAACACATTGACAGGGGTGCCACTTCATTTGGGGACTCCAAAACTGAAAACATGACATCACTGCTAATGTATTTGCTCCCTATCTTTACAAGGAGAGTTTGTCTTGATGTAGAGGTGGACTCTCAGGATAGCGTGGGATATCCCCTCCATTTTGGCCTCAACTTGAGAGCTTTTTTTGAGCTTGAGAGTTGATTTCAGAGAAAACCAGTGGCACCATCGTGTTTCTCGCGAACTTTTACACAGGAACCAACAGTCAAATCGCAAATTCCTCACACATGCAACATCTCCATCGAAATTTCAAATGAAATTCGGAATGAGCCCGCGTCAAAAATGCCCAAGTCCAGCGAACATTGTATTACACAATGTCTACAAGATAGTAGCACTGAATATATTGGTATGGAGTGAAGCCAAGTGCTAGAAATAATTTAACATTTTCTTTAAAAAAAGACACATTTTATTAAAAAAAACTTGACCGAGGCTTTTCGAAGCAAGCGCTTCATCGTCGGGGTCACTAAGTATACATCAAAATGGCCATAATTTAGGTAATTTCAAACAAGGTAACAGATTTCAGTGGTAACAATTGATAACACATTAACAGATCAAATGTTGAAATTACCTAAATTGTGGCCATTGTGGTTTACACTTTGTGACTCTGACGATGAAGCGCTTGCTTCGAAAAGCTTCGGTCAAAGTTGATTAATAAAATTTGTTTTTTTTTTTAAAGAAAATGCTACGTTACTTCTAGCACTTGGCTAAACAGACACATTCTATTAAAAAATGTTCATTGATACATTACAATTTTCATCATTTCAATTGACACGATGATTTAAACTGTTGTAGCGCGATCGGCTGGCGTTTGGGTCTGCAACTGGTAACGGTGACGGTGTTCCTGACGTTCTTCCTGGGGACGTGTTACCGCTCGGCGTCCCTGTACCACCCCCAGCGGCGGGCCATCCTCCACCTCAAGAACCAGAAGCGGAAGATCAAGGACAAGAACAAGAGGGACGACAAACCGCCCTTCTTTGATTTCAGCACTCTCCGCAGCAAAACAGTCAGGATCCTCCTCATCTCGACTGGCATCAGTGCCTTCGGCATCAACACGCCCATCTTCTACTTGGTGAGTGACCAGCAGGCCGATTATTGAAATTAATAGACAAAGCCATAGACAAAGAAGACAAAAGAGATATGGAGAGAGCCTATTGGTGGAAGCGCGGTGGTTGCAATGGATAAAAGAGGTAGGTAATAGACTAACTTACGGCAACTCGCGAGAGACCCGACTGTTAGTCTATCATTTTCTTTCTTTGTCTATAGGAACCACCCATGTCAACCAATAGGATCGCTCCGTACTCCCTATGTCTTCTTTGTCTATAACTTTGTCCATCAATTTCAATAATCAGTCCGCAGGGTGTCTACAAGTCCGGAAATAGCACTGATTTTTTAAGGGCGGTCCGGAAGTACTGAAAAAGTGCAGATATTCCGCAAGAAGGTCCCGATTTTTTTTCATTTTGTTTGTCATTTTTGCTGCAATTCGAGCGAGGAATTCAAATTTTGGAAATTGTTTGAATCTCGTAAAATTGAGGTACTGAAGAAGTTCTGAATTTTTCTGTTGAGGGGGTACTAAATTTTTTGGGGATGTACTGAAAAAGTACCGCTGTAAATGTAAAAGTACTGCTTTTTGGGCAGCCTGTATTAGTAGACACCCTATTTATTCGACACAAGAGTCCCGTCAGTTGGCAGTTACGAAAACGCCTTCAATCAAGGCGTGATACTTCACGCATTCCGAAAAGTACGAATAGTTGTATCGTTGCGCCTGTTGTTTGTATTGCGGAACTTTAGGATCACGTTGAATACCTCGTAAGCATAACATTCAGAGCCGGAGTTTTTAGGTAGATTTCGAAGAAATATCTACCTATTGCAGACGGTACGACCTCGTAATTTTTGGGAATTTTCGCTCAAAGAGCATGAAAATCTTTCGTGAAATCTTTCCTTGAATCTTTCCTTTTTCGTGAAAATCGCTCCACCCCTTATCCGGAAAATCTCAAGTCCAAAGGGGGATGATTTTTCAAACTCTTCCGATCTTAGTTGGTGGTAGGTCAAAAAACTCGTCTCGTCGTGGCCTTCAAAACAACTTATATTCACTTACCCTCTAAAAACACCCCTTATCCGGAAAATCTCAAGTCCAAAGGGGGATGACTTTTCAAACTCGTCCGATCTTAGTCGGTGATACGTCAAAAAACTCGTCTCGTCGTGGCCTTCAAAACAACCTATTTTCACCTACCCTCTAAAACCGCCCCTTATCCGGAAAATCTCAAGTGCAAAGGGGGATGATTTTTCAAACTCGTCCCATCTTAGTCGGTGGTATGTCAAAAAACTCGTCTCGTCGTGGCCTTCAAAACAACCTATATTCACCTACCCTCTAAAACCACCCCTTATCCGAAAAATCTCAAGTCCAAAGGGGGACGATTTTCCGACCTGTCAGGCTCATTAGGCGCAATTGTTTTCACAGAAACGATTAGTCGAAATCTACCTCTCGTTTCCACTGTGGCTGGAAAGCGTTTTTTTTCAGTGGGCGTGTTGATGATTTATGAAGAATTAAGGATGTGCTTTTCTCTATGTTCTCAGGCACACCAAGTGGAGGAGGACGGCCTGGGGGACTCGGCGCTGCTGCTGCAGACGTACCTGGGCCTGGCGTGGGCGGTGGGGTGCGTGGCGTTCGGGGTGGTGGTGGTGCACAACTCGGTGGAGTGCCGCATCGCGCGGCAATACCTCTGCCAGGCGGCCGTCTTCATGTGCGGCGTCTCCATCCTGGCCCTGACCACCGTCCAGGGCAACAAGTACGGCTACGTCCTCTTCGTCTGGATCTACGGCATCTTCTGCGGCGGCTACCACTACTCCCTCAAGATGTACACCTACGAGCGGGTCCGAGCCCGCAACTTCGCTCGCACCTGGGGCTTCGTCCAGTGCTCGCAGGCCATACCCATCGCCCTCGGGGTCCCTATCTCTGGTGAGTAGACCTCCTGTCCTGCCGTCCTAAGACAGAGCCAGGGTGTCTGAAAGTCAAGAATTTCCGGAAAGACCGGAAATAGCACTGATTTTTCAAGGGCGGTCCGGAAGTACTGAAAAAGTGCGGAAAATTCGCAAGAGAGTCCGGTTTTTTTCATTTTTGTCGTAATTTGAGCGGAAAATTCAAGTTTCTGAAATTTTTCGAATTTCGTCAGTTGAAGGTACTGAAGAAGTACTGAATTTTTCTGTTGAGGAGGTACTGAATTTCTTGGGAATGTACCGAAAAAGTACTGTAAAATTACTGATTTTTGGTCTGCCTGTTTTTGTTGACACCCTGCAGAACGCCGCGCCGTATGAACATTCGAGAGTTTCCATATTTCCTTCGTAAAACGTTTATTTTTGAGGGAAATCATGAATATTTTTCTTTAAAATTTTCAGGAACTTCAGTTGCAATTGCGAGCACAATTAACCGAAAAATTAGAAGGTAAATATTCATAAGTTTAACAGAAAATTTATGATTTGCCAGGTGATCCGAGTTTGATGGTCACGCGGCCAACTGTTACTTGGAGCTGACTTGATTATGGACTGAGGGGGATGGGAATTTAGGAACTGCAAGTTTGGGATTACCCCCTCAGAACATTTGAGGGGCTTAGAAGACAAGGCGCATAAGTGCATTCATTTGCTACTTTGAGAAATACGAGTTTATAGTTTAAAAATTACATGGATTCTAATGGCCGAAAGAAACTTCAAACTGACTTCTTGATATTTAAAAATTGGAATTTGGAACCAAATTTTTCACGAAATATGCATTAAGACTAGCTTTACTTCAAATCATTAATATCTCAATTTTTTCAAAAGCTGCACTTATGCGCCTTGTCCTCCAAGCCCCTCATTTGAAGTATAAAAGTAAAAAAAAAAAAAATTCTAAAAAAAAACCCTCGAAATCCCACCGAAGCCCGATTTTACCACCAATGCTCTGTGCTAGTAAAGACACCATATGTATGTATAGGCAATGAGCTGTTGTCGGATCTATTTTGATATAAAGTAAAAAATTCCGGGAGGATTTGTGGAAATTTTCTTCCATTTTTTCCAGATACTTTCAACTCTGATAATTGAATTTACCATATAGCCACTAAATTCTTGAATGCAGCATTCAAATTGTTTTTGTCAAACGGTGGGCCTTGGGTTGCTACATTATTTTTATTTTTAGTCGTGCTCGCATGCTGCCAATCCTCTCTTTTTAAGGAACAGAAAATAAGAAGAAGAAGAAAAAGTGCAACGGCTGAGGCAATTAAATGTTCTCTATCCCCTTAAATATACTCGAGGCTTGGAGATCATTTGATATGATTATTGATACTTGTGGAGAATGGACCAGCCATTTAATGAGGATTGCTACTTTTTATGAATAAAGTAGGTTTTATATGAATGAAACTGAAAAACAAAAAAAAAACGGAGAATTTTCCATTTTTTAATGGAAAAATAATTACTTTGCCTCACTGACTATTTTTGAGTTTCTAATGCCTCCTCCAAGGAAAGTAGGTACGGTTACAGGACATTTCGTCAACGATTTTTTGTCCGCGCACCTGTTTTATTCAGTAATTTACGTCCACGTGTTTTTTCGGCACGGGAGTTTTGGTTCACGTGCCAAAATATAGTGTTATAATACTGTGCAACACCTCTGTTGTGAAATAGTTGCTTCAGGCGCCGCCGCACGGCGGGCGGCCAGCAAGAAACGCGCACTGGCGCCTACAAACCCAAGTGGATACTTCAAGCATTGTGCAATGCGTGAAGTATCCACTTAGGTTTGTAGGCGCCAGTAAGCCTCTCGCGCTGGCAGCACGTCTCTCCGCTCTGTTAGGCTTTAATATTTATACTCGCATAGTCAGCGGTTTTTAACTCATGATTTTGAAATGTTAACACACTCTGCATTGATTATTCTCATTCAAATTGATGGGGAAAAAATATGTATCAATTTATCAAAGGAGAATGAATATATAATGTGTGTTTTTTAAATATTGGTGGTTCCGTGTCAAATTTAATGATTTCCAAAGCACTTTAATTTGTTCTTTTACATTTTGTGCTTTTATTGTGCTGCAGCGAGGTGTACGCGCAACGAAACGCAAAAAATTTGATGTATTTGACTCTAAAAGATTAATGTACAAATGGGTTAAAACTAAAGATTGCGAGCTTCTTGGGTTTTTTTCCTAGAAATAAAACCAAATATTCACCAATGACAATTTAGAAAGATGATTCAAAAGGAGAAAGTGATAACATTTCATTTAGAGAATGAGCAACCATAACAACACCTCCTTCTCTCTCAATTTCTCATTTCCATATTGTCAATATAATTTTACATAACTACTAAAATATAACGCTTGGACCAAGTCACTGTTGCTAATTTTATATGTGGGCGTAAACTACTGGACAAAAAAGGTGCGCGGACAAAAAATCGTTGACAAAATGTCCTGAAACCGTAGGTACCACACGTAAATCGTCAATCTGTACGGAGAGATCTCCCTCCCCCCTCCCTCCACCCCCCAAAAATTGTAATGATACCTAACGTTTAAATTTTGAAATGAAAATGAGAACCTGACAACTTGAACTTGCAATCTGCTGCTTGAAAAGTTCATGAAATTTTGACCATGATGACTGCTGAACAACAGCAGATGAGTCATCATCCTTCCATTTTAGATATCAGTCATGATGAAAGTTCAAGAGTGCGCTTCTCCTAGCTTTTTAAGACTTACCTCCGCAAAATGAGGTAAAGCTATGCTTTGTTGGTGCTCGCTAATTTTACAACCCTTGTGATCTCTGATATTTTTCAGGCTACATAAATGTGGGGTGTGGCGGAAAGACTGGTTATTATTTTAGTTCAACCTGCGTTATTGTAGGAAGCTTATCGTTATTTTTCATCGACTTACATCGGCGGAGCCTGGCGCGGCATAAACACAACGACTCGGGAGTCAAGAAACTCTGCGTCTCAGAAGCCTGTCCGCAGAGAAGACGCCTCTCTTTTACTGCCGAACCAGAGGAACTTGTCGTTGTCGAGCAACCACCAGTTGGTAAGTTTTTCAATAATTTTTTGGTGAAATACGTACCTTTCGATCAAGATCGACCTCCTCACCAAAAATTGTGTTCAGTCAATTATAGGCACAATTTTGACTGTCTCTATCCACTTCTTACAATTAAATTACAAATAATATAATTCGAATTGGTCAATTTATCAATATATGTGATGAAAGCACATTAATATTTCAACTAAAAGAATAAAAACCATAATTTAATCTTATATATTTATGGTAGGCTTGAGTACTGAAGATTCTCTTTAAACAAAAATTTAAGAGTGATAATTTCAGTTAGAATACCTAGATATTCACTAAAGATCCTAGACTCCGTAAAAAAATTCAAGCTGTCTGCTGACACTGTGATAATTATCTATACATTTTAATTTTCATGTTTGTGAATTTCGTTGTATTCTTTTAAGACTATCATCATTTTTTCTTCCGATTTCTCCTTTAAAAGCCGCATGCTTTGGAGTTTCTTATTCAGAAAGTTACTAATGAAATCCACCGATGGCTCAACTTAGAACTCTTGCATCTTCATTTACGATGTTGCAAACCACCTAATATACCTACATTATTTTTTAATAAAGATTTTTTTTTTAACTCACATCACTCTTAAGAAGACATTTTTTTAACTCACAAGATCTCTGTATGATGAATATTCTGTTACAAATTTTTAAAAAAAAACTTTCCTCATTCTTGTATGAATGAATAGAGGGAAGGTTTGGAAACGCTCCGACAAGATCTTTGTTTTTAGGTTTGGGCATGAAAATTTGTGTTTTTGATTATTTTCAAGCAATCAGTAACCAGTTATTATTTTTAATTGTTTTTTTAGCTGGAGCCCAGTCTGGAGACAAGCCAGAGCTGACATGTATCTCTGAGGAAGGTATTGCGGACATGGATCTGCCTGACAATATCCTCGACGATCTAGATTATATTGGAGACTGCATTACCTCTTGTAATAAAGTAGAAAATTTCCTAATGTTAAGTGAATATGAGAATAATTTAATAGCCGAAATGCCCTATATAATGGACAAAAAAGGGCGGCGCTGGTCTCTGGCTAAGCAGTCAGAGGAGGACCCCACCAAAACTAAATGGCGACGTATTCCCGCCCCAAGCAGTAGGCTTATTACAGTTATAGATGAGGCTTCTGTTTAACAGAGCCGCCATTTGTAAATAGTTGTTTCAGATGTTAAAATTAATTGATTAATTTATTCATTTATTTTATTTGATCCAGTTATATTTGAATCCTGTAGGTAGGCAATTAATTGTTCGGCGTGATTCAGATGTTTTTCATTCTTCCTTTCTCACTTCCTCTTGAGAACTTGGTTCAAGGACTGACAAAGGTGACATGAAAAAATTAGCTTGGATCAAGCTTCACCTTAAGGTACTTGAATATTAAAACCAGTACACTTGATACCAATTACTTTCATTCACACAGTGACTTAATCATGTATATTGAGATTCTTTTTCTCTTTCCACTTAGTGGAAGGAAAGTCCTAAACTTTGCTATTCCTTATAATTGATGTGTGTATCACAGTATGTTAAAAACTAACACTTGTTAAATACAGCATTCTCTCCCTATAACAACAACAGTTAAAACAAAAATGGCTATAATTAAAGAGACATCTGGTCCATATTCCGATGTAATTTTGTTGATCGTCGCTTGTTATGACGAAAATTTCTCTATATCAAAAAATCATTCTGCTCACTGCCAATTTGTTGAAGGGAAGGTGTATTGTTCCTACGCTTGGGAGTAGAGGAGGAAGAATGCCATCAGCCAGTGACTATTCACAACTTTTTTTTTTTGACTCCCAGTTGTTTTCTTCCTTTTTTAAAGTAAAACGGTTTTAATGCCTAGTATCAGTGACTTTCAATCCAGCAAAAATAATTTCAAACTTTAGGATAATGTGAATACGTCGCTTATTTTTACTTTTTCCTGCCAAAGATTATATACGAAGAGAGTCACCCAAATTTGGTTTTATGTATTAAGGAAAACCACAAGCCATTGTAATTCATAAGTTTAAGTAAAAAAATAGTGTATTTCGGAAAATACACTAAAACACATTATTTTTAAACGTCCTGCCAAAGCGAAAAAAAAAAAAGAACTGCCAAGGATTTTTGTAACTTTTGATACATAGGTACCTAATTATTTGGAACTTATAAATCTGTAAGTTAAAGTTTCACTGTCTCCCTGTTCATGTTCCAATCTGCTGGTACTAATGAAAAATCTTTCATGATGTAACCATAAGATACAGCAAGGTTTTTTTTATCCGTAGAACGCATTATCTGCAAGCATATGTAGCGTTTTACTGAAATGCATGGAACAGGGTGGACTACTGCAGTGGACCGAGATATAAGAAAAAAAAACCCGGTTCACTGCGATCCTCAATGGTTTGGCCAAAAAAAAAACCCAGTGCCCTATTTATCGTCCGTATTACTGTCTATATTACTGTCAGAATATTCTTAAACCTTCAAGGAAGGAAGACTGAAGCATTTAGTTTCAAATACTCAAGTTAATTTTAACATTCATTGAAGAATTACACGCTTATTACGTATCAGAATTCTACCCTCAGCTATCATGGTGCACCATGTTGTGAAATTTGTAAGTACTGAATACTTTTACAATACAACCTAATTTAAAACGAGGCCTGCAAATATGTTCTTGAACTGGAAATTTATAGTATAAATAAGATCAGTAGGGTTTGTATGGAATTCTTATATCTTCCATTAATGGAAGAGCATCATTGTCCTGACAGGTGCCTATGTCACGTTAAGGGTATTTTTAAATTGCAATGGACCACTTAACAAAGTATTTTATTACTTGTTCACCACTATAAATGTGCTCTTATTGAAATGTCAAGTAGAACACGGTAGATGCATCAAAACATTCTAAATCCTGCCCATAAGTGAGAAATATTTTGTCGTTGTCAATTCACATTTTCCGCTCTTTAAAAGAACCTAAGGAGTAAAACTGAGTATTAAACTAATTTTGGTGTATTTTGCGATTTCCTGTGTGGTGACTTTTTTTGTTTAGAGTCTTAAAATGCTGTGTATCAGAGGAAAAAGAAAAAGTGAATGAAACCAAAATCCAGTTATTTGCCTGGTGTGAAGGTTGTTCTCAATCGCTGATTTGACGTTCGTTGATGATGGATTCTTGTGAGAGGCAGGTTTAAATTTAGTGTTTATAATGGAAGCTACTAGTGTTGATTTCTAACTCATTGGTTAGTTTTGGAAGTTTTTGATGTGTTCAACGCGTTTTTAAATGAAATTTTAATGAGGAATCAAGTCTTTTGAAGGTCTAATTCTTATGTTGTCTTAAGGTCTTTTCATTGTAACATCTCGTTAAAATGCACTGTGTCCAAAGAAAATTAAAAGTACATGCAATGTTATATCATCAACATGGAATTTTGAGTTAATTTATAAAATAACGTGTTTTTCTCTCTTTTAATTTATTTATTTTTTTTTTCTGTTATCTCCGATGATTATTTTTTAAAAACAGTATTATTATGTTACGTTCTCCTTATATATTATGATTTAATTAATAAATGGCTGCCAAAATACTGATTTGATTTGTTATGAAATCTATCCTGGATACATGCCTCCCCCTCCCCCTTCTACTTCTTTAGAATTGAAGACCGTCAATAAAGTCTCCGCAGATGTCCAAAAACCTCTTTGAGTACTCATCATGATCTGGAGTGAATTCACAGAAAGTTTAAAAGCCTTATTAAGGTTATCTATCAGTTTTCTATCAAAAAATTAAAGCGTGAAAGAAAATCAGGCAACTGGAAATGCAATTTGGCTGATTCTGTCAAATCTGTCTATTTCAGTGGGAAAAAAAGAAAAAATGTATCAAAATGACTTCAGTTGTCTGACTTTAACTAATGATGTCAATTTCCTTCATCTATTCATTGCTATAAGAATTTAAACCCAAAAAACAGGACAGATATTTCACTAATCAATTTTATTAATTAGATAAAAATCAAGAAATAAGATACAATATAACCATTTTAAATCAACAAATTCAGACAAATTGGTACAACACCCGAAGGCTGATTATGGAAATTTATAGACCATGAAAACATAGCGAGTATGAAGAGATCCTATTTGTTGAAACAGGTGATTCTCATAGACTAAAGGAGAAAATAATGGAGTAGCTATGGGGTCTCTCTACGGTTGCCGATAATCTGTCTAATCCCTAGCTCCTGTGTCCATTAAAACCACCCGCTTCCACCATTTGACCACCACCCACCATTCCACCATTTTCGTTTATAGATTTGTCAATCAATTTCAATAATCCGCCCGCTGATCCAGTCATGAAGCTTTAATATTGCTGATATTTTATAGAAAAATTAGGTCAAACCCCCACTGGTTGTGACAATATTCTTCCAAGAAATGTGTCAATCTCTTTCAGTTCAACAGAATCATTGAGATTAATTTTTCACACATCCATTGAAGCACACGAAAGAGAGCGTTGCTCTTGATGTTGAATGATAAAAAGGCTCTTCATGATTTGGACTGGTGTTCCACCAAAGGTTTTAAAAGCTAAAAAATATTTTATATTCGAGCTCAGCGGAAAAATGTCTAAAATAAGGAGAAAAAGAGAGTAAGCTTAGGTACATACGTTAAGATTTCGCTACACAACCTTGTTGTTAATTATCACAATGAAATCAGTGTTGTTCCGGATGCATGAAGGAAGGAACAGTGATTTCAACTGACTTCAATTAACTGAAAAAATTAATACTATTCGAAAAAAATTAGCAGATTTCTAAAACCTTGCCAGAACACTCCTCCATTTAAAAGAGTAAAATTAAAGATTGAAGACCTTCCCTGTCGAGAGGAGTGCAAGATCACTATTCAATGCAGTCTCCTTTAGAGACAACTTCAATTACTTTTTGAAATTATTAGTCTCACAGTGGTGTTAATTAATTTCATTTTCAGGCGGAAACTCTCAGAAAATTTTAATTCCTTTTTGAGCACAGTTACTTTACACACAAGCCGAAAAAAATTTCATCCGTATTGCGTGAATACTAATTAATTATTCATAAAAAGCGGCTTAGAGGTACAAGAAAGAACTATATTAAATTGTACTAATGTTACAGTTGCAAAAATTCAACTGATAGTTTCATTCTAAATATTATGTTCAGAAATTTATTGAGTGATCCAATTTGATCAGAGTAGATATTGAGCACTATTCAAATATAATAAAGATATGACGATTGGTGACTTTGACCAAAATGCTCAAACGTTCAGGATTTGCGCCCTCTCAGGCACTAGATGTTTGACATTCCATGGAAAAAGGTCGGCAGATTTCTTACAAGAAACAGTTTCTGTTTATTCTCATCAAATTAAATGTTAAAATACGAAAATTAGTTTAGTTGTTTGACAGAAACGCCTCTGACAGCACCAGGAGGCAACTGCACCAAAAGCAAGTTCATTCACTTTCATCCAGGCAGAAAGTAAAAATTAACTTTATTGATACTGAGCTTTTAAGCACAATGGCTTAAAAAATTAAAATCACCCTCTAAAGGATTGTTTTTTGACTTAAAAATATCATAACTTCATGTCATGGCTAGGGTTAATATTTTGCTCCAAAATCCTTTTGAAACAATCTTTCCCATTGGCTACCAAAATCTGCACTTCGACTTTTGGGGCAAGACGTGACAAGGGTCACTTTTTCTGCGGAACATTGTTCTTTACAATAATTCAAAATTTGAAGGGGTGAAATTACATTAAATTCAAAGGATTTAAAATTCCTGACTTCAGTTATTTTTCCTCAGTTTTTTTTTAAGATTCGTTTTACAAAAAATAACATGAAATAAGTGAAGTATTTTTACTTTTTAATGATAAAGTCAATCATTGAACTTGATGAGTTACCATTGTATTTGATGAGAGATAAATAAAGGACTTCCTTCCAGTAAAAATATTTTTGAATAACCTGAAAATATCTAGGTCTCTTCAATCTAAAAATGATGTTTCCCACGCACTAATTCTACGACTTTCCAGACTGAGGCACTCTCTCAAAGGCATTTTTGATTAGGCTGTCGCGAAAATTCTAGAAAAGTGACAGGACAGTTTGGAATCAAACTTGAAATGGCTGACTTGAGCTTGAAACTGAAATAACGGTTCATTGTTCCTGACCCTTTTTGATTCTGATTCAATTGGAAACTTCCTTAAATGAGCCTTAACCGACCGAAAGAACTTCACCTCCGCATTACTTGTTTTAAGACCTAGATAGCTTCCTTTGTAATAATTTTCAGAGTAAAAAGGTAAGTTCGACTTTAAAACTCTCAGATCATTCAAAACTAAAATTCCAAATAAGTGATAAGGAAGGAATTGTAAAGATGCAAACTTTTGCCTGATCAAGCAAAAAAAAATTCACAGCATAGATGCTCACAAGGGATAAATTTTCCAAGAGTAAGGTAACGATAAAAGACATTACGGGCGCACAGCTCATTGATTCCAACCTCCCATGTTACTGCTACGAGTCAAGAATATCCCTAGTGCTGGGTAAATTTCCCTTTTATTTTGCCAGGTTTGTTTAAAAATTTATGGATTCTTTCAAGTTTCTCTGACAGTTGCAGTTACAGCTAATCTTTAGGGCAAAATAATAAGATTCATCGATTCTTACAGTCATGATCAAACAGACTGGGGGCCAGATTTTGTAGCAAAAATTATGTTTTAGGGATGGATTTTTAAAACATTTTCTAAGAGAGGACTCCCTGGTACCCCATTTCTAATGAGTATTCCGTACCTTCCAAACATGAGTGCGAATTAGGCAATGGCATTAATCGAGGCTTTTAACTGCCTATCTGACTCTTCTTTCAGTTGTAAATAAAATTTTATAGAGATAACTACATAGGAGAGGGTTTTTAACGAACCTGGAGAGAGTAAGCTGGAACTTAACTTAGGGTGTCCGGGATGAGACAAACGATAAATCGCTTATAAAATAACACAGCTTCAATGAACAATGAATGTGGAGAGAATCATGGGAGTTCGAGTAAGTCTTTGGCCTTGTAATGTGCTTGCACTCGATCATAAACAATGTTGGTTACTTGTAACATGGCCGGTAATCCTGCAAGAGCTGTGGCGGCTTTTTCTTTGCACACCTGTGAAAATGTACAAAGAACAATGAGCTTTTTTCAAAAGGAAGGTGCTTTCTTGAAGATATTTGAATGTTTTACTCATTGCCTTAATTGAGATGGACCACTAGACAAGATGCAAACTTAAGCAATATGATAAGTGTCCCTCATTAAGATTTCATGTAGAACACGATTCTTACAATAAAAATAACTGAAAAAAACCCCTAACAAAGATATCAACATTTCGCGATGTATCATGCAAACTCCCCACTCATCAAAAAACAAAAATCTAGTTGGCTTAAATTGCACGGTAAACATTACTGAGACAATCTTTCCAGTAAGAAAATATGACTACCTAAATATCGGCACTTTGGTTAAGCTATCATGTTGTTTACTTTTTGAACAACACAGGGTGGAGAATGAACACTGCTAATAGAGAAACCTGTCAAAACTGTTCTGGCTTGTTATTTAATTCAAGTAAACTCTTGTTTTTCTTGTGGGTAGGAAATTCAAATTTTTGTAACCAATGCTAAATAAAAACAGTAATATCTTGGTTGTGAGTTACTATTAGTGATTTCTGTTGGGTAAATTAAGTTCTACATAAAATTTTGAAGAGGAAACAATGTCGGAATGCTTAAATTTGTACATTATCTAAAGGTCCAATAACATTTGCAATTAAGGAAAGTGTGAAGCAATTTTTTTGTAACCTCTAATGGCATGCATCAACACTAGGTATTTATATAAATTATTAGTTTACATAAATTCAGAGACTTTAAAGAACATAACAAACCCTGCTGCAGGGTCTTATGAAAAATTCACAGTAAAGAAATATTTACATTTATTTTCATGGCAAAAGGCTTCTCGGATATTCATAACACATGGCAGATTTTTAGTGTACTGTCCACACCGGACAGACCTCCTGATATAGGACTTGATGAATGTAATTCATTGGTGAAGAAGATAATAATACTCACCCTTTGAAGTAATACTTTTTGTGTGGGTAAAGTGTACATGGCTATATATGCACCCTGTCTGATAAAAAAAGAGTGGTATGATGCCAGAGTTTTGGTATACGCTTCTCGCCCAATTGAACTAGTTGAATCATCTGGATTTAATTTTCCCAATTTTTCTAAAAATGTTCGAATGAAATCTGTAAAAATTTGACAATATTTTGTAAGACAAGATGCAAGATTATAAGTCATAAATACTTTGGGCAGTACAAAAATATAAGTTGTGTGGAATGGAGTTCGCGATTTATATATTTAAGCTGGAATTTTTCTCATGGAAAAGGCTTTGCACATTAACTAAGAGAATCGATGCTAATTAGATTCTATTATCAATTGACATGATGTTCTTTACAATCTCCTGAGCACTTAAATTAGGTTTCACAAATTGAACTTTTGATACGTCAACTTCATGACTACAAAGGCTGAAAAAGGGATTTTAACACTTTTACATGAATTTTCTAGGGAAAATGTTTCAACACTAGATTGAGGATTGAAGAGGGCTCTCCTTCCCTTGCCAGACAATGGCTATAAGCCAAACACACACCCTCACATTCCTGCATTTCTTTGCTGAAAAGAACCAACATTCAGTGCCCGATGCATCAATGCAACTTTCTCTTAGAAAACCCGTCTTGAAACGCTTAAAGCAATTTTGAGCCCCAATTTTTTCAAAACTGGCACATGCGAAGTTCGATTTATAAAACTTAATAACAATCTCATGGAGTTGTATAGAAAATCATAGAAAATGATGACAAAATCTAGCCGTTGTCAAATTCCTAAGTTGTATGCGCAGGATTCTTTGATCTTGCTCATCATGGAACATGGAAGATAATAAACATTACGTAGGTAGTCCAACAGAGTGCTTTAGTAGATATTAACCATAAAATTTCCAAACAACACAACTCAATTACAGTGTTTCAACTTTAATTTCAATATTTCTTCAAATTTTCAATTTTTTTGGAGAACAAATCAACATTTAATATCGAAATTTTCACGAAATGTTCTATACACTAAGAAGAAAAACAATGGAAGTCATCAAGGAGCAATGCTAACTAGTTTACCCCTGAAAAAAGAAGAGAGCAAGAATTTTGCGCTGCCTGTAACTGAGAAACATCTTTTGCGTGTTTCTTGGATAATATGTTTTTTTAAAACTTCCTTTGTGGATGGATCCAGTCTGTCAAGTAATATCTGGAGCAAATTCTTACAGCATGCCTAAATTTTTGGATTTTTCAAAAAAGAGGATTTTTGATTCTTTGACTCCTGAACACAGATGTAATTTTGAAAGAAATAACACAAAAATATTTTTTTTCTTTTTAAAATTATTATTAGTTTCATTACCTAAGCCTCTGTGCAATCGCAGTAAGGTCCTGCTACCAGAGGTATAGTCCTTTTTTACGAGTAATTTTTGAGTAGTTTCAAAATCAGTCATCGTGAATAGAGTTGCAAAATCGTCTCTTTGTTCACCATTTCTTAAGTCTTCTAGCACCTTAATTTTTTCACTTATTTCTGAGCTTACAAACGAGAACATGGAACCCATTAAATCACAAAATCTGAAAAGGATAAAAAATAAAAAAAATTAGAACACATCCGCACTGATAGATACTTTAAGGTGGTGACTGAGGATTTGAATGGATAAAATACAAACGATTCCCAGTAATTCAACAGAGTACATACTTTGATATTAGTAATTGAGCCACTTGAAATTGGCTGACAGGAAGCGGGAATGGTGGGACACTTGTGGACGATTTATTTACTTTTGGCTTGATTATCTTATGAGATTATGTGATAGGTCAATGAATATCGGCTAATGCTTTCCTTCAACTGAACGTCTTAAGAAAATCAATTTCCAATTCCTATTTCTTGTGCTATTCCTCCAACAATGACCAATTTTAAATGACGGAAGTAGCCAGATAATTGAGCAAATAAAGAATTGTTCCTGTGCTTACCGCCATTTCAAATTCACCAGGCCCCCAATTGCTGGGCAATCCAGGGCGAAAATTGCATTTAAAATGAGGCTTCAGCACCTAACAACTTGGAGCAAAGGCCAAACCTTATGCCTAAGAAAGTCATAGGCAATCAACCTGCGACAAATTCTTGAAGCAGTGACAGCGTAATACTATCAACATAGAAGCAGTTCTTGACAGGAACAAAAATTAAGCAAAACGAATGGTCAGATAATTAGGGGGGGGGGGGAAGGTGTACTGCAGATTTTTTGTATACTATCATACATAGTATATCTGCAAAAAATATGCAGCTCCTAACAAGTTGTGGATGACTCCAAAAATTTTATCTGGGAGTAAGTACCATATAAACTGAGTTCAATTACAATCACACTTACTTTATTAATTCTTTGAATCCTTCTAAGTATTGGTCTAGATCAACATCTTCTGCCCCAACCAGCGAGGCTTTAAAAATATCGCGGACACGATCCAAATCAAAAATGCACTCATGTTCCTTATTATCCAACACAGCGCAGCTCATACTTCCTAAAAAGAATAAAAACAAAATTTTTAACATGATGCAAATAAAGAGAGTGGCAAAGAGACTTAAGGGAAGGCAAAATACTACTATATTCTGGTGAGATAAAAACTGAGCAAGTCATGGATACATATGCCCATTGGAAGAGAGGCTTTTTTTGACCAGGAAGCAACATGGTGAGTAATGTATGATTTTCAAGTGGGTTTCAATAATCCAAAGAGATAAAATTTTATTTGACGCACTTTAGTGGGAAACTCATGGAGCACTGAAGAGGATACTTGTGATAGCTTCTGATCTGTATGATAACTGATGAGCTCAATTTCTAGGTATAAGTATATGAAGTACAGAGAATTCCTCCGAGCAAGAATCAGTTACAATCTCAGCTTCAAAATTTCCTCACTCTACAGAAACATCAAAAGTACGCGTTAAGAAAAAAAACTTTAAAAAATTCAGTGTTTTTTTTCATCTTGTTTATCGGATAGAAAAGAAAAGAAATCTACTCAACCAAGAAATTCCTTACAAGCTTAAGGAATTCCACGAAGCCTTGGGCAAGCCAGACTCGCACAGCCCGGAGCATTTCCTGCACCCCTGGACCAGTGCTCAAGCTTTGAAACACAATTGACAAGAGTGCCTTTACTATTAACACGGACCTTTATGAAAAAGTACCTCAAGTATACCTGAATAAATAAGATACTCATATCTATTAAGTTTCTTTTTTCCTCTTGTTTTTTTTTTATTGTTACTTGAACATTGTTATCTAGTCACACCCTGTAAAAGACATTTAGGTTGTAAAGTCAAGTAACTTCAGAATTCACATTGTTTCCTGTTAATATGTGTATAGTGGCTAAAAAGAGTTACAGTCTTACAGGAAGCAGGCTAAAATTACTTTTTAAATGAAGTCAAATACTAGTTAAATGAGTCTCGGGTGTTTCATTGATAATGGGTATTTTGAGAAACTTTTCAAGAGCTCAATAACAGCTCTCAGAGAAATCCTATAAAAAGCGTCAACCTCTATGTGTGCTTGGTTCTTAATACTGCTGTCATTAAAATGCAAAACAAAATTCTCCCTTGGAGTAGAATTTTTCAATGTTATTACAATGAATACGGCTTGGTAGATGGATTAAGCAGAGCATATTTAGAGTGTTAAAATCAGCCTCAACATACAATTAAGTGTCTTAGATGTATACCTTGAGTGCTATGCCAGGTAACATGTACAAGGAAACCACTTGCACTTTCTCTCGGGGATCATTGTAAGTAAGGGGTCCTTTACAACCTCCCTCACAAGTACAAAGTTTAATATTATTACCCTGTAGCCTGGAATTCCAATACACAGCTCGTCAAAAAGTAATCAAAGGTGCTGGCTTGGTGACTGTGACTAAAGCCCTACTTAGATTTAGACCAAATGAAAGTGATGACGAGTACACCTTGTATGCACTCGTTAAGGGTTGAACTACCATGACAGGTGCATTTGAACTCCAGTTCAGGCACTGAGGATACGTGAAGAATAAAAATTGGTGATATTCGGTGTATGTTCTTGCGGTGAAAATTGTCATTTACTGGAGGGCAAATTGTGATGAATCGACAAGACTACGTACCGGATTCCAGAATTCTGCTCTTTGATAACAAAGGCTTGGCTAGTTCGAGAGAGTTACTGGAATAGTAACTGATTCTGGCGCTACCAATATATTTCTAGGGAAAATCTTACATTAAATGCACACGAATTAGGATTAATCAATTATTGAATATGAATACTTGGAAATTTTGGCTACATACTTAATTGCTAATTAGTTGATGATAAGATAACCTCATTTTCGTGTTGACAACGATCAGTAAACAAAACAAATCTCAATTTACCCCCGTACCAACCTTTGGAGATCCTCGCAAAAATGTTTCTTTTTAGTTGGTCAATAAAAATAATGATTCAACGAGTTCAGTTGTTCTATTTTAGCATGAGTTTTTAATAAATATTTATAATGAGTTATTTTGCAGCTTAAGACGTTTTTTTCTTATCTTCAACATTTCCTGATTATTAATGTTCTGCGATTTCATATTTGGTGCTACAAAATATTCTCACAGTCGTCCTACCTGCTCTGCGCAAAAGAAAATTTACAACTTCTGCGCATACTTCTAGAGCAGTCAGCCAATCACAGCTCTGGAAAGTTGCTTTGAAAAGAGAAATCAAAATTCGTAAACGTTTTTCTTGACACTAACAAGACACAACACCACGACGTACGAAGACAAGATAGCGGAACACGCGTGATTTTAAAAATTATCATGGATTTATCAGTAATTTTAATTTGATCTCGCAGCATTATACATCCTCGTGCCTTACCTCTGTAGCTAAAGTAATCATTTGTAGGTGTTCAGCAAGTGTTGTTGTAAGTAATGCAGCCTCTAACTCAAGATCCAATTCCATCTGGTTTTCCAAGAATCTGAAATCACGCCAAGTCCGAAAAAGCATCCCAGCCTCATCTCCTGCTTGCAGCGCCGGTGACTACTTCGTAAGTCTCTCTGCCTCATGAATGATGAAACTCTAAAATTTATCCACCATCATCCCTCAATCTTCAATTTTGCCTTCATTTAATGCACCTCTTCAGCCACATGAGACATTGAGGCTTGACACCTTTTCTGAAGCACATGTCATGCTGTATCTCTCTCTGAACTTGAAAGTTTTTGTAGGAAGCTTATAGTTTTCTACCCAATGTACGGAAATCAGATTTTTTAACAGTCCATCTAGTCAGCTACTATTAGTCTAATTTCATCAATCATTGTTGACGTCGGTACTTATTTGCCTTCATGCACACTGCGGCCTCGTATTCATTGTTAAATTGATGAAACAAGATTAGTAGTGTGTAAGCACAGACCAAACATCTCCTCTTGTCAAATGGACTGTTGCTTTGCTTTGAGGGATACAACCCGTGGCTTCTAAGCTGCCTGAAATCTACTTATATGAACTATGAATAGTAATACCTCTCTGCTCATTGAGACGTATTTAGAAAAATTAAGTACATGACTGCAATCTTTCTAACCCTACATTTTTCAAATTTTGGCAAAAATGAAACGAACAGAATGACTAACTCTAGTTGATGGTTTGTGGAATTGAGCTCTTGCGAGCCACAGAAATTTGTGATTTTAGTACTGTTGCTTGCTCATATAAAATTTCACAAGATACCTTTATATATGATGGTACAAGTGCCAATGCTCAAAAAGAGCTCTCTAAGTTGAGGCCTTAATGGAAAGGATTGCTTAGGTTATGATGAGAGTCCACCTCTGTACCCAGCCAAACTTTCATCGCACAGACAGAGAGCTAATACCTGCATTAACAGAGTTGTTGTGGTCAGCCTTGCAGTACTTGCCTTCAGGGTTAACCCTGGTAATATATTTTAACCCATTAATAAATAAACAATATTTGCAGAATTTTGCATTATGTAGACGTGTAATATGAGCCCCAGACTACCATTATTCAATGCAAAACCGAAGAGAAAATTAAAGGAAAGAGACAAAATTATTTTCTACTAATCCTTAAATTTTTACATTACTGTATAGATAATTGTTACATTGTCGTAAATGGTAATTTCAGTACTCTTTACTTGTCTTTTTCAGCTCAGCGGTTGAGAGTTTGTGCAATGAGTCACAGTCGAAACAGAAGTGAAGCAAAGTTGGCAAAATATTTATATGATGCTGTCGAAGCCACAGATACAAGGTACCCAGTTTTTAGCATGTTATATTCTATCAAACATCAAAAGAGTGTTTTCTTGGATCCAGTCCTTCTAATTTCACAACCGGGTTCCCTGGCAATGGGCCTGTTGCAAACTTTTGCTTGAGCAAAAATAAGAGTTGTCTCTTATAGAAAATGGCTCAAAAATCATGATGAGCGCATCAACAAAACCTAAAATCCACCCCTAACTTCACAACCTGCCAAAGAAATTTGCGTTTTTTTAGCTTCCCGCTTCAAAAGCAATACTTCTGCACAGGTGGACTTTTCCCTAAAGGAGTTGTTTCTTCCAACCTCTGTGCAGTAGGATACTGTATAATATTCAACCATTGCCTATGAGAATGGAGAGGCTATAACTACTTGGTTTCGTGACGGTTTGCCGTCAAGTTTGCAACAGGCCCATTTACACGAAACACCTTGAAGTTTTGCGGTTGTTAAGTCTCCTAACGACTAGACTATTAAGTTTTCTCCTGAAATTGAAATCCTACCTCAATAAAAGTACAGAATTTTCTATTATTTCTTAGTCCATGCTCACAGCTTCGTTCAATGCAAAAGAAATTTGTGGTCATATAGTTGTTTGTATAGTAGTGATTGAAACAGTTACACCGACTGGAGAGTCATTGAGGTAAATTATTTTATCTCCAGTAGTTTGTTAATCTCTTCTGATAGGGTTATCTTTTTACTAATCTATTTTATTTCCTGATCTGTCATTTGTTTCTTAATCTGTTAATTTTGATTTTCAGACAAATATTTATCTTCTTGCGTGACGGGAAAGCCAACCCAAACTTCATTCTTGACCAGTATGGCATTTCTCCATTTCATTTTGTTATCGGAAACGAGTCAAAGAAGTTTGCCTTTGAAGCAACAAAATTAATGCTGCTCTATGGAGCTGACCCTAATGTTCGGTAATATTCTCTGAACAGTTCTCTCAGTGTGCCTTTTTTAGTGATCTGTTTTTTTCTTCATCTAAATTCATCGTTCTTTGTATATTTCTTCAACTTTTAGAGAATCATTGAAATAATGCCCAGTGACAGGAGGAGAGACTTTTTCTTCCATATACTCTTCATCCTTATCTTTGCCTGCTTATTCATCGCCTATGTGTATATTTGTGTGTTCCTTCTATATTTGTTTGATCAGTAATAAATTAAAGTGAGGAACTAGGAGTTAATTTAACCATAATTTTCATTATTTCAATAGACTTGTTTAGAAAATAACAGACTTTTTAATTTTGCACGTGGTAAAAATGAGCTTATTCCATTTGTTACGCTGCAAAAACACTAATTTGGCATTCCTGCAAAATAAATGTAAGTACAAGTAAATCATCATCACTGCCCTCCTCATTTCTTATGACATCAATCAGCAAAAAAATAAGCCAAAGTCCTGAAGGAAATTTCACACAAGAATTGAAAACCTCCCAGGAAAAGGGGTGTCTGTAAAAAGTTTCTACATATTTCAAGATAAGTTGTTGTGTTTAAGTTTTGGTTCAGTCACAAAATCTTTTTGTGTTTGCAATTAAACTAGCAAAAACCAGTTTCCTTTTTACACATATCTGAGGTTGAACAAACATGGAAACTTCAACTATGAACTGCTTGCTGCAATCGTAACTTAACTGCAATACTCTTTTCTTTTAGCAAGGTCTTCAATGGGCCTTTAGACAAGGTATACAAATTTAAGCATTTTGACACTTGCTTTCTCTCCAAAATCACAAAGAAAATGAATTGCATAACTGGAATTTTAAAAATCAACTCCTCGCCGAGAACAGTGTTGAAATTAACATTGGTTCAAAGGAAAAAATACAAATGATGTCATTTGTGTAATCCAGCTTCCATTTGATCTGTGTTAGATACACCTGTTGATATCTCATTTAGGAGTTGATTTCTGAACTTCCTGTTGTGTGAATTATTTTCCATGTAAAATTTTGAAGAGAAATCATGTAGATTGTTTTTCTAGTTCATATTTATGAGAGTTCCAGAGTGAGTACAAGTCAGTCTGTCATGATTCACTAGTCATTTTTTTTCAGCAGATGAGTCATCTAGTGTCAGCGTATACTTCAGAAGTCAATTTTCCTTATTTGGAGGAGTATTAATATTGAAATTTTCCAATTAAAAATTCAAATTATACTCCATAAGTTCTCCGCTGATCCCCTCTTCCTACTTTCAGGTCTGAAGATGGGCTAACACCTGTTCATGTCGCAACAGTATGGAACCGTACCGCCATTCTCCACCAGTTACTGAAAGCAGGAGGCGATCCATTTCTCCGTGACGATGACAATAAAACTGCTGTGGATTATGCTGTGGAGGGTGGCTTGACCAAGGCACTTCAGATTATCAACATTCATGTATCGCAGGCTTCCCCGTCAAGTAACGAAAATTGCTCTGACTCTTCGCCCCATTATACCCTCACCCTAGGTCACTGTCCCTTTTTTCCTTTTTCATTTCCTTGGGTGGATAACTACACGATCTAATTGCAAAGCAATAATTGGGTCACTTTGCCAATTTTAGTAATGAAATTATTGAAGCACTGCGAAGTGCTGTCTTTGCTTGCCAGCATCAGCAATACTCACCAACTTGGTGAAATGGAAAAAGCAAATTGAATTACGTACAGTATACTTACTTGGGAACTTTAAGCAATTTTGTCGGGTGCCTGTGACAATAGCTAGAATGCAATAACCCGAACACTCAAATTTTTTGTAAAAACTTTTTCTTACCGATTTTCCTAAAATTGTTGATACTTCTTACACTACGGCCGTTTCGAGCAACCGCTCATCGTCAGGTGTTAAAAACTTATAAAAACTAAAATTATGATGCGCTTTCGCGAATGCAGACGTAGATACCGAACTACTCGCAATCGCGAAAGCGCATTATAATTTTAGTTTTTATAAGTTTTTAACACCTGACGATGAGCGGTTGCTCGAAACGGCTGTAGTGTAAGAAGTATCAACAATTTTAGAAAAATCGGTAAGAAAAAGTTTTTACAAAAAATTTGATAAAGTATGGCCGATAAAGTTAACAAAAGAAGTGAACCCTAACACTGTTATTTTCCACCCTTTTTCTTTGTAGTGAATGCATGAATTTTCTTTGCCATGTAATTATCCTGTTATGAATGGAAGGTTAGTGGCTGGATCAAAGGAGAGAGGATATACATTTTCTTATTCTGAAAATTTGTTGATTGGCGGAGCTAACTGCCTGAAAACATGCGCTTGTTGAATTTTCATCTCATGTCAAGTATCTTCTAAAAATATGGAAAACCTTGATTCCTTGCCTTCTTCTTATGTTTGGGTTTTTTTTGAAGGAGTGTGTACAATTATCTTGTCTCTTTCCTGCATGAGGTGTGTGTCAAATGTATGGTTAAATTTCTCATCACTTTTTCCTTAAAATCTCCTGTATCTGTACAGAACTTATGCAACCAAAAATACATGTAATGACAATCCATTCTTACCATGGGTTTTGGCTCAATAGTTTACTTCTTATAGAGCATTTCTTAGGTGGTAACAGCTTTAGACCAACATGCGAAGATATATTCAATTTTTATGGGTCATGTAGATGTTGCAATCCATTAGTGTAGGACAGAGCAGTCGAAATTTGAAAAATTATGCTAGTGGTCCTGCTAGACTTGGTAGATTGAAAACTGTTAAATATTGAAAAGAGAATTCATGAAACATAATTGTATAAGTGAAAGACTTTGTACCTAAAAGACTCGCCATAATTTTTACAGAAAAATAGCAAGTTTTTTGGCATCAAAAATATGAATATATGTTGTTTCTCGGAAAATATGAATATGTTGTTTTTTAAGAAAAAGAAACAAAAACTTGGAAGAATGAATAACACAAATACTTAGGAGCACCTGTGCAATGTGCAAGTTTTTGAGCTCTTATAATTCCAAGAATCAAGGGGATTCCCCCACAGAATAAAATGTGCTAAATTGCATACACATTTGCAACAATGGAGTCAGTCTTTGATCATTGTCATGAAACGCCCAATTTTAGACGTTGATTTTTTAATGTTGCAGAAAAAGTTTACTTGTATCGCAATGATGTAAAGGCTGAGTACAGTGCTCAACCTACACAGAACAAACAATTACAAGAACAAAGAAGGAACAAGAGGCAAGAAGAAGTGTTTCGCTATCCAACCGATTGGTCAAGTTCCGAGACATCAGGCTCAGATGTTAGTGTTACACATCGTATCACTGTACCTCCTAATGGAAACATCCAGATTGAAAGCATAGTCAAGTCAGACGATGATAGATCTGTCAGACACAACGCGGTGAGTATACATACATTCAACTGTTTTTTGTATAATCTTGGTGGAAATATTAACTGCTATTATTGATTAAGTGTACTGCTGGGGAGTTTGAGAAATACGGCCCTTTAGACTTTGAAAAATTTTGTCTCCTCAGTTTTGAAGATATAAGATGAAAAAAAAAAAAAATAAAGTTGATCCATACCCCTCTAAGAGGTGGTAATGTTTCAGTATAGGAGTTCAAAAATACTTGAAGTAAAAAACTCATAGGAAGGATCTTGAGTTTTAAACAGAATCCTTAGCAGCTGGGAAAACTCAAGAAATTTAATGTGGCTGGAATTTATTTAAGTCCTCAGAGCATTTGGGGGAAAACCCTGAAAATAGCAAATAATGGCTCATGTCAGTGATGACTGTAAAAAATTTAAAGTTTCAGATGCCTGAATGATTTTAACGCTATCTAGATCTCATTTTTTCTTTTCCTGAGCAATCATATACCAATTTTTACTATCTTACCGTGTTGTTTGTATAGTTATCTCAGGAATTTAACCCTTTTGTTTTTACTTAAGCTCAGAGCTCCTAGTAGTTCTTTCACGTAGTTTTGGCTAAATAGGATGACAATGATCTGGTCTAATTTATGTGTAGCACCTTCTAACTTCTCCAAGAAAATCTGTCAGGTGCTTCTCTACACATTATGTTGTTTCCCAGGCAAAAAAACGTAATTACATTTTAAGGCGGCATTTCCTCTTGCATATTGTATTATTATTTGGAAACTGTTAAGTGTTGTCAACTAAGATTTTACTGATTTTCTTTTTTTACCTGCAACAGCAGAATTTTAAACCAAAATTGCACTGCAATGTTCTTGTAAAAAATTGAACAGTTTCAGTCAATTTTGCAACCTTGGAATAGAGTTACGTTCCTTCATCCGGGAAACAAAGACCATAACACTTTGTTTCACTTTCATATAGTTCCTAACCTTTTTTTGTTTCATTACAGGTACAAGACAGCAATATTCAGCGTACTATTTTGACTTATCTGCAAGATTGTCAAGTCTATGAATGTGTCGTCCCAAGCGTTGGTGACCGCACTCCAGAACAAAGGTCCCACTCCTCCACCCCAAGCCACAAAACTCCATCAGCCGTAAACTTCACCTCCCTCTGTAATAACTTAGCTAAAGAATTACATGAAAAACTGCTACCGCCTCAGTCCACCAGTTGCGCTTACAACGTATCAAATGAGAACCATGATTTGTATCAGACTTGTCTGACAGGGTCCGAGAAGAGTAGAAGCCATGATCCGTGCCACAGTAGTGGGGTCATCACACCATGCTTAAGTCCTCAGAGGAATCAGAAAAAATGTGTCAGGAATATTTTTATGAACAAGTGCAATGACGCCAGTCCTAGTCTGTGTGTGAATAGTCATAATATCCCCAGAAATTTTGCGCAGAGAAGTGTTTGCGAACATTGTGAAGACATTCTGTGCAACAACTTTAAAATTGTATGTTACCATTTGTGCGATTCGCAGGCTGTTACCAATCGAGTCAATCCTGAGTGTAGCTGTTCTGCACAACACGGGAAACAAAATGGACAGGAATTTTGTGGCATTAATAGTGAGAAGAGCCTAACCGGTTTTGAAAAGATCTCAAAAAACGAAAGATCTAAGGCTCATTCTGCTTCAAATTTTACTGCCGATGTGTCTGCACCTCCTCTAGATTCCGTTGATTCCAGTGACCGCTGTGATAATAGTGCACCTAAAAATCAAACGCACTCTCCGAGTACACCCAACAACAAAAAATCCAAACAGGGCTCTAGTTTCTTGAAGAACAGAGCCAAACTAGAAAAGGCTTTTTTAAGGTGCCTTCGAATTAATCAAGTCAATGAACCCAACACAAAACAAGCTGATCCTACTAAGATATCGACTGTTGGAAGTCCAAGTTTGATCAAACATCGCATCGACATCAGTAGTAATGAAATTAAATCATCAGAAATACCTCCAACACAGCAATTTCAAACAAACAATGTGATCGCGAACAACAGATCTTGTACAACACCTTCTAAAGTCACCACTTGCGTTAGAGACTCTTTCATGGATGAAAGACGCCAGTTATTGCATATTGAAGTTTCTAATAATGACAAGTCGGAAAATTATGCCACGACAGATCCAAGCTCTCCTAAGAAGTGCAATATTTGTGACTACCTTGACGAATCTCAAGAAACTGAACCTCTCATGCTCACAGCATGCGACGGTCACTCTTGTTCGGGAACGCAAGGTAATCGATTTTCTCTGCCTGTTTCTGCGTCACCTATTAAGTTAGATAACTATGTAGAACTTCACTCTGCTCCAACCAAGAATGATGAAGAAGAAAAACAACAGCCAAGCCCTGAACTTGATAATCCTGTAAAGTCCAGCTCTACGTTCGAAACTGTGATTAAAGTATTGTCTAAAGATTCATCATCCTCAGATAATAATGAAACCTGTGATGTTCCTAAAAATCCTGGGTCTCTGGAGAGCCTAACGTACATATCAGACATGCAAGCTGCCAATCAGACCAATGATTCTCACGTGTCGAGTTATGATGGAAGAAAATCGGATGATGTGACTAATAGTATGGATGTTGCATTTTGCCTATCTGCAATTCCTGAAAATGACTCAGCCGTAAAAGAAGAGGTGGGTGCTCAGTCAGGGGGTAGAAATTCTTGCCTATCAGAATTTAGCGACGTTTTTTTCAGTTCTTCTGAAAGGGGCTCTGTATGTTGTGACAAATTACCGAGTCCTAACTCTGAGAAAGAAGAGCCGGCTCCTGGTCGTGCATCATCTTCAGACTATTTCTCTCCCCATGAATTGACACGGTCTTATTGGACTTCAGACGAAGAGCCAAGTTTCCTTGGTCCATCAGGTAGAAAGGAAATGGTAGAGGCAGTGAGCTGGAGGAAGTGTGGTGGCAGTTCGGAGAATAAGGATGTGTGTGGCTTTGATGGGATCTTAATAACCTCAGATGACGAACCAACTGCAAAGGACGGGTCCAAATTCAATGTGTGCGAAGAGTACAAATATGTTGACAAGGAGAAGGACATAGTCTTCCGAGAAACTCGCTTCAAATCCAGCACTGTCAGGTAAGATTCTTTAAATTATTGCAGATGTTTGTAAGGTATTAAAACGAGGAAATCATGAGATTGTCTCAACGAAAGACTCAAGTAAAAACAGCTAATATTTGAAAAGTCGGCATTATTTTTGATGTCTCAATGTCACGTTTCTGCTGAAGAATCGACTTTCAAGTTATTGTATTTGGCACTCACTCTATATCACCAGTTTTGTTTGCCTATTTCAGTAATTTAAAATGTTGAAGTGTTCAGTCTGACCTCTTAAAATTGAAGCGAAAATTAGCAAGTGATTTTCCGGTTATAATTTTGAATCAGCATGGAGGGATGATGAGGTCAAATTCATTCAATTGATCTTCATCCAGAGATTTTTGAATCAAGAGAAAATTGCTCAGCAGTCCTAAACCTTAATAAAACTCTTGCCTTTTTTTATTCCTTCATCCACATCACTCCAATAATATCTATTAAAGTGATACAAAATTATCTGTACATTGGATCTTACGACCTATTCTTATGCGAAGGATCTTGTTGCAGTTCGTGATCAAAATTCATGTGTCTCGTTAAAGATCTGCTTTTCCAAGCAATTGTTTTTAACGCATGTTTGATCTTATCATAACTTTAAAAATATTGAACTGAAATAGGGACAAGTTTGAATGATTATTGATTTGAAGTACTTATTTCTATACATTTGCTTTTAATAAGAACCCAATGCTTCGAAGCAAAGCACAGCAATACTTGAGTTTGCTTTGAAACTTCACGAAAAATAAAAATGGTTTGTGCAACCATAAGTTTGGAAATCAATTTCTGATGTTGTGTAATTAATATTAGTGAAATGCAAGGCGCATGATATCATTAATACTTTGTCATTTCCTTGATGTTATAACTTGTCAAACCATTCATTTTCAAACTTGTGGCCGCCCAAAAGGTTGTCAACATCAAATTTGAAGAGAAACTATAAGATGCAGCCATTCAATGCAAATCTTGTCTTGTGGCCTTTTGTTACTTTTCTTCTTTTATCTATCTTTGTTCTCTAGTTCTTGCTCTCCTGTAACTTAGAGTGTAACTTTAGGATTTCCTCCCTTCCAGGCAATGAAATCTCTCAAGCAGTATGAGTAAAACAGCAACTTTCATCATGACGAGATGTTCCTTTATTCTTGCTCTCACTCTCATTTCAAGCATCCTTTGTAACAGAGTAGAAAGTCAAATGTAATCAACAGAATTTCTCTTTTTTATATACTATTTCTTTTCTTTTTTTTATCCAGACTTTTCGTCTTCATCTATCTTAAAAATACATACATCTAAGGAATTCCTCTACGGATTGTTTCCTTTCGTTTTTCTATCAAGAGCTCTGGGCCCAAATTTTGTTGGCTGCGGTTGTCTGCAAGTTGCAAAACCCAGCTTCTAAATTGGACTAAAAGTCGGGAATTTTTTTATTCTAAACTCAAGTTGTACGCAAGTTGAGCTTTTTTTTCAGCTGGCTCTAGCCTTCCTTAGTTCCTCAATAGAGCAAACCATTATCAGCGAACAAGTAACAAGGTCAATATTCTTGCCTCAACTTGCAGCTGACCTCATACCTGTCAACGAAATTTGGGCTCCTCATGTTTCCATCAGCTTTATTGCAATAACACTTTCTTTATTTTATATTTTAAAAAAAAATTGCACTTTATCTACCTTCTTTAGTAACGTATGTCTATGTACGATCCTCTGACATCAGCAGCAGTTATATGTTACTGTTTGAAATTTCTTCCATCCATGTCTTGCATGTGTTTCTTTTCACTAACTGTAATCTCTTCATTTTTGTGTTATTTGCTGCAATTTTCTGTTTAATTTCTTTCTCTCATTACTTGTGAAAAATTGTATTTCGTACTTAAAATTTGTATTTTCGAACTACATAAAGTACATATTACCTTTTTCTTTCCCCCTTAAGCAACTTTCCTTATCTATTCCTGAAAATCTCCCCAAAGTTTTCCTTGGACGAATTTAACCAAATCCATTTTGAGTTCTCAATATCATGACAAAACAGATCCACTTTCATTCTAAATAATGCACCCAGTTTTGTTTTATTTTTATTCTCCTTTAGTTTAGATCATTATTTTTTCTGATTTTTGTTCTTTTCTTTTTTTTTACTTTCACCACCTCTTTAGTTACCTCTTCAGTAGCTTCAGAGGAACAGTTAAAGGGCGTAAGGTGCTGACTCAAGGTTTCTTGCGGCTTTTTCGTGGCTCCAAAAAATCAACCTCATCTTGATTTTCTCCTTTTTTTTCAGATTGATCTGTGTGTCTTAGTTACCTATCCTTAGTATTATGTATAAAAACATTGACTTTTGCTGCTTGAGCCGTACATTTCAATTCAAGGGATTTTAAATGGCATTCCTTAGAGAAGTCATGTATTGAAAGCATCAACTTAAAAACTATTCTCTCCTTAACACTTCAAAATTTTAGTTTTGGAGGGAAAAGAGAAGTCCTAAGCATATGGCATAAAATAGATGTTAGCCCTGAAAACACTGGATATAAACTATTTACGATTCATGGGTTTGGCTCAACTGCAATTTTCATTGAAAATACCCAGATTGTATGAAACCTTCTACAGAACTGTTGTGATTCTCTGTAAATCTATTGCTGCTATGAACCAATGGACAGGATATATATTTACGAGTAAAACTGTTCATTATATCTTCTCATTGTGATTTTATGCAGTCTGGAGAACACATTTTAAATTTCTAGAACATCCTCGAATTGAATAATTAATGTTTAATTTGTTCAAATCCACACATCAGGAAGTCTCTTCATGTCGAATTGCAAACTGAAGTAATCTTTTACATTGATTTTCAATGAAGGAAAATGTTTTGCCTTATTGCTTCCCTTGCCGTTGGTTTATTCAGCATCAAAATCAGTGCCTTTTAATTAATGTATTACAGTTACCTACTTATTTTGTAGTACGAGCTTTCTCACCTCAGGTTTACGCTCCAAGTTCAGCAATTCATAGAACTGCAAACACTCTTCTTTAAAAAATGTCTTTATGGTTTGCTGTACCCTACTTTAAGATCTTTTCCGTATTTCTGTTTGTAACCTTTCCCAGGGAAACAACTTACCTCTTGTGTCACACTTTCTCTCTCTCTGACATGTTGTGTATCCCGCCAAATTTTCTTATCGTTTGTTGATGTACAGGAGGGGGGGGGGAAGAAGGAAAAAATAGAACATTTTATTAATTGAAGCAAGTTCAAGCTCCTGTGTTCCCATCTCAAGTACAAAATCTAGGGCTAATCTTTCCTTTTTATACCATAAAAAATGTATGTTCCATTGTTCTACGTCATGCGAGAGATATAAGACTGTGAAGAAAAAATTATTCGTTTTGATCTCCTACTTTAAATCAAATAATTACTGATCTATACAGATTTATTGATAGGTACTTGTAGGTCTAGCAAGTTTGCAACATTTTTTCCCCTCCATTTAAACCTACAGAAATGAATCAATTCTCAAAGTGGCCAGCTGCTCCATCAAGAATTGATCATTCAACACAAGCTTAAATGGAGGATAGCTAGTGCTGCTAATCTGCCTCTGTTGATGGCTGTGTGCAGACAGTCAAAAAGTAGCTCAAGCTTAGTAAATTCTTTTTTTTGGGGGGAAGAGGGGGGTGGAGGAAGGCATAAAGGTGCTAAATTAGGTAAACTTTAAATGATGTTAAATGTCAGAGTTTCAAATGGAGAAAATCTCATTAAGTATTAAAAACCTATGAAAAGAAACCTTGTGCAGATTTCAAATTATTACATCACGATGTAAAAATCTAATTTCATCATGCACTTTTAAAGAACTTTTTTTCTGTTTTTCAAAAAATGTTGGCTGTTTGGAAATTGGTATGTTTCTTTTTATTTCTTTCGTCAGGATCATATACTTTAGTTGAAGAAGTTATCATTTTGTGAGAAAAATCCCCTACTAAATTAAATCATTTTAACGTTACCAATGATAAAATGTCATGAAAAACATAAAAGAAAATTTGCTATATACATACTTTCTGTGTCCAAGGTCTGGTCTTTTAATAATGTATGTATTTTAAACAAATTATGTATTTTAATTTATTCAAGTTTTGTAAGTATGATTTTTCGCAGAATTCCAGTCATAATGCTCTTTTTTTTCTTTTAACTTTTGTGCCTAAAGTTTGTTTTGTGATTCGTAGGTGAACTTTAATTTCATTCTTCTAATTTCATTTTTAACTAGTATTTGATTTTTTAAAAAAAAACCCCATTAATTTTCGTAAAATATTTCCATAGAGTATTATTAGTATCGACGTAAATTTCAAATCTTATGGATCTGATTGATCTAATTGAATTGAGTCAACTAGAAATCTCTTTATAGTGACAGCGCTGCCTTTTGAAATAGTAGGAGTACCATTTAAAACAAAAAGTTTTCCTGTTTAAAGGAGAATTCTCGTCCAGGTATTATTAATTGGAGTTTCTATTGATGCAGCAGAATTTTTTCTCCCTGTTTATAGATAGCTGTAGTGTGTATACCCCAGATTTTTTTATTCTCACAATTCGTTTACTGTTCATTGTAGTTTTTGTCCAAGTGATCATAGAAAATCAATTTTTTTTCTTCAAAAGTCTTTCTAAGTTCAAAATATTTTTTAAATTATTTCAAAAGATCTAAATCCTGAAACAAAGTATGTATACTGTCTATCTAGCACATGAATAACTTGGTATCTTTATCCATAAATTTCATGATGTGCTTAGATTTACAAAGTTCATGATCTCAAAGCTTCGTTTAATGAGAAAATGTCAAGACAAAATCTGACATTTGTGATCATTAATTAGAATTAGTCCGGTGTTCCTCATATCACTTCCTAATTTTTGATTTCTGAAAATTATGGTATGATTTATTTGTACAGAGACTGACAGTTATACGAGAACAACTGTATTTTTTTTTCTTGCTCATGCTTTCTAAATTCTTTTTCTTTTTCAAGTGTACTGTAGTTACATAGTATTTTGTTTACCTCCCTGTTTTGTTTTGTCATTGTGTTTTGTATTTTCAAACTGAACAATACATGTGTCCTGTTGTAAGCAATTACATTTTATTTTCAACTCATCACAATTTTCATTAGAGACAAGAGACCCTCCACGAGTATCTTGGCCATGGTGGAAGATTTTACTTTCAGGACTTCAGAATTTTACTGTTGACTTACCTACATGGTTGATGTTCAACAATGTTTTGGCAGTTTTGTTTTGCGAACAAGCCGAAAATGGCCAAAGTTTGGGAAACTTATTTGGCTCATGACGTCACCCGAAGCTCATCATCCACCATGTAGGTAGGTCAACTGCCGAAATTAGGGTGATGACTGTTGCTCCCTTATAATTGTCCATAAGGAACTGTTAAATCCCCGAAAGTAAAAGCTTCCACCTGTCGCCCAGAGGCCAGTTGAGGGTCTCTTGTCTCTGATTTTCACACACCATTCAAAATCTTTCTACCCCTTCCGCACTCTTTTCTTGTTGCATGCTTTCTACAATTAATCATTTCTTCAATCACTGATTTTCTTTGGTTTTATAAAGATTTTTGTGCTGGTCTAACATGACAATCATTAGCCTTGTGCAATGCTCGAAGGTAAAATTTTATCTTCGCCTTAATTCCTCGAAAGAAAGAAAAGAAAAAACAAAGGAGGGAAATTAATGTAGTCCACTACGATTAGCTCAAGTTACAGTTTCTCAATATTACATTTAAAACTTTTTGCAATAATTTAACTGCTTCAAATTTGATTTTAAAGACCCCATTAAGGAGGAGGTGATCATTCTACAATGTGTATGGAAGGTTTTAATCACTCTGGTCTAAACCTTATCTTATCAGCTTAGTTCATTTACTTTTCTTTGTTCCCCCAACCTCAACCTCCAAGGTCCATTACTCATTTGTTAAATTACTCAGTAATGTTTCAGTGCTTCTAATCAAAATGACATTCAATCTTGACTTGTAAGTTTCAGTACATATTTCATATGATTAACTTAAACTGGTGCAGCCCCTTTATTTTATGAAGGAGTTTTAGTCTAATTTATTGGAGAATCATGGCAGCCAACACTAAATTTTTAATTCGGAAACTTGTACTTTATTGCCCCAACGACTAATGTCATTGTAATGGCACAGGTGAACATTACCAAATTAGATGATGTTACAGTGATATTGTAACTTCAACTCTTATTATTCTCTATTTTGTGATATAGGTGAACTCTGCTCCCATAAACGATGTTACATTGATACTGTAACTACAAATGATTTACCATAATTGAGATTCTTATGAAAATGAATCATTGTAAATTAAATCAATGAATATATACCATAATCTAATTGAATCAACGTTTTGTGAACGTCAATAGAAGCTATAGAACACACCTTAATTTGTCAAAAAAATGTATGCATAATTTGAACAGGTTTCAGGAAGTTAATTTCTATGCTAGAATATTGATTTCACGGTGCAAATTATTCCTCAAATTTAAAAAAAAAAAGTCACACTCATGTTTAGAGAATATTTTTTAATTATCTGATGCATATATATTCAAAACTTTCAATGAACATTCACCCAGCTGTTAATTGATAAACGATTTTATTGTCCCTGTGAATACAATTTTAATCAGGTGTTTTCAACATCTTCTTTCATAATTCATGACTGTTAATGAGGATAGGGACCTCAGTCCACACAAAATTGAATGATTGACCCACATTTTACAAGAAAAAACCAAGTACTGTAAAATAACTTTTTGATCCATTGACGATTGCTGCAAAATATCCGAGATTGAAGACAAAAAATGGTGCAAGAAAACTTCAGACTTTTCAGAATAGTCACGGACTCATTTTCAACCGATAAAAAGGAAGAATAACGAGTCGTCGAATTTCTGTCAATTAGCTTTTTTGCAAAATTTTTTGCCTTTGATCTTTTGTATTTTGCAGCTGCCGTCCCCTGGATTAAGTTGTCATTTTACTGTGTTTTTTGACTGATTAAGTTGTGTTTCTTTCTGAGAAAACACTTTCTCCGGCTGATTTCAGAAACAACGTATGCACCCTCAATTTCTGCATGAAGATGAATGCTTTCATCAATCAGCCAAAAATGGTTGTTCCTTTTTGCTATAGTCTAGTTGATTTCTGAGTATAGAGGAGTGTCTTATCAAAATGCCTAACAAAACTGAAGTAATGGAGGCTGGAAGTTAGAAAATCAAACATAAATTTTAGAAAAAGTTGCTCAAAATTCTAATCTACCATGTTCAAAGCACCATGCACATTGCCAGATTGTCGTGCAATTTTATGCCTATAACTTTAACTAAATTGTTGACCACTTACTCTGTAGAATTTGCGAGAGTTTTCTGTTGAAATCTCGAAATCCGATTTTTCGATCCAAGTGGATCGTAATTGCTCTGCTTACTGAAAATGTAGCAGCCTCATTTGCATTTTGTTACTAAAATCAGATCTTTTTTTTATCTGATAAATTTTTTTACTGTATGTAATGAATAGTTTCATACTTCAATGATTGTTTTGAGAGCCTTTTCTCATGTTCATATTTATCTTGCAGATTATCAGCTTTAAGTGGATTTGGAAATCTCTCCCCAACAGAGAATGAAAGGAAGACACACGAACTCAGTGATGAAGGTAATTTTTACCTCTTTTCCTTATACCTATAGCTCAAGGGTTTCCATAGATGAAGGATATCATGGACAAAAAAGTTGAGGGACGTTTTTGTAATTTTGAGAAAAACAGTCTTGAGTACCTGTACAAAACTACCAACTGCAGTAGATTCATCAGCGAAGAAAAGAGTTCTTGCCTTCATGAGTTTTACTTGAAACGATGAAATCTTAATTTTTTTTTAAAAAAATGCTAATTATCTCTTCTATTCATGTAGCCCTTCTAATAATTACATGTTCAATAATAGATGCGAGTCTGGATTAATCTAACGGAAGAGGCAAACCGATGAACAGTAACTCAATAACTTCTTATCCTTGAGGTATCGAGGACAACCTACTTCCAACTTTACCAACCATATGGATGATGAAATGCGTACCTCAATTGCGATATCTCAAAATCTCTGATAATGTTTTATTTCCTTCAAGAAAAATCCAAGTGTATCCTCGCAATTTTGTGTGATATTTTTGGAATGAGTGAAATAAATTCACAGGAAATTTTAATAAAAATAATTGTTTATAGTTTTCCTATTAAAAAATGTAACATGAGGGTAGACTTACAATGTTGCAATCTGACGCACGTATTTTTCGACTATATTCATTGATTTAAAAGTGCAAATGATTGATCAGGGTCAAAGTATTCAATCTCAGATGCAGAAAGGTCTGTAATGTATAGATGTCAAAAAATTAGCATCATGTACAATTTTTTCTCCTTGAGTTTTCTACCAAGGCGTCGATCTTAAAATTGAATTTAACTGCTTTCAGACTCCTCAAAATCTGTGTCATCAGTATCATCACTAACATATGACACTGATACATTACGTTTGGAGCTGAAGCAAAAAGGTTATGTCCCTGGTCCAATCACATTTACGACGAAAAGACTCTACTTGCGGAAGCTGAAAAGGATAAATCGAAAAAAATCAGAGGTGTTATGTGATTCTGGAGTCATTGTTCAAAATCCAGGTAAGTGATTTCTGCCATAAAATGCATTTTTCCCTGTTAATTTTTATTCTCAAAGCACAGTCAAAATTGTTATTGATCGTTTTCCATAAGTAATTTTTGAATAGCTTCATGATTAGTTAAGCAACTACATCAACAAAAGCAGCTCTTACAATGCTTACTGGCGCCTAGCAACACCTTGATAGCTTGAGACACCTCTACACTGAGTTAATCGCTCACCCAAACTTTGCCCAGTCTTTGATCTGATAAACCTTTTGATCAGTGTTTGATTTTAGGAGGTAACTGTATTCTTAATTCCATGATTGGATCCATGATCATTGCATTAGTAGCGTTCTTCATTGTTTTGTCCCATAAAATATTGGTGGTTATACTACAGAAATATGTATCCGAATTGCCTGTTTTAAAATCTCCCATTTTACTCTTCTGAAGAATACTATTAAATGTATACATTAGAAATATTAGTGAAAATAGAAAAGAGGGAAAGTGTTTTGTGTTTTGTGTTTTGATGGTATCGGATTATATATCAGCAAAAAGTAATAAAATCTATCTAAACACCAAGTTTCCATATCCAGTATTAACAACAAAACCGCCTTTCAGAAAACATTATGTCTGACGTTATCCACCGCTGGAGTGCATACCTTGGTTTCTTCCATCTTGGTTTAATCGGTATTTTTAGTCAAGCTACCGGTGCAAATATGTGTATCATCAATTGGCGAATCCAAGTTGCAAGATATTATGGTAGCTGCTGTGGTGGATGATGTTAGAATCTAGACGTTTGATAGATCTCAATATTTTTTGCTAACTCTTACAAGCTTAAACCATCAAAACACTAGTCTGTGACCAGCGCATCTGACATGTCCCAAAAAATATAAATTATGACAGAAATTTGTAACTTTGTCAACTGTTAAATGATTATTGCAATCATCATTCCAGGAATTTTAGTCTCAAATAGTTTCCATCCCCTGTGTTTCAGAATCATTCAGCCATGAAGTGGACAGAACTATCAATCAACCTGATGATAAGGAGTGGCAGAATTTACTGCAAAGTTGGTCTCATCTCGAAATTAAAATGAGTTCATACTTTGAGACACCCACTCGTCATGCCAAGTGGCGAGGTGGAATTTCGAAATGCTCTTTCACTTATCTCTTACTGGATCCTCGAGTCACGGAAAACTTGCCTGCCAGATCTCAGACCATGGCCACTTTAGAAGTTTGGTCTACATTTCTGAAAGCAATATTCTATGTTGGTAAAGGGAAGCGGTCAAGGCCATATGCCCATTTGTATGAAGCAGTCAAGTTTTGGAATGATGGAACTTCTAGCAATAGTGAAAAGGTATGTGACCAAACGTATTCATCCTCTGTTTGAGCTCTGATCAGTGTACTGATTTTCTCTAGGCCTTTTGGCTTATTTTTTGTGAAACACTCAAAATGCAACATATTCACACCTTTGGCAAAGCTCCATATTTTTTAACAATTCAAACAATTCTTGTGAACTTAAAAAATCTCAATCAAATGTGCAATTCGCAAAATCTTCAAAAATATGAATGTGCTTTGCTGTAGAGCTGAGCCTTCTTAGTTGCTCCAACCAGAGGAGGCTCTTAAAAAAAAAAAAAAAAAAATTAGTTTTTTTAATATTGAATTAATGACGCTGTCGCAGATGAGGGTGAAATTAGAAGGATTTCCATCTATTGCGTACTAAAAAAAGGGAAGAAAATTGTAAGAGAACGAAGAGTGATAATGAACATTAAGGGCCAAAAGGTGTGAATTGTATTACAAATTCAGATTTACACAATTTTACCAAATAATGTCATACAAAGAAAGCCGAAAGGCAAAACTTGGATTCCGAGCTCCAAGGGTCGCTGGTGAAAAAGACCTCAAAAAACATGCAGCTCATGTTTTTATGGACTTGTTGACGTCACCAGTGGTGAACATTCTCCATGATTGGCTTGCTGTTGGTAATCAGTGGAGCTATCAGTTGTAACTCTGGTCACTAAATTCACGGTTGATGGCTGGATGCTACCAAAGTTGGAACTGAAGTTGAAATTCGAAAAGTGACCAAATCCAGCCAATACCAATGATCAGAAGAAAAATATATGAAATAGGGAAATCGAGAGAAAAGCAGGTTGCAGTGCGCACTTGCAGCAGATGCTAACTTAGGGGTTCTTTTCTCCCATAAAATATTCAACACAACTAAGACTTTAATTTCAAGAGTTTGGCCAAAAAAAAAAGAACCTTGCAATGAACTCATGATAACATAAATTCTTAAATGACGTATTTATGATAGTGATAGAGTACAAAACCTCTGTCACGGTATTGACTTTTAACAATCTAACGTTTGAATCTGTTTCTGTTCTTCTTCCAGACGCAACACATTCTAAACCTCTGGAAGTCAAATCATGGTGTGATTTGCTTGAATGTATTCCAAAACATAATGCCTGTCGAAGCGTTAACGCGAGAGGCAGCTATGATCGAGGCTCTAGGTGTCAAGAATTTGAAAAATGAAAAACATGGAGAATACTATGGCCCTTGCACTTCATGGTCTCAAAAACAAAAATGCCAACTTGGATGCTTCCTTCTCTATCGAGCTTTAATTGTGTTCCTTGCGGACGGTGAACGGCAACTGAAGCCGTACGATGTTGAATAAGCGATTAAATAGCTTACAATATCCTGAATGATCAAATTGCGTTCATCACCTTGCAATCAATACATTTTGACATGGTGCTTTAATGAAAGAACCAAAAATTATTAAAGAAAATTTATATCAATCCCTGTATCTATAAAAAATTAGCTGTTAAGAAACTAATAAGACTGTAATAACTGACTGCCCCTGCTCTAGACGTGTGGTAAACAAAAATATAAAAAAGAAAATTCTTAGAGAACCTCCCTGTAAGCATAAGGAAAGTTGCAACAAAGTTTTGAAAAATTAATTCCACATAAACTGGACCTTGACAGGCAACTAGGCTCTATTTTACTCGTAGCATTGAAAATTAGCAAAAATAAAAAAGGAAGAATCTTTTGTATTAAACAAAATGAAATTGTAAAATTTCAATGGCACAACGTCCAAATGAAATGCCAGTTTCAAGTAAATGACTAAAAGGCACATCAATGACACTTTTAATGTCACCGAGCATTTCTCCTAATCAGGAAAAATATTTTTCATCAAACCGTACTTTGGTGTACATAATTTAGTGCCTATGTAATCTCAAATTTGATATCTTTCCATGTAAATGAATAATTTGAAATATGTAATAGATTTTAGTTAGGCTCCATGAGAAAAGCATATTTTCCAATAAATGCCAAGTTCTTATAACTTGTCTCCAATTAAAAGATGACAAATTTTAATTGTAAAATGCCTCAAACTGTATTCGTCTGCATCTTGTTTTAATTAATTGCAAAATTTTAATCGAGGAAGGTCAAAAATTCCTCTTTGGTAAGGCACGAGGATGTTTGTATCAGAAGGCTGCAGAGACATTGCTCCGCAGGCCACAAGTTCAAAGGAAAAAAGTGCCTGCCGATGTATCCTATCACTCTTATTACTTGTGTTGTTGCTAAATATTTAAAGCCATTGATAAAATCACTGATCTCAAATTGAAAGTCTTAGAATAATTTATTTTTAAAACAATGGACTGCTAACAAATACTTGGTACCTGATGAGTTGCAAAGAAAATATTACCAATGAAATATATGCTACAAATTAAAGTTTGCTGTAATCAGTAATAACAATATTTTGAGACTTGTATGGAATGAACTTAACCTGAAAGATTTATTTCTTTTCTTTTTTAATTTTTATTTTCTGTGTATTATTTAAAGTAGACCTCTATCCTCATTTTTCAATTGACAATTCAATACCTTAATGGAGATTTCGCGCTTGTTCTGTCAACTCAGCAGGTAGATTTGAAAAAATAAGAAAAATTTAGTGTCCAATAACACATACCTAGTGCCTTTGAAAAGTCTTCAATTATTCCTGGCAAATTATGAAAGTCTGCCGTTTTTTTCAAGAAGTGTCTATTGGTGTACAGTACTGAAGAAAGTATTTTCATCTTCACCAGCAACATTCTACATCCCTTTTTACTTTGTAATTCTGATCTCCGAACTAGCTTTTGTGGCAATAGAGAGAAAGGATGTATTTAATTTTCTTGATGAAGCATTTGGGATGTGAATTGAAATTTGATGAAGGTAATATATTTTATTACTGAAAAACTTGCTTAATTTTTGTTTGTAAAAGCTATCCTTGTTTTATGATCAATATTTCCTACCTGAGAAATTTTTCTTTTCTTTTTAAATTTTATTTTTGTCTTTAGATCTCTTGTACAATGTTTTGCTGATTTCCCCGTACAATTATTAAGTATAATTTTAAATCTATTTGTTTAATTTCTCTCCTGAATTTATGTGTCAAATTGTATTTTGCATCAAGAGATTGATGCAACAGTTGGTGTTTTCATATCCAGTATAATTAAATAAATCAGCAACATCCAAAAAAAACTTTCTCATATGAAAAATTCCTAACCTTTTCCAAGTATGTTACCTCTGTCAAATAAATGGTCTCAGGCATTATATTCAGTAGGTATAAATTGTTAGCACATGTCTGAAAAAAATAATTAAGTGCTTCAGTTTTAAACTTTGTATGTGTTTTAACCGATAATGATATCAACGGGTACATACTTTCAATTTTCTTTTAGACTTTGTTTAACGTTTCAGTCATCGCTTTGTCTGAAGAAATCAAAATATCCAAATTATGTGTAATTGACTCCCCTGTAGATTTTTATTGCTGTTACTGTCAATGTAACTTTTGAAAAAGAAGAAAAAATTGAGTTCCAATCAAGTGGTCAAAGTATTTTTCCCACAGATCGTGTAATTTTTGTGTTACCTGAAATTTTGTATCATTTGGCTATCACGAGGACAAGTTGATTCTTAATGCTCAATTAGTTGTATCTGTTAACTGCCTTGTAGTAAGTACATATAATTTTTCAAAAATATTTCTCTCTGCTTATTTCAGAAACCTCATCATCAAGTGATTTTAAACACCTTTGTAAAGCTCAATTTCCCGATAGTTGACTTCTCTTATGTAATTTGAGACAAAGAATCTATGGCGCATGGTCCGATGACCCTGGAGAGGTCCCTGATTTGCACTGGCACGGCGTGCTTTGCGATATATCGATTGAGCTGCCATTTAAACCTATGGAAAAGGATCGATAAACAGGGTGTTTGCAACGGGTATTACACCGCCAGATCGAGATAAAAAATCCAGTTGATCCTCAAGCCACCTCTGAGTTTCGTATTTCCTGGCTACGTCATTTTTCTCGTGACTTGCGACAATTTTCGAATTTCGTCACTTGGACGTATCAAAGAAGTATTGAATTTTTCTGCTTATGAGGCACTAAATTTTTTGGGAAAGTAGGTACTGAATACGTGGAGCAAAAATACTTAATATTTGCCAGCCAGTTTTAATATACCACCTATTTATGCAACACAAGAATCCTGTTAGTCAGCAGTTTTGAAAACGCCTTCAATTGAGGCGTGATACCTCACGCATTCCAAAGAGTACGAATAGTTGTATCGTTGCGCCTTAGCACAGTGGGGGAAGATTTATTTGCCTCCACGTTGGCCTTGTCGGTTTTCCTTTGCCGCTATTGTAGTTCTGACCGCATAGTTTAAGTTTGCTCAAGCTAGGATTGTAATTAGCGATCGGTTAATTCTTTTAACCGATTCGGAAGAATTTTGATTCCGTTGTATTTCCCATCTATTATCCTGTTTTATTGTTACTTTGAGTTCCTTTTGGAACTCAAATCAACAATGAAGTACAAGAAAATACAGCATAAATATGTATGAAAGCTAAAATAGATCGAAAACCCATCCGAAAAAATTACACACTCATTATTAACTGGACAAAAAATTAAAACAAGGAGATGTGCGCATAACTGTTGCACTAGCTCGTAAGATCAGTCATTCCATTTATATCATGCTCCAAATTAAAAGCGACAAGCGAATCCCGATATGGAAAGTTGGAAGTTTCGAAAACTCCTTCAATTAAAGCGTGATACCTCACGCATTCCGGAGAGTACGAATAGTTGTATCGTTGCGCCTTAGCAATGCGATGGAAGATTGAAATTGAAGCAGCCTCCACGCTTTTCCTTTGCCGCTGTAGGAGTTTTGACCGCAAAGTTTAAGTGTGCTCAAGCTAGGATTGTATTTAGCGAATGGATAATCTTAATCCTTATGGAAGAATTAAAAATAAACAAGCGGTAGGAAATACGACGGCATAAAGGAACTCAAATTAACAATATAAAATACAGGAAAGAACAATAAAAATGTGTATTAGGGCTGAAATAGAACGAAAACACATTTGAGAAAATTACACACTCATTATGAAGTGGATCGCAGGCTTCAGACAAAAAATTAAAACAAGATGTGCGTATAAATAAATGTTGCACTAGTTCGTCAAGATCGGTCATTCCATTTATCTCATGCTCAAAATTAAAAGCGACAAGCGAATCTCGATATGGAAAGTTGGCAGTTTCGAAAACGCCTTCAGTTGAGGCGTGATACCTCACGCATCCCAAAAAGTACGAATAGTTGTATCATCGCGCCTTAGAAATGCGATGGAAGCTTAAAATTGAAATACCCTCCACGCCACGCTGGCCTTGTCTGGTTTTCTTTGCCTCTATTGCAGTTTATAACGCATAATTCAAGTGTGCTCAAACTAGGATTGTATATTGCAAATGCGGATGATTCTTATAGAATAATTAAAAACAAACACGCTGTAAGGAATATAATTAAATAATAAGAACTCAAGTCAACAATCAACTTGAAGATACCAAAACAGTACTAAATTATCATTGCTTATGAGGTAGGTACTAAATATTTTGGAAATTTACTGAAAAATTACTGTAGAAGTACTTAATTTTTGCCAGCCAGTTTCAGTAGACACCGTGTGCGTAGCGTGAGGTGTAGAATCGATTCCATGGTCTCAATTCCAGCGGATCAATTTTTAGGCGGCGTTTTCTACAGATAGCGCGAAGCGACGGACTCGCGGAGCTTTTCCGACTAGAAAATCGCATTCAGCGGGTCATTTCCAATAATGCGAGCTTGCTTGGTTTACTTAAAACTTCAAACCAAGGTATCAAAAATAATTGATCACTAATCATTCAATCAAAAATCCAAGAAAAGGTAGAAACTCAGAAATTCTAAGACCATAAGTGAAAACTACTTATAATCTTTTCATTCAAAGAAGGGGTATCGTTAAGGGCCTTTTTTGGGCCCACCCTGAAATTCCTCAACTCCGCGATTTTTTGGTCATTGAAGGTCTATATTTTACGGAATGCATAATGGTTTGGTCATTTTCGATCTATTTCGGGGTCTATCACTGGCCTAAACATGGGTCTGAAGGCCAATTTTGGCGAAAAATGCGGGTTTTTCGGCATTCAAAGCGTTGTTTCATACCGATCCCTTCGGAGGACAAAAAATTCCTTCAAGTATGTTCATCAGGGATGTAAGAGAGTCACTTTGGCCAATTTTCGTTGATGTCAAACTTTGCGCTCATTGTTAAAAAAAACTTTTTAGAATTTTCCTGTTTTTCATCGTTATTTAAAATGACTTAAAAAAGCGACTCATCTTACGCCAGAGTTTAATTTTTTTGACAATAAATGGACGTGGATGGTCAAAACCTTCCTCAAAAAACTTTTTTGGATTCAAAGCCCCCCAAAAAAGCCGGTGTTGCCATATTTTATTGCCTGAATTCACGGAAAACCTAGTATTTTAGAACTCGGAGGCTGTTCCTCGTCAAGAATATTCCGCAAGTTCAGAAACCTTTATTCACACGCAGTGGCCACATTAGTAGAGATTTTATGCATGTTTTATCTATTTATGTATTTATCTCCCGCTGTGGCTCAGCGTTGCCACATGTTATTCGGGAAAATCGAGAACAATTCGCGTTTAGGTGGTTTTGCGCCATTTTTTTCGGATCATGCCAGTGGTAGACCCCGAGATAGATCGAAAATGACCAAATCATTATGCATTCCGTAAAATATAGACCTTCAATGACCAAAAAATCGCGAATGAAATCGTGAATGATCGCCCACCCTGAAATGGAATTTCAGGGTGGGCCCAAAAAAGGCCCTTAACGATACCCCTCCTTTCAATCTAAGTTAATTTATTTGAAAATTTGCCCAGGCATTTGACAAAATGCCTGATTTTACTATTTGCCTGAGACATATACTCTGTGACCCTGACGATGAAGCGCTTGCCCTTCGAAAAACCTCGGTCAAAGTTTATGTAAGTGTTTTTTTTTTATAAAATTGTAATATTATCTCTAGCACTTGGCTACACCCTACATGCCAATATATTCAGTGCTACTACCTTTTAGACATTATGTGTTATACAATATTCGCTGAACTTGATTTCCTATTTCAACACATGTAATTCAGCGGATTAAATCATTTTTTCGTATCTCAGTAATTAGGTAAACAATCTATGAACCAAAAGTATCTTCGTGCTTAGTTCTCTCGGTAGTTTCTACTTAAATACAAAATATTTATCAAAGTTCAGACTCCTGCAAGGAATTCTTATCGAAAGATCCGAACTAAATTTTGGTCTTATTTTAATTTTTAGTTATAGCAAATAGAGTTAATACTTTGTAGTTCTCTATATTTTGAATAAAGAAAAAAAAATTAATTTCAATTCAACCACTAGATTCCTGATAAACGAGAAGATCGGTTGCCCGATCCTAGGAATGCCTGATGGCGCTCACCACAGATTTGGAATTTTTGCCCTATTTTTGGGCACTGTTTTAAGTTGAGTTTTAGTTCAAGCTGAACAAATTATGATGACTTAAAATTAAAAGTATAATAAGATTGGAACTGTTGTGTCGAACTTGATGAAAATCCGCCTATTTTTAGCCGGTGTTCATCCGAATCTTCCATGGCAAATTCTGCCGTGCAAAGGAGAATGACAGTATGAACCTTCAGGCGTTGCCAAATTTTCATTTATAAAACACGAATTTCCTGGTAAACTTATATATTTTTCTCCCAATTTTTCAGATTATGTTGTTTGCAATTTCACCTAAAGTTTCCTGCTTTTCTACTCCTGCGTTAAAGTCCCCTTGTGATAGACTCGGAACGGTGCAGTGTAACTCAATGGTTACAAACCATAGATCCTATACTGCTAGCGATGCGATGCGTGCTATGGAAAAACGCCGTATGAACCTTCAGGCGATCCCATATTTCCTTTGATAAAACACAAATTTCCTAGTAAATGTACGAATATTTTTGTCTCCCAATTTTTCAGATTATGTTGTTAGCAATTTCACCTAAAGCTCCTGAAAATTTCAAGAAAAAATGTTCGTAACTTTTCTCAAAAATGAACATTTTACTGAAGGAAATTTGGCAAGTTTCGAATGCTCATACGGCGTTCTTCCTTAGCGCGACAGAATTTCTAGGAGACTTTAACGATTGAGAAGGAAAGCAAAACGTGCGTTGATGCAAGACAAAGAATTAGTGCGCAAGAGATTGCATACTTTCCAGGCTCTCTTTAAAAAACACGCATTACGATTGCTTCCGAGCCACGCAGTGGCGTGGCGTGAATTGCGATGTATCGATTGTTTTGCAATTTAAACGTATGGTAAAGAATCGATTATTAAGGTGTTCGTAGCGAACACCATGTTCATCGATCATTTTCCATAGGTTTAAATGGCATAACAATCGATATATCGCAAAGCACGCCACGCCACTGGAGCCACCCTAAAAAAAGAGTAATCTCCGTGTTTTCCGGACCTGTAGACACCCTGATCTAGGGAGAGCAGGCCCAGCTGTAGAATACCTCTCATTGATAGCCAGAAAAATCAATCGGCAGAAAAAATGTTTGAAGTCAACACTCAAATCCCGTCAGTCCGAACTCTGTGTTGCGAAAGAATGTCCTATGAGCCCTCGGACGTTGCCAAAATTTGCCAAAGTGACTCTCTTACATCCCAAATGAACATACTTGAAGGACTTTTTTGTCCTCCGAAGGGATCGGTATGAAACAGCGCGTTGAATGCCGAAAAACCAGCATTTTTCGCCAAAATCGGCCTTCAGACCCATGTTTAGGCCAGTGGTAGACCCTGAAATAGATCGGAAATGACCAAACCATTATGAATTCCGTAAAATATAGACCTTCAATGACCAAAAAATCGCGGAGTTGAGGAATTTCAGGGTGGGCCCAAAAAAGACCCTTAACGATACCCCTCCTTTATAGAATTAAACTTAAATTGATTGATATAGAAAATACCATATTTCAAGCTCGTTTTTCGGGCCGAGGCCCGATCGGCGAACTTTCCATTTGGACCCAAAAAAATCAGTCCATATAACCGCAGTCGATTTTTCTCGATTTTGGTCGTGGGAAAAGAATTTGAGATTAGACTATGATCCTACGTAGCTGACGGCGCTGGATCGATTGCGCATGGTCTCGAGGCTCGGCGAGGCTACCTGAGCCAAGAAACAGTCAAAAACTGGTCGAAAACGACTGTTTTTGACAGTCTCTAGGTGGCGTTTTCCGCGGATAGCGCGAAGCGACAGACTAGCGAATCTTTCCGACTAGAAAATCGCTTTTAGCGGGTCATTTTCAAGCGAGTTTGATTGCTTGTAATCACTTTTATTTTTAAGGAAATCACAGAGAACTGGGAAAGTCTTAAAACAATACGAATTTATTGAAATTTTTACAATAGTTTGAGTATTTTTTATGTCCATAAATAGCCATCCGAAAGGATTCGTTTTAGCCAACATTAGAACATTTCATGCTCAGATAGCTTAAACTTTTTTGCCTGAATATTCAAGTTCATGCGTCCGCTGAAAATCCGTCCTCAGGAATGAGAAGACCTGAAAAAAATAGTTAACCACCATATTTAAAGAGACCTCTTTTAAAGGAATGTTTACCTTTATATGACCATGAAAAATTGGACACTAAAGGTAGATGTATTTATTCAGTTTTGAATCCATTTTTGTGTATTACATTCGAAAACGTCTTTTTAACCTGAACTTCTACTACAGCAAGGCTAGTAACATGTGGAGCAGGTGATCAACATCAAAGGCTGGCAGCAATCCCTTCTCATCCTCTCTCAACTTCTCCCACCTTGAGTCGCCGTTATTTTTTTATCCTAAGAGTCTCCATGAGACCCAATGGACGTAGGGACGTACCCTCCCTATAAAGGTACTTTACTACCCAAGTACCATTTTTCAATGGAAAAATTGGGATATATTGCAATTTTATCGGCGATAAAATTGCAAGGATCATCAACATCTGAGTGATTATCCTCGCAAAAAAAAAAAAAAAAAAAAAAATCCTCGTGAAAATTTATCGCGATTTCATCGAACCAAAAATTGCGGTGTGTAGCGATTCAATCGCCATATATCGCAATTTTTAATGCGATAATATCTCGATATATTGCCACCGATATAATCACGAGCACCAACCGATAAATTTGCTATTTATCGCGATCACTGCTACTTGGGTATGGAGGGTTAGGTGAATTTTAATTGGAGTATGAAACAATTAGCAAAGTTACACACCAATATCTTAGCCAGAGTTTACTGCGATGTGCTCTTTTTCAGAATGGCCCTTCGTATGTGTTAGGTACGAATAAAGCAACACACGCCCATCATTTATGTTGATTATTATTAATGCTCTGTCTATTATTATTCAAGTAATATACTATTGAATCAACAATCAACACATAAATATTTGAATTAGCTATTAAAGGAAGAACATCACCTCTATCAAGTAATGCGCACGAGTGTCGATTTGAGCACAGGGGAGAATTTCACGAGCCGCTGTCCGCGGCGCAGTATGGTCCAGAACTCAAAAATAGGAAGAAATAAGTCGGTTAATGGCTGAAAGATCACGAAAGTATCGTTACTGATGTTTTTTGAGTCGCTAATCTCGAATTTGATGTCAAATTGCCAAGACTTTAACATCTAGACTTATTCAATGTGGGCGAGTTTCGCACGCTGCGGCGCGGCGTGCTCCCAGCGCGAAACACATTGGCGCCTACAAACCTAAAGGGATACTTCAAGCATTGCGCAATGCATGAAGTAGCCCTGTAGGTTTGTAGGCATCAGTGACCATCTCGCGCTGGCAGCACGCCGCGGCGCTTCCGGCGGGCGGGTGATGAACGATTTCTAGCTGGGAGAGCTCCCTGGGGCTCTTTAACGAATAAGCGACTTCTGTTAAATAGGCAACTTCGAGTTGAATTAATTGTTTTTTTTTTTTTTTTTTTTTTTTTTTTTAAATTGCCGACTTTTAAAATTACACACTGTTCGTGTGAAGCAATTAGTGAACTTCAACGCTAGAAGAAGTGTAATAATGAAAGGCGGGTCGTGCGCCATGCGCGCTGCGGACGGCCGGCGGCTCATGAAATTCTTCCCTGTGCTCTGTCGCATGAGTGTTCCTAGTTCCGTCTATTTGAAGATCGCGCGCTCAAATTCGCGCAGGAAATGAAATGGAGTAGCACTGCTCTCTGGCGGTCAAACGCGACGAGTTTCTATTTCAGCGCGTTTTTCAAAACCTCTATAGTGTATACTAGGCGCGTGCGCGTACTCACACGAACACAGTATTGTGCGTCGTATTATTAGGTAATTTTTTAAATAACTCATCGTTGAAGAGCACCTCGAAATCAAGGCACCTCCGATTCCGGATCTGCGAATTGCCGGGTCGCATTCAGAGGCGGAGCCAGCAATTTGACAACACCGGTTTCCACCATTTAAATTTATGCAAAATAATCGATTCTTGTCCAGAGGCGGGTCCAGCAACCTGGCAACACCGGATTTTCTCCATTTAAAGCCATGTTAAATAATCGATTTTCGTCGGAGCACTTGCCTCCTCTAAGAATCGATACATTTCCATAGGTTTAAGTGGAGAAAAGCAACGTTGCCAATTTGCTGGATCCGCGAATGTTCTTGTCGGAGCACCTGCCCCTCCCAAGAATCGATACATTTCCATAGGTTTAAATGGAGGAAATACGATGTTGCCAATTTGCTGTATCCGCCAATTGTCGCATTCATCGTCGTCCCTTAAAAAGCAGGGAAACCTCCCTCAGCAAAATCTTACCCGCAACGCAAGCTGTTATGAAACACGTGATGCTCCCAGCGATGACCGCACGGAAGGCTACTTTAGTGACGTTCTGCGTTTGTTCAGGACAGAGTGTCGACAGAGTTCCGATGAGACCTCCCATCGCTGCAGGGTTCGAGAATCCGCACAATGCAAATGTTGCGATCGCTTCAGATCTAGCCTGTAAAGCACATTAATATCAAATAACCTCATGATATTTCATGATTATTATCACTTCGTTAGTGTTACGGTGTACCTCCTATACATACAAACAGTGTTGGATCTATAATTTATTTTTATTTTTTATGCTATAATGCCGGGTTAATTTGGGCGTCCACTGGAAAAAAATACATTGGATCTATAGAGTCAGACTCTTGAAAACATTGACAAGAAAAAATACTCTTGATTCAATCGGATTTTTGATTGAATCAAAACGAAATCCGCTTAAATTAAGAGGCTTGGTTCTTGATTTAAGCTAGATTCTGATCGAATCAAGAGTCCTTTTTCTTGTCGATGTTTTTAAGAGTCTGGACTTTAGATCCAATGTGTTTTCTTTTCCAGTGTCTAGTAATTGGGAATTTAGGATCACCTCAGAGGTGAGAGAGGATTCAGGGATTGACCCCCGAAAAATTTCAAAATATTGAAATGGAATTTGTTTTAAATGTTCTCGAGTTTTCTATCGACCTTCGATGGCGAAGGAACAACACTGCCTTCCTGTTACTTTCACCGAAAATGAGTTATAGCGACTTTGCCGCACTCCGCAGTATGAAAGATGATGTTTTTAGTTATTTTCAAGTCTGTATGCAGGGGCGTAGCTAGGAAACTTCTCTGGGGGGGGGGGAATGGGACCACCTCTCGTGGTGAAGAGAGCGGAGGGAGGGTGAGGAATGAAGGATCCCGTTTTTCTGGGGGGGGGGGCATCCCCCCCCAAGGACCCCCCTAGCTACGCCCATGTCTGTATGGGAGCCGTAGTGGTGTTAAAAGAAACCAAACAAAAATGAATAAAAGAGGAGAAAACCAAGAAACATGCAATCTTCGGTTATAACACATTTGTACGTTTATCTTTTAGAGTCAAATACGTCCAATATTGAGCGTTTGGTTGCGCGCACACCACGCTGCACCACTTAAGAGCACATAATATGTTAGAAAAGTGCCTGCCTTGGAAATCATTAAATCTGACACAGAACTACCTTAATATTAATAAAACACACCTGTATTTTCCTTTAATTTTTTTTTCATCAACTTATATGAGAATAATCTGTGCAGAGTGTGCAAACATTTCAAAATCATGAGTTGAAAAATGCTGACTCCGCGAGTTTAAATGTTAGAGCCTAACATAGAGCGAGCAGCGTGCTGCCGGCGCGGAACGCGCACTGGCGCCTACAAACCTAACAGGGATACTTCACGCATTGCGCTATGCTTGAAGTATCCCCTTAGGTTTGTAGGCGCCAGTGCGCGATTTGCGCTGGCCGACCGCTGGCCGCGCCGAAGCGTGCCACGGAGCCTCAAGCAACTATTTCACAACAGAGGCGTTGCACAGTATCATACGAAATTGAAGGCGTTCCAACATATAAAGAATGGCAGGCATCCTTGAAGAGTACATTTTTCGGTCATATTTTTAGCAATAATGATAATCACTCGAATTTTTTCGCATTAATCTTCAAAGGGTTACGTATTATAACGCTTTCTAATGATTTATTGCTCTACTTCTCAATGAATATTATGTAAATTCCGAAAATGTGCCGTCTGTTACGCGGTAAAAAGTCAGCGTAACAGACAGCACATTTTCGACCATTTATATATTAAAATTGAAAAGTAGAGCGATAAATTGCTGAAAAGCTTTATAAAAATGTGCTGATGAAAAAAAAGCTGATGAAGCGATATAAAAATGTTTTCGAACATAAACTTTATTCGCTTTATTTGCACTTCTTTGTTGCCTATGTGCTGAGATTGAAGGCGAACTTCAGATGGGCGATATCTGGTTGGTCCAGACAAGAGTTTCCTCTGCGTAGGTAATGCTATACGTATATCTAAATTTACTCAACCCGGAGAAATGGGTACAGACTTTCCCTCCACAGATGAATAAGGAAAGAGTTCAGGAAAAGAAATGAACAGAGAATAAAGCAGTTGAAATCAATCATACTAACCGATAACTTGTTTTCTCTCTTGAGTTCTCCCAGTTTTTCGTAGGCGATAAACTCATTCAAAGATGTTTTTATTCCAATCAATTGAGCGACTTCGTAGCTTTGGGCCGGATCGACTCCCATTATCAGAGCGACTGGAATGAACATGGTTCCCAATATACTCTGAAATCGAAAATAGGTAATTTAGCATGACAATCAAACGAAAAAAAAGTTAGGAAACTTAAGTCAAGTACTTAGTCAAGAAAAATACAAGCATGTCTATGTTCCACGCAGAATTTTAACTTCCAGTGTTTTAAAAGTATCAGATATTTTCAGATTTTTTATTTTATTTTTTCTGTTGATAAAATAGAGAGAAACATATGTCAACGGCGTACCTAAGTCCACAATCACGTATCTTGTTGGCAGTGTTTGAAAATCTCCACCTCTATATTATTTTTTTAAAGGAGAACAAATTGACATCATTCCTTGAAGTTTCTCCACAGAGAAAAAAGTCACGGCAGTTTTAAAGAATTGTCATTGAATAGTTTTCCATTAAAAAAATAAAGTATGACAGGAAGTCTGCGACGTCGCAAATCGAGTTATGAGATTGCCGACTTACACCGTTGTAGTGCTCTAATCTTGTTCCTTTATTTCTGACTTTCATGTTTATTATTATTTGAGGCTCGCAAATTACTAGCAATTGCTAATTGCTCCGCGACATATCCACCGCATACACCATGGGTAATCCCAAAAAAACACGATAATAGTATTGGCTATGGACTTACACCATCGATATGCATGAATACAGCTGCTACAATGTTGTATCAGTTTATAAATGATGCAACTATTCGACCTCCGTGACCACGCTAGGAAGTATCCTTTCACAATGAAGGCGTTTCTAATGCGTTCACATTTTTCACCAATGAATTATCTCAAACAAAATGGTCGAAAATAATTTTTTATGTTTTTTTTTTTTTAAAAAAAAAAAGTCTTCAATTTAAAAAAAATTGAGACGAAGAATTTGTTTCTAAAATCAAAGACAATTTTGATTTATACTACGGCATCTTCTGCACCAATTTACTCGCCGCAACGGGAATTCTGCAAATTTAAAGGTGGAGACGAAATGTTCGCCTTAATGACAGATTTTCTTACTTCTCTTACTTGCTGTGATACTTACTCCCATGCTAAGTCCCTCGACTCCAACTAGAAGTCCCAGCCACCCAAGGCATCCGTTGACGAAGGTGGCAAAAGCAACGAAACAGAGGACTGTCGCTACGATCCTCAACACAAGCTCGATTCCGGCTGCCGCTCCCTTGCAAGCAGCTTCAATCACATTCGATTCATCGCTAAAACCAACCAACAGTCGAATCTTATAATTTTTACAAGAGGAGTGAATATCCCTTGGGGCAGGGTTTTCAATCAAGCGGAATCCTGGAGATACCTCAATTTCTTGATAGTCGTTTTTTTGTTGTTATTTTAGTTTCATCATCAGTAAGTATGCAGAACAAAGGTATCAAGAAAAAAATCACAGTTTTTCGCGGTTTAGTGGAGCCTACACTTTTCTCATCAAGCTCATAAAATATTCAATACAAAATGAGGGGCTTGGAAGACAAGGCGCATAAGTGCAGTTTTTGAAAAAATTGAGATATTAATAGTTTGAAGTAAAACTAGTCTTAATGCATATTCTATGAAAAATTCGCCCCAAATTCCAATCTTCACGCATTAAAAAGTCAGTTTGAACTTTCTTTCCCCCATGAGAATCGATGTAATTTCAAAACTTCAAACAAGTAATTCTCAAATTAGTAGAAACTGCACTTATGCGCCCAACGGCACAGACCAAGAACGAATTTACAGTCAGTTTTCCTGGGGCAAATTAGAGGCTAAGGCCTTCATTGTTATTTTGAACCGTTAAAATCGACAAACATGCAATTAGAGCGAGGTCAACCATTCATGGAAACACTCAGTGTCTAGTTTTGTGACAAACGTTTAGAATAAGGATAATAATCAATGTTAGTTAATCAATGTAGTAATCAATGTAATAAGGTCAATGTTATAATCTCAGGAAAAACCACTCACTTCGACTATTATTTTAAGTCTAGGTACCTTGATTGCCATAATTGCTTGTCAAGGTTTACTGCATAATTTTCCTATCATCGGAACCTTGAAATTTCCCAATATCTTAAAAATGGACAGACAGTGGTGGGAGAAACTTTAGTTTCTAGATTTCAGCAAATAAATTAGGATGCAAAGAGCTATTCTCTTCAGTACTGGCTCCACCTAATCGACATTCGAGTAAGTTTTATTCTTCATCTTGGCCTATATATTTATAAAAATTGGACGAAATTTTTGACGGCTGATGACTCGTTTTTGCGTTCATCATGATTCTTCAATAAGCGGCTTGATTTTTTTCTCCTAAAAGAAAAGTTTTGCATGGGACTTTTAGACCTCTCAACAAAGGGCTTCCGTACGTAACGCTTTTGGAAAAGGAAGGAATTTTTTAAGTGTATTTGTTCAAGAACGAAATTAACTTTTTTAATGTGATAATTAGAATTCTGTGCTACATTAAATGAGGAAACCGATGCGAATTAGTCATTAAGGGTATGATTTTTACTCTGGGAAAACTGGACCCTATTCATTTTATGAGCAAACTATCAGGACTTCAAGTATTCTTAAAAGAGAAGAGATTAGAATAATGAAATGTGGGAAGGAAAATACATGTGCGTGTTTGTGCTAAAAAGGATTTGAAAATTAATAAAAAAAAAAAAATAACCACTAATGAGCACGTAAAATTTTATATTCATATTTCCTCTACATTTGTCGCAAAGCAATTTGCATGGAGCTTAAATTTTGTTTCGCAGTAATGTGTCTCGGTAAAATAAAAGAGAGATGGGTAACGTTTTTCATAAGAACGGTCATCCGCTTTGAGCGCCTTCAATTTGTATGATACTCTACGCTTTATCACAGTGTTAGTTTAGTTGCCTGATTCAAACTTAATTACAGGGTCACGGATTTCAGTACACGCTTTACCGAGTGCACCGGTCTTTACCATGTTCTTACTAGGGAAAAAGTGTCTATTTCCATTAAAGGGAACTAAATCAGTACTCTAATCGTGTTCCCTTATTACTTCTGAAATTTATGTTTTTATATGCAAGTATATGATCATTAGTAATCACACTTAAAAAGTGCGACATATTCACTTCATTTGCATACTGCTCTTCTTAGTATGAATTCGTCCTTAGAGCTTTAGAGTAAGACAAGAGCTCACAACCCTTTTTTTCTGCATTTTGAACACTGGAAAAATAAACACATTGGATCTAGAGTCCAGACTCTTGAAAACATTGACAAGAAAAAGGACTCTTGATTCAATCAGATTTAAGCTAAAATCAAAAGGAAATCCGCTTAAACTAAGAGGCTTGGTTCTTGATTTAAGCTTAAATCTGATTGAATCAAGAGTATTTTTTCTTGTCGATGTTTTTAATAAGAGTCTGGACTCTAGATACAATGGGTTTTTTTCCAGTGAATAGAAATAAAATCAACGATTAACACAAGTAAGGAAGAGAGCTTCAGATTAGAACGAGTGCCCTTAGAGTAATGTTTTATTTTATTAATTTTTGGTGCAGAATTGATGTGACTAATTGAGCTAAAAACATAAATGCCGTCATATATGTGATTTGATTGAAGACCTTACTCCAAAACTGCGCAATCCGGGGGAAAAAATGTATTGCAGAAAAAATTATTTTTAAGGTCAAATGCATCTCTCAGATATTTCAGAATCAGGCAACAAGGATCTATAGCATCATTAATCATAAAAATATTCACGGTAAAATTCTGCGTGTCAGAAGTCGTGTGCCCTAGCCCAGGCTTTGATGGCTCTACAATTCACGTAGAACTCCAGCCGAACTGTAAAGTAAACGTTGATCTCAAGACTTTAAGGTTTTTAAAGTTCGTAATAAGGTTTTAAGAGGCTTTAAAAACCTTAAGGATCTGACTAAAGAATAAAGCTTCTTACACGATCAAAGTAGAGCTTCAAAGTGGAAAAAATCGATGGAAATGATGACCTTCAAACTCCGACATCTTTCGATGCCTCTATTATCAAATTGCATCTTTTCTCTCGCCCAAGAACATTTTCCTTCCAAATTTTTCTGAAAAAATCTGAATATCTGCTCACTCTCGGCTCGGTTGCAACGTTTTCCGCAAGCTTTAGACGCCGCAAATAGACGCTCCTAGTATTCCGTGCCTTAAAAATTTGATCATGCTGCGCCTCTCTAGAGATCACTAGGATGGCAAGATGCAGGAATCACTTCAGAGACTTTAACGCAGGGCAGAATAGTAGGCGCACGAACAAATGCGACTCTGCTTGACGCATCATTAAGACTTTGTTATTTAAGAACTTGTTCTTGCTGTTCCGCACTAGAGATTTTTACATCTTTATAGTGGCACACATTGGTCGCCTTTGCCTGAAGCTTCTATTGGTTAGATTGGTAAGAGTGTTTATTGGAACTTTTTTGGAAGAACACTGTGCCAATTTCGTGAAATTATGCCAGAGGTTATGCATTTAGACACATTTTCAGACTTAGCCGAACGCGTTCATACCTTACGGACCTGCTGAATCGCCCGAAACCGCAATTTCAGCTCAAGTTAATAATCAAATCTTGGAACCTCAGGAAATAAAAATTATTCGTCAAGCTTTTGCATGGGCTTAAAACATATCCCAAAAATGTGTTAGACACTGACCGTTTTTTTAGATCAAGCGTTGCAGCAATTGGGAGGTACCGTTTCAAAAATTTTTGTGTACAAATCGTGTTCTAAGTGAAATTTTAATGAGAAAATATACATCATATTGCATAAAATTCGTACCTTACATAATGGTCCATTCCGCTGATTTTGATCTCTCCAAAAATATAATATGTGTGAAAAATTTAATCAAATGGACTTTTTAATTTTCGATTTTTTTTTAAAGGATCGATTACCTATTTTTGGGCCATGCGTTACATTGAAACATCCTGTGTTCTGGTTGCCTCTTGTTTTCTTTTCACTTATCATTTTACCCTAAAATACGCCAGGAAGAGCTCTATTTTTTCTGTAGTAAATCCATGCCCTCTCAATGTTCATCACGGAAATAAGTTCCAATCGGTACTTCATATCGGAGACCTTATTTAACGCTACCTTTTTGTGTTTGCAGTTTTCTGTTCAATCTTTCCGAGCGAAAAGGAGAGTTCAATTTGATCAAGATGAGGATTCGTCGCGTATTTTTAGTCGTCGTCACGGTCATCATTGGCTCAATGTCACTATGTGCAGCAAAACCATTCGATGATGGAGACCTTATTGACATTCTTTGTCGTACGGAGGGGAATCTTATTATTCCTTGTGGGCCGTAAAATCTCGGCGATCTCAACTTGACAAAACTTAAAAATGTATGTGGACGTCAGGCGCACCCAATTTTCCCTAATCCTAATAACCTCTCCACGGGTCGGTTTGCCACAAAATGTTTAACTGACGATCGCCGAATTTTTAGCGCTGATTCCGAAAATAACCTATGTATTACTTAATCAATTCGGTTTTCCCTAAAGTTAGAATTTTCCTCAAGAATCGAGCTTATCCAGAGGGAATGTAATTTCCCAGAAAATCTATGCACGATGGAGAACAACCAAGGTCATATTCGGATTCAGCAGCCATAATTAATCGGTAATCACGTATCTTATGTTTATCAAATTTTCCGCAGTGGTAAACACTGATGAATAGTAATAAAATAACCTCTTTCAAAATTCTTCGTTTTTCTTATTTTCTGAAAAAATTCACTCGACCTGCCCCTCTCCTATTGATAACATGAGATAAGACGTCCCAGTGGCGTAGCGTGCTTTGCGATATATCGATTGATCAGCCATTTAAGCCAGTTGTTTGCAACGAACACCTTAATAATCGATTCTTAACCACAGGTTCAAATGGGGAAATATCGATAGTCGATCATTCACGCCTCGCCACTGCAGGCGTTCCAGTCTCGCACCATAAATCACGATACTATCTTAAAGGACTCAAACAAATTTTCACCGATGGAAGCAGTTATGCTAAAACTAACACTATTCATTGAGGAATAAAAGCCCCTACATGAAAATGATTTCCAAACTCTAGTCTTAGGTCGTTGCACCTGTGACGTAAGGGCGTTTCTAAATGTCCATGTGAGCCCTATGCTCCATACTACCGCGCTTAGGAAGAACGCCGTATGAATATTCAAGAGTTGCAAAATTTTCGTCGATAAAATGTTTATTTTTGAGGAAAGTTATGGATATTTTTCCTTGAACTTTTCAGGAACTTTAGGTGAAATTGTGAACAATATTATCTGAAAAATTGGAAGAAATATATTCATATAAGTTTATCAGGAAATTCGTGTTTCATCAATCGAAATTTGGCAACGCCTGAAGGCTCATACGGCATTTTTCCTTAGCATGGCAGCATATGTATACTGCCGTATGAACATGCGAGATTTGCCAAATTTCCTACGATAAAATGTTTATTTTGGAGGAAAATTGTGAATATTTTTCCTTGAAATTTTCAGGCACTTTAGATCAAACTGTAAATAAAATTATCTGAGAAATTGGTAGAAAAATATTCAAACATTTTCCTGAAAATTAGTGATTTGCCAGAGGAAATTTGGCAACGCCAGAAGGTTCATACGGCGTTCTTCCTTAGCACGGCAGTACACAGCTCTATGCTTTCCGGGGCTCTTATGGAAATAGGGATACGATCTTACGAAAAAAGAGCGACGCAGTGAGATACGTCTCTGCTACTGCCCACATTAAATACGGAATTTTCGAAAGAAACGCGCTTTTTGAGGTGGAACCTACCTTTTAACGTCAGCAATATTGTCGACTGCAGTTGTGGAGTGTTCAGTTTCCGGGTATATTAGCTTCGCGTACGATAGCGCAGCTGGGGCAGACATGATGGATGCCGTAACAATGTGTGCGGGATCCACACCAACCGATATGTATGCGGCAAATACAGAGCCTATGCAGAAAAAATAAAAAAATAAAATAAAAATAAAAAATAAAATAATGGTCTGGGAGGGTTCCATTTATTATACGAGTAAAAGATAACGTTGAGTTAAAAAATTAGGTTCAAGTCACCGAAAAAAGAAAATAAGTGATTTCGTCAATTCAGGCACTGCTACTTGAATTTAGCTCAAGTGCATGGACTGTATGCTACTCCGAGATGAGTGAGATGACTGCTGTTCTAAAGAAAAGCGCCGTATGAACCTTTGGATGTTGACTAATCCCTCCTAATAAACACAGAATCTTGTAATTTGCTCTGAAGTGTATGAAATGATCAAGGAAGAATATTCATGACTTTCTACAAAAATAAAAATTTGCTGAGAGGAAATTTGACAGCATTTGCATGCTCATAAGTCGTTTTTCTTTAAAGTGCGCCGTATGGAAAAACGCCGTATGAAACTTCTGGCGTTGTCAACTTTTCTTTGACAAAACACAAACCTGGTAAACTGATGAATATTTTCCTTCCAATTTTTCAGATAATTGTGTTCTCAATTTCACCTAAAGTCCTTGAAAATTTCAAGGAAAAATATTCATAACTTTCTTCAAAAATAAACATCTAATTGAAGGAAATTTGGCAACTCTCGTATGTTCACACGGCGTTTTATCTTTAGCACGGAATAATAGCTCCACGACCCGACTTCAAATGCTCAAAAATATTCGTTGCAATTGGTCTCAGTGGTGGCTGAAAGAATGGGTCACTTGCGTGTTACACATAATTATGTTTGATCATTTATTTGAAGAGTTAAAGAGACGGGCAAATAGGGAACTATATTGAATCTCAGGACAACTACATAGGTCTGGTGATATTATGAATTACCTGCAACGGTTGCAAACCCGCCGGTCATGACAGCGTGGATCTCAGACACCGTTAAATATTTTAAATACGGCGTAACCAGCAATGGTGCTTCATTCTGAAAAATAAAAAGAGTGTAACAATACATTTAATTCATTTTTTCCCCTCCAATTTTCAATGATGTTGTTATTTCGAGCCGCATATATCGTGGTTTTTGGAAAAGTAAAGTTATGAAAGCGTATAATATGACATCAGAACGAAGGTAGATACTTTTAGGTAGAGGAAAGGATTTTTAGAAACTTAACTGAAGAAAAGACAATTTTCGGGATGGGCGAATCACTCGTAGGTTTTCTACTCCTGAATGTCATTTCGGGCAAACGACGCACATCTTTGTCTTATAGGGAAACTTTCCCGCGGTAAAGAAACCTGAGAAGAGAAAAAAAGAAACAATTCTATGTCTGTTTTTCCCCCTTGATGTCTTTTTATTTTTCTCCTTTTTAAATTGGACTAGAAGTAATCAGGATTTCAAAGCGCCATCCTCGTTCTTCATGTAAATATCTTCCATGCAAAATTTTAAAAATTGCTCGATTTGGTCTTCAAATTTTATACCTTACGCGTGGTCTCCGAGCGAGTAAATATTGAAAGTCTGAACAGAACAGTGAGTAAGTATAGAAAGTCTGAACATAATGGTGAGTTTAATCCTGAATGGTTAAAGTCCCTTCATCAAAGCTTCAACAGTCTTCGTTAGTTTCATAGAGGAAGGAGAAACTCGCACCAGAAAACCGCGAAAACTTTTTACGACTCGGTGAACAGATTGCTCAAGAAAATGAACAACTAAATAACCTGAAAAATTTAATTAATAAAACGAACCGAGACAGTCGATGCCAGTATTCAAGGTGCGGCAACGTTCTATTTTTAACGACGCACAGTGTAACGAGATAAAAAAAGAGGGCGGACTTGCAATTTTTGGCGAAAATTCCAAATTTTGATGTTTATTTCGTTGCAAATTCAATTTCAAACGGCGTTTCTGAAAGTGAATTTTACGGTGAATCTGATATAACCACTCTTAAAATTCTTTGTTTCATATTTTTGAAAATATAAGCTTTCAAAGTTCCCAGATATTGCCCGACTTCTTCTTTTGACTCGGTCCAGTGCGTGCGACGGAGTGCGGTGGCGTGCTTCCCGATTTATCGATTGATCTGTAATTTAAACCTATGGAAAAAGATCGATGAACAGGGTAGGTATTCGCAGCGAACACCTTAATAATAATCGATTCTTAACCATAGGTTTAAATGGCCTAACAAGCGATACATCGCAATTCACGCCACGCCACTGGTGACGGTCTCAAATTGAATTTTATACGGACTATTTTACATCGGTGTTGTTTAATTAGACGACAAATACTGAGAAAAATTGACAAAAATAATGAGGAAAATTACTGGGGAAAACTTACCATACCCAAGAAAACACTCGCGCAAGTGTAAACGGACTCGACGACTGTGGTATCCAGAATCGATTTGAGGAAAACCCCGAATATCAAGCAAATCTTTTGCATCCAGCCATAATAGAAAAGGATTTGCGAGATGAAGTTGAGGAAGTATACGCTACACAACGCCTATGTAAAAACAAGAATAACAAAATAGAGTAGACTCGATTATTTTATTTTGAGTTTGGGTTTGAGTTTGAATGTAGCTCATTTTGAGCCAAATTTAGTTGTATCCTTTCTATGAATTGGTTTTTTAAAAAAAAAATCACACATAGCACACAGCCACGGCACTGTAAAATAAATTGTTTCCGAGGAATGTCATCTACGAAGGTGTCTAGAGTCTTATTATAAAAGAAGAAGTATAGAATCAACTTCAAGGATTGGCTGTACTGAAGTCCATGCAGTCAGTCCCTGATGATCAAGTGTCTCAACGCAAAGTATCTATTTTTGCCCAGTCGTTCAACTGAAGGCGCTTGCCTGATCATTCAAACGCTCTGTCACTCATTTGAAGATATGTTCTGCCGCACGCCTTACTTTCCTTCACCTAGCCGAATAGACAAAAACACTTCCTTCACGTTAAAACAGTGGCATCCCCTGTAATGGATTGATTTCACTGTAGTCATAAAACTTAAAACTTAAAGTAGCGAGAAGTAATGAGAACCGTCCAAATGCCACATTCGTACTTGTATTGAATAAAAGCATAGCTTTCTCGCTCTGAAAGACACCAAGTATGACTTTACCAATGCCAAATAATGCATGATTAAAAATTTGAAAAATTGTCCGTTACCCGCTTGCAGTGATTTTTTATAGAAGACGCGTTTCGGAGCTCGAAGCTCCATTAACGGAACATTTTTTAAAATTTACAGCACAATTGACTTGTGGCGCCCCCCCCCCTCCCCCACGTAGTTTCCAAATAATGCATCATAGATAGACAAATCCCGGGTGAGAGAAACCATGACGTGCACTTTTGCGGTTGATGACATCAATCACATCATTTTCAAAATGCTGTAGTTATCTTTCTTCATGTTGGACGTGGAATTTAGGCGGTAATTTTATTAATCGGTGGGTTCTGTTATCAGAATATTACTTGATGAACAGGGCCAGATTTACCTACTTGCCGCCCATGGGCCGCCTGTATTTTTCCGCCCTCTTCTCATTCGTTTGGAAACATCAATAGATCGTATTCGACAGTGGTTCGATGTATCGTTTGGTTCAAAACAACAGAACATAACCTCAAACAAAAATTTTAGGATTTAATTCGGAAAAGCTGTAAATGATACAATTCCTAACAATTTCACTTTTCATTGCCATTTGGTACTCGAGAGAATAACAATTCGATCACATAAGACCCGTTACCTCAGATTTCTAAATTGACTTTTGAGGCTGTGGTTACATATTGAACCAATCGATATCAATATAATCTCACCTGTGTGATCTGTCGAATACGATCTATAAAAACCATCAAGTGAACGTGCCGGTGGAGGAGGGGTGTATAAGACGCGTTTACTCGTGTTGGCTACATTTTTTGTGAAAACCCTGTCAACACTAACAAAAGTTCAGTTCCGTAAATCCATCCCTGTTTGGACAAGACCCTCTATTCATAAAAAGCGAACGAAAAAATTATGAAAGAACAAACATAAACGTGGTTAATAATTCTAACTTCCGTCGCTGCCCGACCGCACTGTGTTGGCGCAATGCGTGAAGTATTCATGCAGTCTTGCAGGCGCTATGCGTTTCATGCCGACCGCCCTACCGCTCCGCTCCAGGTCAAATTGCGTGTTTGGTTTCTCTCTTAACTCGACTAATTAAAGGTGTTGTCTCTTGTATCACCGAAAAACGGCAAAATTAGAAATTACTGTACTTTCACTCTCGAGAAATGAGAGATTTTGTCGCCTTTTCTCGTTTGTAATTTATTTTCTGAATCCGATTTTTCCCTCTCTTTTTCTGATACCTACATTCAAAAAGATTGCAAAATTTGCCGCCCCCTACATTTTGCCGCCATGGGCCGCGGCCCATGTGCCCCCCCCCCTTAATCCGGCCCTGTTGATGAATGTAACTACTAACTCATTTAATTATGGGCCAAATTCTCAGGAGGTCCAGATGGCAGAAACATTCGACGGTATGACTGAACGTATTTAATTCAGAAGAAACTTTATCCATTCTGACATGAGCCCTGAGATACTTTGGACTACATGCATGTTAGGGCTCACCTCACAATGGATATAGTTCCTTTTCATGCGCCTAACATGCAAAAACGAGTATCTCGTTTTCGGTGTTTCGAAAGCTCTCGCTTTCACTTAAATGAAATTAAATAATTTAAATAAATAAATTACGACAATAAATATGTAGTGTCGTAAACTATGTTGCTTACTTTTGCAGTTTCACCGTCAATTTTAGTCAATAGTACGTGTTTTCCCAACCATGTCCACAACGGTTATTTTTTTGTACAATACTGTTTTATATAAACGATTCTTTTCTTCGAGTGAGCGAACACGATCTTAAAAATTTTGAAATAATTGTTTGAAAAATAACCTGAAATGCAAAGACGGGAGCTGTTCGGATGAGCTGTTTTCCGTAGACAAACTCGGCACCAACATTGGCAAATTCGAGAAAAGCCTCGATCTGATGGCCGACGCATTCGATGATGTTCCTGCCCAAATTCCAGCGTATCACCAGGAGGCCCATCAACAGTTGAATGTAAATACCAACCACCACGGGGCCCCATTTGACCTGTGGAAACGGAATTTTATTTAGGTAAATAATAACTGTCACTTGCTCTGATAAATTCAAATCGCAGAGATTACACTGGACAGCCTTTCGTTTTGAGGGCTTGCTTCTTTGGGACTTTTTGAACATGCAAGTCTACACATACTCTGTTTAAAGAATAGAGAAATTAAGAAGCACATTTCGAAAGTATTGAAATAAACTTACAATTCAACGCGCATTGAAATTTTACTTTTCTACCAAGATATTACAACATTTTTACAACGTTTGAATGGCTTGAAGGACAAGAAGCATAAGTGCAGATTTTGTTATTTCGAAAAGTACGTGTTTGAAGTTTCGAAATTACACGGATTCTTATGGCGGAAAAAAAGTTCAAACTGACTTTTTTATGCTTAAAAATTGGAATTCGGGAGCGAATTCATCACAGAATGTACATTAAGACTAGTTATACTTGAAATCATCAAAATCTCAATTTTTTTAAAAACTGAACTTGTGCGCCTTGCACTGGAAAAAAAAACACATTGGATATAGAATCCAGACTCTTGAAAACATCGACAAGAAAAAGTATTCTTGATTCAATCAGATTTGAGCTTAAATCAAGAACCAAGCCTCTTAATTTGAGCGGATTTCCTTTTGATTTAAGCTTAAATCTGCTTGAAGCAAGAGTCCTTTTTCTTGTCAATGTTTTCAAGAGTCTGAACTCTAGATCCAATGTGTTTTTTTTCCAGTGTGTCTTTCAAGCCCCTCATTTGGTTGATAAATGCAGGTTTTAAATTATTAAATAAATCAGTCCTATGTCTCAGATATAAAGGCAATTTGCAACGCAACTAACGCAAGAAGCATTTTAACTACTCTCAAAGAATAAGAGGTGCTCCTTCAATTGGTTGGTAGGCAACATATACTTAACATGCAATAGCAATTTTATTGCCGGACAGGAGTCCACGTCACATAAGTTTACGCATTTTTAGACTGCGACAGAAAATCCGCTATCTTGGTTCTTGCATTTACCAACTTTACATGTAAAAGTGACGTCAGACGATCATCTGCCGCAGTCTAAAAATGCGTAAACTTATTATAGGTACTTATTCATTATCCTTTATGAGTTCAAGCCACGAGATTATTAACTCTGCTCTACAAAAGTGCCATGACTTTCCATCATATTTCAACCCCATTTCTCAATTTCCCTACATCGATAGCTAAAGTGCGAGACACGTAACTCCGTTTGCGACCTTGCAGGTCGTAGACTTCCTGTGATACTTTACTTTTTCCTAGGAAAACTAGTGAATGTAATTTCTTGAAAACTTCCATGATGTTTCTTCTCTGTCAGAAGAATATTTCGCATAAATTTCAAGCCATAAAGTTGGCTTATTTTTCTTTGAAAATAATAACATAATGGCGGAGATTTTGAAACATCGCAATGAAGATACGTACGTGGTTTCGAACTTTGGTCATCGATATATTTCATCTGGTCATCGGTGATGGCTGGATTATTTGTTCATACTTCGAATTTATCTTCAATTTTTCGTTTAATCTTCCAGCCATCAGCCATTCATCTGATGACCAGACTTGCATCTGATAGCTACATCGATTGTAGCCAGCCAATCAGGCGAAGAATTTTTGTCTCACTACCCGTGACGTCATCAAACCTATATAAGCGTGGGCTCTATGTTTCTCGAGGTTCTTTCATCATGACCCGTGTCCGGCACGTATGCCATACTCGCTCTTCTGACATATTTGGTGTGACCCTCTCTGTAAATCTTGTGATTTAAAATTCTTTACCCCTAATTCAACTTTTAGTCACTAGGTCAGGATTCGTCGGCAGAGTGCCTCGAGAGTTGCCAAATTTTCTTTGTTAAATATTTATTTTTGAGGCAAGTCATGAATGTGTTAATAAAGTCATGAATGTTAGCGAAGCAAATTGCCTCACCTAAAATCGATGTTTTTGATGTATCTGAGTTCCATCTCAATTTTTGATTCTACTTACATGCCCCGGATGTTTGGAGAAAATAAATCCGATGAAAATGAAGAAGAAAAGACCGGCGAGAGAGATGAGTCTTCTCCTATCTGATGCTGTATCCACAATAATGAAAATCGTCAATAAGATCGTTATTGCAACCCAGCAACTCAACTTAATATACCTGTAACAGGAAAAAGGTACAGGTTTATGTTCTAGAGTCCTTTAATTAATTTTTTGCAAAGATCAAGTATGCTGGTTTTAGATAATTTGCAATTACTCAAGAAGCACAGTTTGCAATGAATTGAAATCACATGGTATAATTATTAATATTGCATCGAAATGTTGTGTATGTTGTCTATTCGATGATTGAAGGAGCTCCTTTTCTTGAAATTGATTTTATCCTCCCGCTTCTCATCATTACCTAACCAATGAAACGCAATTTGGTTGTTCAAAATCGGCATTCATCGATCAACAGATGTAAAAATATTGCAATTTCTTGATAAAAAAATTGCTATTTTATCGCAATTATCGAATACTTATTTTCGTTGCCCTGTCCTACTTGGATTCCTATGTGAGTTACATGTGTCAATAGCCGGTCTAAAAAACAATGTTTCAGTTTCTACGTGAGAAAGACATCTAAATATAAGAAATACGTAATCAAGCCTCCTTTTATGACTTTTCTTCCGAATCTGGGTGAGCAGTATAGAGCGGAACATAGCGAGTTAACGCCTCAAGCCATCGCGCCTTCAATTTTGCAGATGCAACACGGTCATCCATCAAGCACGAATAGTTGTATCTCTACGCCGTCATCAACGCACGGCCTTTCTCTTACTCCATTTCCATATTGTAATGATTCCGTTTCTCTTTTCTCCTATTTGTAGCGGTGCGGTGCAGGGCTACGTGCGTGAGCAACCCAGCCGAAGATAGGAGAGACGTAATCAGGCTTCTTTCTTTAACAGTTTTTCAGAATCTGTGCGACACCTCATCGTCAGCATAGAGCGGAGCGCCTTACGCCTCACGCCATCGCGCCTTCAATGTTGCAGATGCAACACGGACATCCACCAAACACGAATAGTTGTATCTGTGCCCTGTCATGAACGCACGTGCAAGTGTCTCTTATTTTTGAAATTTGAGAAAAGTTAAGTGTATGTTTGCGAAATGCTGCAATTATTAGTGTTACCTGAAAATAACACAGCTGTGTTTCAGTCTACCAATATTTGAGAGAAATGGAAGAATGAATGGCTTGAAGATGTTGTAGTAGAATATCGTCCAATAGAAAACTGTAATGATTAGTGTCATGAAGCCAGTGCCATTACACCAGTTTATGGGTTTGTCTACAAATAGAAAAGTTTGAGAGGTTAAAGTAAAGCAGTCTCGAGGTTCCTTTGTAAAAATAAACAAATAAACGAACAAATGAGATAATAATATAACCTCGAGGCTCCATTCCATGACTTGAGAACTGAAGGTGGATCCTAATATTTGGCGCAATATTTTTTACGGAAATTGATACCTAGATCGTAAGTTTCAGCCAATACAGGTATGCATTTGAAAAGGGAGATAGAGAGAAAGATAGAAAAAATCAGTTTCTTAGTTCATTATTCAGGCATACAAAAAGCACAATTCCACGAAAAAATCAAACTGTTGGTGACTACTTTTAAAATGTGAAATGTTATTTTTTAAGCCCAGGTTTATTTTTTCAAAATCAATTGCACAATCTTTCATTAATGTTTCTTATTCACTGTTTTTGAGTTTCAAATCTTATATGGCAGGATATTAATATAGCTTCTCGAAACCTAAAATTCAATTTTCCATTTCCTATTTCACTCATTGGCGCGGCGTGCTTTGCGATGTATCGATTGATGTACCATTTAAACCTATGAAAAAAGATCGATGAACAGGGTGTTCGCAACGAACACCTCAATGATCGATACTTTACCATAGCTTCAGATGGGGAAGTATCGATACTCGATCATTCACGCCTCCCCACTGATTTCAATCCCACGCATGACTGGACGACGAAAAAATTGTTTTGTAGTGTGATGAAAAAAGACATTGAAATTTATTTAGAGGTAATCAATACTATACTTACGAGTGTTTTTCCAATGGAAAACTACAGCGATAAAATAGACTATTAATGCTAAATGTAAAGACAGTCTTAGAAATTGTCCTTGCGTTTGACTATATTTTGATTGTAATTCTGATAGTTTCTGCCGACATCTAATGATCGTTGATGCAGGAAAACTTGTCTGAAATGAACAATGCGAAATGACTTTAGTGACACAATAGCAAAACACAGTAAGTTAGTCGGTGAAAAATGGTACGGTATCATATTCATTTACATCTTACCATCATTTTAATGTGAGATAATTGTCAAATTCTGGATTTATATTAGGCCTTCATGTTAAAAGTCAGCGAATTATTTTTATTTTTTTACGTAACGATTTATGACTTGTAAATTAAAGATCTAAGATGGCATCAGAAATAAAAATTCTTGTTAAAGATACCGTTCTGGATGATTCATAGAAAAGTATGTAAAGACATAAAAATATTACAGGTAAAAATAAGTAAAAAAATTACTTACACACTGGGGTAAAGTTTCATTAATATTTTCATCCTTTTTCTCTGGATGTGTCATCGACTTGATGCTGGATAGCTCTCCATCACAAGATGATGCCTCTATCTATAAACATGAATTTAGTCAGAAAATAAAAAGTATTACTAAAATTAGAAAATCGGAATTATCAATGGATTTATGAACGGTCATGGGAGGCATTAGCCCTTCTTTTAATTACCAAATCGGCATCCAAGAGGAAACGTTATTTTTTTTGGGGGGGGAGGGAGGGGGGGCAAGAACCAATATTTACCACTGCAGATATTTAGGGAATGAGTTCTTTAGAGGAAAGGGGGTGTTCCCAAGTATTACTGGTTGAAATTTACTTTTTTGAAAAGCCCGATGGAGGAACATACTACTGCGTGATAGCGAAGAGAGCAGTGAGTGCATTTCTGTATGAGCCCAGAGGCGGATCCAGCAATTTGACAACACCGGATTTCCTCCATTTAAACCTATGCTAAATAATCGATTCTTGTCGGAGCACCCAGCCGGAGCATCGATACATTGCCATGGGTTTAAATGGAGGAAATCCGGTGTTGCCAAATTGCTGTATCCGACAATGTATGAGCACATGTTTTTATGTGTCTCAAGGTTCATCCCGGCTTTCACTTCCTGCTCTCTTCGCAAGTACGGCAGTATGTACATGCACACACGGAAAAAAATAGGGCAGTCGACAGAACCAGCGGCTAGTTAAAAATGCGCCAGCTACCGTGCGGTAGTTACGATGACTACCGCGGTGGAGGTCACAACTAACCCACTAATTATATCAACAACTATGGATGTTGATGTAACTACAGGGTTAGTTTTGACCTCCACCGCGGTAGTTATCGTAACTACCGTACAGTAGCGGGCGCATTTTTAACCAGCCGCTGGTTGTGTCGACTATATTTTTTTCCGTGCAACAATTTATGCAACAAGATTTACTCGAACATGAAAAAGCCACTGGGAGCTTTCCTCTTTCCGGCACCTTGGAAGAAAATTCAATTCCCAGCCCCCCCCCCCCCGCCGCTCTCTGAGGTACCTTGAGGTACCTTGATCGGCCTCGACTTCGGGTCATCCACTTCATATGCTTGTAAGGTCAATAAAAATGTATCTTATATGGCTTAAAAATTTGACCTGATGATCTTGAGAGTATTAAAAATGTGTTTGACATCGGAAACTGAAAAGCGATTTTTTTCTACGCCGAAGTATAGCTTCTTTGGTGACACAACAAAATTTGAATTTGAAATTTGGATTTTTTCCGTTCTGCGTCATAAATTTCAAGCATGCCATTAGACTGGCCAATGACCCAGCATTAAAACATGCAGAAAATGGGTATTTACTTAAAATCTGTTTTCTTACATGTTTTGTGGAGATCTCTGTCGTTCGGTGTTCCATCCTCGGTGGCACACTTTAATATACAATTTTCCTTAAACTAACACCTAAAACTTAAAGTAAAATCACTCGAGACTGTCACTTTCAAACGTGCCCACATTTCTTTCAAAACGATCCAGTCCGGTACAGCAGTTATTAATGAAAGAAGCCCGGAACTTGTTGCTGATTATTGACGGAGCCAAGAGCCTCTAGACTTATCTCGTAGGTAAGATTAAACTTCTGCCGACCAAGCGCGTAACCGAACACTTCTGTGACGCGCATAAATTTAAATGAGACTCGAGTGGTGCTTAACGTGTCGTGTGAAAAGACACGGGTATATTTTCGCAGATGGCAGTGAGTCACAAGTATATAATATGAGACGGAGATGGCACTTGTGAGGGACAGATCACACACGTCCATCGCGGAGCAAGTAGCGGCACAAAGTCATAATGGTCCGGAATTTCATCAGAAATATTTTTATGTAGGTACGTATAAGACAAACGTTTGATAGTGAAAAAAACACTAAGAAGTGGCCCGAAATGTATGTAACAAGGTGGAGAAATAGTGCTGGGTCCACATCATTTCGCGTTTGATAGTGTTGACACAATCTTTAGCAATTTAGATAAATTCAATGGAACATAAGGAGGTAGCAAGAAGAATAAAATGCGAAAAAACTACGTTTTCAAGGGTATTGTGGAACAATAGAATCAATTCTAAAGTTTGTTGAAACTTCAAACAGTGTAGGGAAGTAAAAATGGACTGATTCAAGAAGGTGGCGTATTAAAATAATTTATTGACAAAATTAGTTAATTGGTGCAATACGTGGTACAACATTCAGAGGCGGATCCAGCAATTTGGCAATATTGTTTTTTTCTCAATTTAAACCTATGAAAATATATCGATTCTTGAAGGGGCCAGGTGCTCCGACAAGAATCGATTATTTAACATAGGTTTAAATGAAGGGAATCCGGTGTTCAAAATTGCTGAATCCGCTCCTGAAAACATTATTGATGAGCTACCCACTGTGAATCTACTACCAAATGGAGTGTATCTTACAAAACAAGGGGAAAAAAGAAGAAAAAAAGAAAAAAAAGGGTTGGAATTTCATAAAATTGTGCAACGCCTTCAATCATGGGTAATATTTCTTGAAACAGACAACAAATTGAATTTACAGGATAATTTGTTTTTAATTTTCTCAAAAATTTTTAAGACACAGGAAAAACATGTTTTTTTCGATATAAGCACCTAGGGGCCCGTACCATAAAGTTTTTTTCCACCTTCTCCTTCAAAATGAACATTTAAATTTGTTTCTAACCATGGCATTTTCCTTTGTTTCTTTTAGGCTTATAGTTAAGTCTGTGAGGGGCACCTCTACCCTTTTTTTTCCCCTAGCAATGTGCGTTCAAACATGCTTTAAGTTTTGTTCAAGAGGGGTTAAAATTTCAAATTATATAAAGAGCGGACTGCTTTGGCTCCAGCTACTGTTCACCAATACACCTCCCATATCCGAGGAGGTGCACCTTACGGGGCCCGAACCACAGACTGGAAAAAACATCCTGAATGCAGCCCTGCTGCAATGCTGCATGCTGCCTTGATATAATTAGAAGCAATTTGGCAGCATCGGATTTCCTCCATATAAACCTATGTTAAATAACCGATTTAAGTCAGAGCACCTGACCCCTCCAAGAATCGATACATTTCCATAGGTTGAAACGGAGAAAAACAATGTTGCCAATTTGCTGGATCCGCCAATGGATTTAACGCGAGTAGCTCCCCTCGTGCTGAATTCAGTTCGATTGATATTTTGGGATTTTAAAAATAGTTTCATTCTGATAAAAACTGGAGGTATCGTAATTAGCATAAAATTTTCTCTCGGGTGCCAGATGAACTCGTCGTGATCCTGGATTCGGGCGCCATTCAAATAAAGAAAAGAAGAAAGTTGAACTTTACCAGTTTCTGGTTTATTTACAACTCGGATTTTACAAAATAAAAATGAAATATTTAGTTGGTAAGCTTGCGAGGATCCACCTCCCGGTCCGCTCTCTTTGACTATATTTCAACTCAACAATTTCAAATTTGCAAATCTGGATCCAAGCCGAAATGCGACTCTAAGCGTACACTTTTAGACCTTCCCGAAATAAAATAAATAATGACAAAAGTAAATACAATCGTTAAAAAAACTAAAAGAAACATTCAGGAATTTACTTCACAAGACACGCCGGAACTTCCAGCGTCCCGAACAGGAACCCCTTATTTCGCCGCCATACTCGCTGAACACCCTATTATAAGGCTTGGTCCTGGACAAGAACCTGTCGTGGAAATGATTTTTTTTGTCTAGGTACCAATTCTTTTGGTAAATCACTGGTAAGTTATACATGGAAATCTAAAGTCATTAACAAACTATCTTACGGTGCTGTTCGTGGATTCTAATTACAATAGTTAAAATTACTAAAAGAAACATGCTGCTCGATAAATCTCTATTTTCGCTATACTTTTTCGCCACCATACTCGCTGAACACCCTATTATAAGGCTTGGTCCTGGACAAGAACCTGTCGTGGAAATGATTTTTTTTGTCTAGGTACCAATTCTTTTGGTAAATCACTGGTAAGTTATACATGGAAATCTAAAGTCATTAACAAACTATCGTACGGTGCTGTTCGTGGGTTATAATTACAACAGTTAAAAAAACTAAAAAGAAACATTCAGGAATTTACTTCACAAGACACGCCGGAACTTCCACCGTCCTGAACAGGAACCCCTTATTTCGCCGCCATACTCGCTGAACACCCTATTATAAGGCTTGGTCCTGGACAAGAACCTGTCGTGGAAATGATTTTTTTTGTCTAGGTACCAATTCTTTTAGTAAATCACTGGTAAGTTATACATGGAAATCTAAAGTCATTAACAAACTATCTTACGGTGCTGTTCGTGGATTCTAATTACAATTGTTAAAAAAACTAAAAGAAACATTCAGGAATTTACTTCACAACTACGCCGGAACTCCTACCGTCCTGGACAGGAACCCGTCGTGGAAACTTAGCACGTCCATGGTTTTTCTCCTGGAAACGGTGACGTTTGGAACCAACAATTGGACGGAGTTAAACAGAAAGGAACCAAGCCACATCGGGATCGAACCGAGCAAAAGAGGTTTAAAGTTTGGCACCTGCATAAGACTCAATGTAAAAGATAAGCTTCAAGTTCAATTTTTGCAAAATATGCTCCAACAAAAACTTTGAATTTTCGGCGACAGGTAGTAGAGCAGTGGTTGAGTTCAAAACCACTCATAACTCGATTTTTTCCAAAATGTGGGTTGCAGTGGCGTGGTGTGAATTGCGATATATCGATTGTAATGCCATTTAAACCTATGAAAAAAGATCGATTATCAGGGTGTTCGCAGCGAACACCTCATTAATCGATTCTTTACCATAGCTTCAAATGGCGAGATATCGATAATCGATTATTCACGCCACGCCACTGAACTCAGTCCAATTGCCCACAAGCACCACACCCTCAGCGCCTGCATACTGCTGTAGAACAAGGCAAGTCCCTGTTTCAGCCCTGTCAGTCCCTGTTTCAGGCGGAATATCCCCAGGGTGCAGGTTGGTGGGCGGCTGGTAGAGCTCCTCGACCCAGCGCTGCCACACTTGTTTCGGCGTCTCGTGGGTGTCCGTGTCCGTGACGTTCGGGATTTGGGCCGCCTCGGGGTCGACGGCCCCGAACGACATCCTGCTCGATAAAGCTCTATCTCAACTATGCTTTTTATCGAACATGGTCATTCGATATCGATATAAAAATCGACCCGCAGATCTGCATGATCAATGTTTAGTTGGTATAATAATGTAAAAAATCCTACGTTTAATTTAAAAAAACTACCCTCTCGCTCGCCCACGCCTCCGCCCCTTGCGCATTGGCTTCCGGGTGACTATATCCCAAGGGGGTCTAGTAGAGTCCTCGCCCTTAAAATGACCATACTCGCTGAAGTATATATCTCTAGTGCTAGGAAAGCAAAAGTGTTAAACGTTGGATTACAAGATGACGGACCACACAACTACCAGGGAATTTGTTTGGGTTAAAAACAAAAACAAAAAATTCGAAAGGTTGGGACATCGGGAATAATTAGTAATTGTTGCAACAAAGCTTAAGTTCCGGAGTGGGAGGGGGGTTCGCACATGACGAAAAACGACTTTATTAATTTAATTCAAAAACTACCCTCTCGCTCGTCCTCGCCCCCGCCCCTTGCGCATCGGCCTCCGGGTGACTATGTCCCAAGGGGGTCTAGTAGAGTCCTCGCCCTTAAAATGACCATACTCGCTGAACACCCTATAATAAGGCTTGGTCCTGGACAGAAACCCGTTGTGGAAACTTAGCGCGTCCATGGTTTTCCTCCTGGAAACGGTGACGCTCGGAACCAACAACTGCCCACCGCCCACGCACATCACCCTCAGCGCCTGCACACTCCAATCGAACAAGACGAGCCCCGGCTTCAGCCATGTTTCGGGCGGGATATTCCTAGGGTCTAGAGTGGTGGGCGGCTGGTAGACCTTCTTGACCCAGCGCTGCCACGCTTGTTTGGGTGTCTCGTGGGTGTCCGTCACGTTCGGGAGTTGGGCCGCCTCCAGGTCGACGGCCCCGAACAACTCTTCGTCACTGTCGCTGGGCGTCGTCGTCGGACGCCCTCGTGGGCGCCGCGTGGTGATCCTCTTCGGCTTCCGGCGATACCCAGTGCCCTGTTGACCCATCTTCACCTGAAGGACGTGGAGATGCCCGGACCTTGCCTCCGGCTCAAGAATTCGTCCCAGATTCCCGAATTCCGCCTCCATGTCCAGGAACTCTCCGGGTGCCTCGTCCGGGTTTTGGAGATTCCCAGGGTTCGCCTGAAGGTTATGAGGTTCCTCCTCCATCTTGGGAGTGGAGGTCGGTGGCTTCGTAGCGGCGACTATGATGTCCAGGCCGATGGCTTCGGCGGCTGGGACGACGGTGAAATTGTGGAACTTCACGACGAAGCACTTCCAGATGGTCGCTACCGGCCAAACGTGCGACAGTGCGCGGTGCCGATTGTAGATCTGCTCGGCGGTCCAGTTCTTCCAGACGACCCACGACATCTCTTGCTGCAGCAGCGGAGCTATAGTAAAGTTAAACGAACAGTGAGAGTGCTGATTGAAATATATGGAAATGAGTCAGGATGGAACCAATTTTTCCGTACACTACGGGATAAATACATAGGAAAACGTTTGAAATTACGAATAAGTTTCCTCATAGTTATACCCATTCTCAGGAACCTGTAAAATTACGAGTTTTTCCTGTAATTACGTCATATTGGAACATGCTGACAGTTTTACATAAGATAAAATAAGAGAAAAGGAAGAGGCAATACTCTAAGTACATGATAATTTCAATTACCTCGGCTAAAGTAATATAACGACGGTGCAAGTCGGCAATCACATAACTCGTTTGCGGTGTCTGAAAATCTCCGCAACTATGTTGTTTTTTTAAAGGAGAACAAATGGACATGATTCCTTGCAGTTTTTGCAGAATTTTCCTCGCACATAGAAGAAAAATCACGGCAGTTTTAAGGAATTACCGTTGAGTAGTTTTCTGTTTAAAGAATAAAGTATGACAGGAAGTCTGCGACGTCGCAAATCGAGTTATGTGATTGCCGACTTTCACCGTCGATAAGTAAAATTACCATGCACTCAGCGTATTGCCTCTTCCTTTTCTCCTTTGTGGTTACGTCGATTATCGTTGAAATATTTGTGAATGAGTCAGGATGGAACCTCCAATTTTTCCGTACACTGCGAGATAAATTAATAGGAAAACGTATGAAATTACGAATAATTTCCCCCGTAGTTATACCCACTCTCAGGATCCTCTAAAATTACATGTTTTTCTTGTAGCTACGTCGATTACCGAAATATTTTCTTCCTAGTAATGTTGCCGATTATCGTCATTTTCTCAGTGAAAAAGTAGGTGAAATGTCAGAGAACATGTGCAGCCACTACAAATGGCCGCAGATGGGTATCCTATGTGAACTCTCCATATTTGTACCCGGAGTTTTATCTAAATGAGCGAAAGAGGGCTATTGGTTATAGGACATTTTGTAAACGATTTTTTGTCCGCGCACCTGTTTTTCCCAGTAATTTACGTCCACGCGTTTTTTTGGCACGGGATTTTGGTCCACGTGCCAGTTGAGAACCAAAGTTAATTGGCCCACACATAAATACAAACGACAATGCTCACGACGTTTTTGGATGAAAATGTAAAATTTCTTGGAAGAATGAGGGTTTACTTGTTTTTTTTTTGTTTTGTCTGTTTGGTCCAACGGAGATAATTACATAGTTGAGAGTTTTGGTAAAAATAGGGGAGTGTCAATTCCATGAGACAAAATTCACTAAAACTCTTTACACCTCTTTGGTGTATCAGGACTTAATTATCTCTCATGATTTTCCCACCTTCTTATACCTGAACCGGATGAACCTCTATATTTGCCTCAGCTAAAGGCTCTTAGAATTTTCCAGTGTACGATAAGTATCTTGATTTGTTTTGCGAGGAAAGATCTGTACTTTTAAAGGATGCCTGTCATTCTTCAATTTCAAGTCACGTTCAATCTCGTATAACACTGTAACACCTCTGTTGTGAAATAGTTGCTGCAGGAGTGCAGGCGCCGCCGCACGGCTGGCGGGCGGTCAGCGCGAAACGCGCGTTGGCGCCTACAAACCTAAGTGGATACTTCAAGCATTGTGCAATGCGTGAAGTATCCACTTAGGTTTGTAGGCGCCAGTGAGCCTCTCGCGCTGGCAGCACGCCGCTCCGCTTTGTTAGGCTTAAATATTTATACTCGCATAGTCAGCGTTTCTTGACTCGTTTGAAATGTTCGCACACTCTACATTGATTATTCTCTTTTAAATTGATGGGGAAAAATATGTATCAATTTATCAAAGGAGAATAATAATATAATGTATGTTTTTTAAATATTGGTGGTTTCGTGTCAAATTTAATGATTTCCAAAGCACTTTAATTTGTTTCTATTACATTTTGTGCTTTTACTGTACTGCAGCGAGGTGTACGCGCAACCAAACGCTCAAAATTTGACGTATTTGACTCTAAAAGATCGATGTACAAATGGGTTAAGACTAAAGATTGCGTGCTTCTTGGTTTTTTTTCCTCTTTTATTCATTTTTGCAGTTTCTGTTGGCACAACTGCGGCTTATCGAGATTAATGTCGCTTGGAAAAGGTTTTACAAATATTTGTCAAGTTTTAAAAATATAAATGTTTTCAAAATGAAGTAATAATTTCGTAAAGGAAAAAATTAAAAAAATAAAAAAGTACCCATACATATATAGGGTATATTGTACATCGAATATTTTAAGGATAGAAATAAAACCAAATATTCACCAATGACAATTTAAAAAGATGATTCAAAAGGAGAAAGTAATAACATTACATTTAGAAAATGAGCAACCATAACAACACCTCCTTCTCTCTCAATTTCTCATTTCCATATTGTCAATATAATTTCACATACCGACTAAAATATAACGCTTGGACTAAGTCACCGTTGCTTATTTTACGTGTGGGCGTAAACTACTGGACAAAAATCGTTGACAAAATGTCCTGAAACTGGGCTATTCGAATCCTAAAATTGCTTAATCAACTTACGCACTTGTGTGTTTCAATTGTTTCCATTACTTCTTCAAACCTATCTGTGTATGCTCTCTGGGTCGTATTGAGAGCTTCAAATGTTTTTGGCGATTTATAGCAGTACAAACAAGTCTTGCGGATTTGTTAAAACCCCACATACGTGATTTCCTAGTTTCACCATTGTTACATTATACCTATTTAGAGATATTTTACCCGCTAAGAGCAAGAATATAAGTTCTATATTAACATTCAAATTGATAAGCAGATTGGTAAAAGAGTTGGATTATTTAAACAATGCACGAGTAATATTTACGATAATAATGATCGTAAGGGTTATACTTACCAAACGTAACGTTTTTGGTTTCCTGTGGTTTTGGCTTCTGAACAATCTTAGGGAGATTTTTTATGACGTCCATAACTAGATTGGCACTTTCATCCGCTAAGCGATTGTGCAGCTCTGGCGCAAATTCGTGGGGGCCGATTTGCGTTCGCATTTGCTTCACAATATCTCCAGCGTCAAATCTGAAAATGACGAGGAGAAATGTTTGTAAAGAAGGAATATTTAAGAAAATATGTTGTGTGATATATGCTCGTTAATGATCATTTTGACAGTGAAACATCATTTTCCTCTTGAAGTAACCGAAAATTTAGCTACCTACTACTATAACTTTAGATTTTTGTCCATGTCTATTTATTAAAAATGTCTATCATTTTTCATTATGTATTCGAACTTACGCGATTTTCGCTAGACAAATGTTAAAATTAATTAGAAATTTTGATATGCAATGAAGTCAAGAGTCCAAAAACCTATGAGCCATGCTAGACACGGATGCTGGGGCTAACGACTTTTTGGACATTTTTACTATTTAAATGTCTTGTGGCTAAAGCGAACCTCAGTATGAGTAGGTATGTAACCGTTGACGGAAAAATGAACAATATCACACAGGGTTAAATAATCAGGAGACAGAAACAATTTGATTCGAAGATACTCAGTGGCGTGGCGTCCATAGGTTCGCAGTGTTCGCCGAACACCCTAAAATATTTTGAAGCAATTAATAAATTATGGCCAAGAATGTGGGAAGCAATACAGGGTACAGAATAGTAGATCGCAAATAAGTATCGGGCGCTTGGCTTCCGACAGCGGCATGTGGCGCGGCGGAGAGAGAAAATCCTGTGACGCGTGGTCCGTACCGGCTACCGATACCGAACCTGGATGATCTGCGTACGGTGAGGAGAGAGAACCTGGGTGCAATGATGAAGGAGCAAAGGGTACACGAGAGAGGAGAGGCACCGGCGCGCGGCGCAGAGCGGAGCGTGAGCATTGGGTTCGGAGACGAGTGCGGACCGCGCTCACGGAGGGAACACAGCAGAGAGAAAAGAGAGGGGAAAAGAACGAGAGAGGAAAGCCGCTCATCAGTCCAGCTGTTTCCTATAGCAGTGGTCCTCAGGGGTTTGCGAACCGCCGAATTTCCTGTATGCCGCGATTCGCCCTCCGCTTCCCCCCCTGCACCTGCGGGCCGCATCTCCCAGTTTCCCAGTCTCCCTCTCCCACCTCTCTCTGCAGGTGCGTGTTGCGAAAATACGTTATCATTTAACAAAATAAATTACAGGAAAACGATCGGTAAAAAGAACAAATTTTCAATGGCAATTTACCGGAACAATTTTCACCAGAAAGGGTTAAAATCGTGTTCTTGCGGCTTCATTTTATAAAAAGTTTCCGGGGGAGGCCCCCCGAACCCCCCTTTAAGGAAGGGGAGGGAACCTTTCTGACCCTCCCCCCCCTAAAGTTAACACTCCTACCGAACGCCTACCGGATATAGTCACGCCACGCCACTGGAAGATACGACAGCTTTGAGTCTTATACATTGCAGCTTAAGACTTTAGCCACCTTCCTCGCTACATTGCGTTTTTCTACTACCAACTATAAACTTACAACTGTCATAACCTCGGTTTAAGTTGCCCGTTTAAATTTCTTGTGGTAAAGTACTCCTTTAAGCAATAATATCGATATCTTATTTTTAAATTTTCCGGTACCACGGTTTCTTTCCTCTCAGGGTCTTAGACGGTGTTTAGACAGTTCTTGTTATTTTTCTGTATATTTCATGAAATTCGAGCATTCAAATGCAAATTTTTCCCAAAATACAAAGTAGCGTGAGTGATTAATCGTAAGATGATCTTTCAAGGGGCGATCCTCCTTTTAATGAGATTGATAGCTTAAAATATTCAAGACACTTTACCCTTCATGATCTCCGTTCAATGGTTTGACCTTTATGATGGTCACACCCGTCTCTTTGTCACCATGCATCAAGGCGTGTGGAATCGGGGTCTCTCCCCGCCATCTGGGCAGTAAACTTGGGTGAGACTCCAAGATACCACTGCAAAATCAAATTTAAAAATAGTCAAAAGACCGGATTCATAATTTGTCGGAATTGTTTAGCCAACGTGCGTTAAAAATTCTGCATAAAGCTGAAAATCTCAATACAATCTCTAAAATCAATAAATTTTGCAATCCTGGATGATCGTTACTAGTGTAAACAGCGTATCTCTTCGAGGGAAATTGTGCTTGTGTGTGAGCTATTTCCCTCTGTACTAAGATTTTCAGCTTTATGCTGAATTTTTAACGCACGTTGGCTAAAAAATTCCACCATACTGTCTTACAACCCGTGCGTCAATAATTTTGGGTATTAGTTGTACATAGTTCATAGTTGTTCTTTAGATAACTCTTTTCCTCTGAGGAAGCCACCACTGAAAAAAATATGCCGGTAGATTTTACCATCTCTGACACAGTGATACGAATATGGTAATAAACACCAGACTCTATGGTGGCATTTACCATACTATGGTAAGAATCACCAGAGTTCTGGCGAATACTACTATAATTCTGGTTATTTCCACTAAATAGTATCACTGTGTAAAAAATCAAGTAGACTCATAGTAAATGTCACCATACTTTTTTTTCAGTGTGCAGGAGTATATCGATGACCAAAGTGTAAAACCACCTATCTTAGGTAATTACGGTGCATTAGATTTTCAGATTCTAATTTATTTTTCCAAGAGAGACAAGCCAACACTATAGAGCTTTAGAACAACTTTATTTAGTTTTAAAATGCAAAATATTTTGCCAAATAGAGAAGGAAAATCACGAGAGCTTTCGAGAAATTGCGTTGACTGGTTTTCCATAGAAAAAACAACGTATATGTATAATAGGAAGTCTGCAGCATCGTGAATGGAAGCACGTAGTTTCGCACTTAGGACATTGTTATTTTGAGTGAGGAAATTTTAAGTTCCCTTCTTTCGCGCGTTTTCTGTCTCTCTTGCACGCATTGGCGTCTCGCCAGGCGAGTGTAGAAATGCTGACAAAGGCTCGCTGGAACAAGCGAGGGTTCAACCGCCGACCGAGGGTCGCGGGGTTTCGATGTTTGACCCGTCTGACGAAAAGGATTCCCTTGGTTGTGCTGCTCACGTATCCTATGAAGCACAATTACACACAAGACAAACGGAACCAACACAACATAGAAATAGAGAGAGGAAAAGGACGCGCATTGATGACTGTTTCGAAATACAACTATTCGTTCTTGATGAATGTGCGTGTTGCATTGGAAAAATTGAAGGCGCGATGGCGCGAGACGTGAACTCTCAATGTCTTGCTCTATGCTGTTAATGAAGTGTCGCTCAAGCGTCCAGCCACCTTCAAACTAAGGGCTTCAAAGAGGCTCATCGATGGAACTGTTGACTGTTGCCTTTCAAAAACCGTCGGCCCGACGATCTTCGAAGGTGACCGACGTGTTCGAGATACATTACAGATCAGATCTTGAAATTTTCTAGGAATTCCGTGCAGAAATGGCTGAGAAATAGAAGAATTGATGCCAGTTTAAGAGCCCCAGTTTGTAAGTGGGCTGGACGCTTGCGCTGATTACCGATTACATCTCACCTATCTTCGGCTTTGTTGCTCACGAAGCCCTTGAAACATAATTACACGTAAAACAAACGGAACCAACACAATATAGAAATAGGGATACAGAGGTTGTGCGTTGATGACGGCGCAGAGATACGACTATTCGTGCTCGATGGATGTCCGTGGTGCATCTACAAAATTGAAGGCGCGAGGTGTGGAGCCATGTCATTCCGATTTCCGGTAGATCTGTAGCAGTAATGGAGATGTTTCATGTGTGAGGAATTTGCGATTGGACTAATGATTCTTATGTAAAAGTTGGCGAGAAACACGATGGTGCCACTGGTTTTTTCTGAAATCAACTCCCAAGCTCAAAAAAAGCTCTCAAGTTGAGGCCAAAATGGAGGGGATATCCCACGCTATTCTGAGAGTCCACCTCTACATCAAGACAAACTCCCCATGCAAAGATAGGGAGCAAATGAATTGACAGGGTTGCCACTTTATTTGGGGACAACTAAAAACATACGACTACCCTGCTAATGTATTTGCTCCCTATCTTTGCATGGAGAGTTTGTCTTGATGTAGAGGTGGACTCTCGGGATAGCGTGGAATATCCCCTCCATTTTGGCCTCAACTTGAGAGCTTTTTTTGAGCTTGGGAGTTGGTTTCAGAGAAAACCAGTGGTACCATCGTGTTTCTCGCGAACTTTTACATAAAAATCAATAGCCAAATCGCAAATTCCTCACACATGCAACATCTTCATTATCATGGCAATCTGTCCAACTTTCACCATAGCCGGTAACGATTCTTGCAAGTGGACAATATTGTTTTTTCTCAATGTAAATGTTTGTTAAACAATCGATTCAAAGCGAGGCAGCCTCATCTAGAATCCATATATTTAAAAGATTGAAATAGAGTATCAACAATTTTGCAAACATGCTATAATCACCATTGACCATCGCTGCGTTCTGATTCTGATCCTGAAAAATAAAATAAAATTGGTACTTACAGAGGGAATTCAGGGATGAGATCATCCTGGAGGATCTCTCCGAACGAAACGACGATCCCTACATCGTACTTGTCTCGCAGCTCGGTAGGGAATTCCGGCGGGTAAGCGATCCTGTTGATCCGATGCTCGTAAGCGTACTTCCAAACCACATCCTCGTCGTCGATAAACATCAGGTCCAATTTGCTTATTAATTTCTTACTTTGTTTACTTTAAATGATAAAGAACATAACAAGCAAGTAATTAATGGGTCCGTTGCGCTGGTTTCGATATTAGCCAAGATATCGCGTTTTGAAACATTCTGTTTATGACGTCATCCACCGCGGTAGTGACACCCTTGGTTTCTTCCACCTTGCTTACATCCGAGTTCCACTGCGAGTAACCTGTGCAAATTTGCGTTATGCCGACTGGTGAAAGCAAGGTTTAAGTGGAAGAAACCAATGACCGCGGTGGATGACGTCATAAACCGAATTTTTCAAAGCGACATATCTCGGTTAATATTAAACGTATCGATCCTTTCCACAAATTTATGGTGGATAAATCGATAAATCTCAAAACACGCCACGCTACTGGGGTGCTTTGCTTAATCTCCAGTCTAAAACCTCAAAATCTTTATGGAATCACGTCTACGTGAATTAATTGTATAGTAATTTGCATCTTAGTGTGTCCGTTTTGATCATGAAAATCAACCCATCTGCCACTTCTGTATTTCATCACATCTAATCATCAAACACATACTTATGGACTGCTCTGCCCTCCGATATCTCCAATCACAGATCTACTCCCCCACAATCAACAGAAATACAAACCCACTTACATGCAATGAACCCAATATTACCACCAAAATTCTAAAACTCTTCACCTCTTTTAATTTAAAAATCTAAATATTCGTTTATACTCCCATTTTCAAAATTATCTGTAAAGACGTTTATAGCCTAGAGACGCTGAATGTCTTAAAATTATACTAACTAACTAACTATTAATTCGATGCACGTACTATACGTGCATCCATTTCAATTAATCCGCGATACAAAAATGAAAATTTTTTCTCCTCCTTTTTTCTTTTAGTTTTTGCGTTAAGATGAATTTTACTCAGCACGTTCCGGTGAAGCCTCGTGTGCAGAGTGCACGAGGAAATCATGCTTCGCTGGAGGGTAAGGACCACTTGTCCCCGTAACCGCATACTATCTTTAAGTACATGTACAACGTATGAACGAACTTACAACTCGTCGGTGAGAGCACTCAATGTTCTCAAAGAGAAATCGTCGGAGCCGAAGAACAGGATTCTCCATGGAGGTCCCTTCACTGTCGTGGCATTGAGAGATTGGGATACGGCGCCGTCGAATACCAAAGGGCAGAAGAGCCATCTAAAATTTCATAAAAAGTTGAGTGTCAAGTTTCAAAACCTCACGACTCCCTGAAAGTTTTCACAATAATTTTTTTGTTTTAATTCAACTATTTAATTATGCACAACGTTTAAATATTACAATATTGGAAATATTGAAATTAAGACAAATTAATTGTCTGTAAGGCCTTGTTCACACGAGCGCGGTTCGAGGAACTTGCTCCGGGAACAAGTTTTAGCTGAGCTGAAAACTTATTCCTCCTAAACCCGGAACTCTCCCCGTACTCCGAGCTTCTACGTATGTTTCTTTTGATGTGAATTTGTTTGTTTTTGTTTTTTACGTTTTTTACATGTCTTGACATTTATTTTTGTTACTTTGGCGGCCGTAATAATCTATTATTTTGCAATAATTGTATAGTTTTATTGAAGTTCCGGTTCCAGTTCGGGCGAACTCGTGTGGACAGCATCCCTCCTTTCAAGGAACAAGTTCCGGGAACTGAGCAGTTCGCCGAATAAGTTCCTCGAGGCACGCTCGTTTGGACAGGGCCTAAACTTGCCTCGACTAGATTCGAAGAACAGCGTTTCTCAATGCTGCCTGGCTAAGGTTTGCTAATTTTTCCAGGAAATATGACCTTTTGCAGGAAATTTTTGTCAATTTCAAAGCTTTATCGAGATTTTCAGAAGTTTCCCGTCCGCACTTTGCTATCTCCAATTAATTTCTGCCCCCACCTAATGATTCAGTAGAAGTGGTCTCTTTTATAGTATTCACTTCAACGGAATCTCCAGACGTAACTACCTCAAGAGCATTCCTAACGACGGAGCGTTTACTTTAATGACTTTAGTAAAAAGTGTTTTTTGTCTCTACCAATTTATGAAAAATAATCAACAGAAGCTTGATGTAAGCCTTACTTTGCAGGAGATTTTCAATTCACATATATAATTAATGTTGTATTGTTGTAGGTAATTAATGTTGTTCTATATTTTTGTGCGGAAAAAAGCAGAGGCCGATTCTAGCTTTATCAAATAGATTTATGTAGGCACAAAGGAGTGCCTTAACTACTACGCAGCTTAATACCTGACGAGAGAGCTGTCGAGCGGCTTTAAGTATATAGCCTGGGTCATAATTTGAAATCTCAAAGATAGTGGAATGTGATATATTAATAACCTGTTGAGAACCAAAAAATCATTGAATTTGGCCGGGTAGAGCTCCGAAAACAGCTCAGACAAATGGCCGAGTGTTTTAGGGGTCATAAAGTAATGAAATGCAACCAAACAAAGTCGATTTTAAGAAAAAAAAAAGTATCTTCCTCAATAAAGCCTCCCACTGCGCAGTTCGCGATATTTACAATTTATAGACCGTGTTATCAGACTATTAATGGTCTATGACAAGTTTCCAGTTGAATGGCTGTTAATAAGTCCCAATTTTCAACAACCCACTGGTTGATTTTATGGTTTCTTCAAACATTTTATTTCTTTTTTTACGGCAACACGAAAACATATCCAAATCGCAGGCGAGTAGCACTCGCTTGTAATGTGCGAGAGGGCCATGTTGTCTCGACAGATCAAGCAAATTGGTGTAATGAGATATCTTCTGTGTATACGACTTCCAAGACACGATCTCGGCTCGGAGCGCCTTCGTTTTTGCGTGATACTCTACGCTTTGCCACGAAGTTAGTTTAGTTGCATGTCCGATCCGCACTGAGTTCAGTACGTTGATGTTAGTATACGCTCGTACGATTGCGGTGGTTGCTTTAACATACTTTTACGAAGGAGAAAGTATCTATTCCATTTTATGGAAAAATACTGATTTTTTTCAAACATTTCTGAACTGCTTGCTTTTCTATTTATCTATAGTGGCTTGCAAATTGTAGGCGATCGCTACTTGTCTGCGATATTTATCATATCTTGGAAAATTTATTTATGTTGTACAGCTATTTGCCAAGCTGTACACTGAGTACCCCATACTCTATGTATAGACCCAGCACTGAAACAGAGTTGCCCTAATTCGAGCATGAAAACATAGACTAGTTTTCATGAATTCAGTCAAATAACTAGCAAGAAATGAAATTCTTTGGTAGCAGATGATGACATACTGTTGTAATTTTTAAAAATTCAACAACGAAGCAAGACGCAAAGCATTTAATCAAAACAGCATACAACGCCTTTTTACTTCCAAGGATATTAAAAGGAAATTAGCAATTTTGGCATGTAAAATAACGAGTACTTACAGTGATATCTTCAGTGCAAAAAATCCATCTAAACTGATGATCATAATTCGTAAAATATTCGGTATAGAATCTGTCAAGCAGTGCGCATTGAAAAAATCACTGTACGGCTCACCCGTACAGTGATTTTTGATCTACTTGATCTACTTGATAGAACACAGTTGATAACATTCTCTGAGAGAAACACGTGGCGTTTTAATTTTTTCTATTGGAATTGGGGAGAACAATAATTTTTCTCTGAACGCAAATAATATACCCCTACTTTTAATTAAAAATTTAAACACTAAGGCACACCTCTATCCGGGTAGCCATAGTTGAGTTCAGACAAAATAGATATTTTAGAAACCCAAGACTGCTGTCCTCCCTATTGTGTAAAAGTCACCTTCGAAGTGAACGCTTCAGTTCAGTCCAGTGGCAGTTTATGGGAAAAACAAAATTCCCTTTTGGCGCGAGTCGTCGATATTCAACAAATGATAACTGATGACCAAAGAGTTGAGTGGTTGCTTTAAGCTTCGAAACCTAATTTGTGAGAACTTGTTTAACAAAGTACTTTCCCCCACGTTCATTCATCATCATTTGGCGGAATTTATACTCAACAAGTTGCCCATCAATCATCAATTGGACGTATTTCTGCCAAACGGAGCTATGTGCATTAAGATATGAGCCCTGAGACCCACAAGAATTTATGCATAACAGGGCTCACGTCATAATGCACATAGTTCCGTTTGGCAGAAATACGTCCAATTGGTTGACAGTCACAACCTAATTTGCAAAAGTTCCCACTGCAAAGTGCTCATCCAAACAATTACCAGTCACCATTCGGCGAATGTTATGGCTATAACCAGTTTTTCATCAATTACCTATAATATTAGGCGGAAAGTAATGTTGACCTCAAAATTAACTTTTGCCCCACCTAGTTGCGTCACTCAGATTGTTAGTGCTGGTTCTCTTTAATAAGACACTTATATCGTCTCTGTTTTGTATGGTGCGAGACGTATATTTGCAAAAGCCACCGTGACAGGGGCCGGTCAAATCTGGATTTCTGCAGTTTTTGGTCCTTTTCTTTTCGTCTTAATGACTGATTTTCTGCGAACAGCATTGTGAAGTTAAGAAAGGCCAGAGTGCCTTCCATTTTCACCTTATGCAATCTAGACATCTACAGAGTACGAATGGTTGCATTATTCAAGCGTTAACACACATATCTTGTTCGCGCTGAAACAATACCTGAGGAGCGCCTTCAATTTTTATACATTATGTAAAACGGACCGGCGTAAAGGGTATATATTTGTATGCACTTTTTTATGACCTAGGTATTGGCTGGAGGCAGCTTTTTTCTTGTATTTCTTTCACTCTGTTCTACCCTAAAATAAAATAAAATATTCAAAATCATATTATAAGACGTGCAGATGAACGGTTCTAAAAACGGATCAATCATGTCTATTTTTCTATTAAGCTTGCGGAAAGAATTACAACTCTCAAGATGCAAATATCAAATCAGAAAAAGTCATTATTTACACCTGTGGTGTAATACACACTGTATCTCATATGGTTACCAATGCCGGAGCTATGGAGAGCCCGTGGTTAGAAGGGATACCTTACTAGCAAGGCCAGATTTACCTACTTGCCGCCCATGGGCCGCCTGTAATTTTCCGCCCCCCTCTAATTCGTTAAGGGAACGTGCTGGTAGGGGAGGGGTGTTGAGACGTGTTCACTCTTGTTGGCACAATTTTTGTGAAAGCCCTGTAAACACTAACAAAACTTCACGGAACTTGACGCGAAAGTTAAGTTCCGTAAACCCACCGCTGTTTGGACAAGGCCTTCCATTCATAACAAACGAACGAAAAAATTAAGGAAAAAGAACAAACACAAATGTGGTTTAATAATTTTAACTCCTGCCGCTGCGCCACGCCGACCGCCCTGTGTTTGGCGCAATGCGTGAAGTATTCATGAAGTCTTGTAGGCGCTATGCGTTTCACGCCGACTGCTGCTAACCGCAGTGTCTTTGACGCAATGCGTGAAGTATTCATACAGTCTTGTAGGCGCTATGCGTTTCATGACGACCGCCGCGCCGAAGGCTTCTCCTTTTTATCTTAGTCCTCGTCATCATTGCTCTCTGCGCCGATCCGCTCAAGGTCAAATTGCGTGTTTGGTTTCTCTGTTAACTCGACTAATTAAAGGTCTGTGTTGTCCTTTGCATCACCGTAAGACGACAAAATAAGATGTTTAATATACTTTTACTCTCAGGAAATTAAAGATATTGTCGCATTTTCTCGTTTGTAATTTATTTTCTGAATCCGATTTTTTCCTCTTTTTTTGATACCTACATTTAAAAAGATTGCAAAATTTGCTGCCCCCTACATTTTACCGCCATGGGCCGCGGCCCATGTGGCCACCCCCTTAATCCAGCCATGTTTACTGGGCATTTTTGCTTCCGTTCAGCGCGTCGTGAGATGGTAATCAGGTGGACGGAATGGAAAAGAGCTTTCTCGTATAGAAATGTTTTATTAAAAAAGTATACATAATATTTGGAACATTGTAAAAGAGTATTTTAAAATCTTTTATACAGTCTTTTTAGTTAGATCATTTTTGACGTAAAAATAAAATAAAAACTTCCTGTACAAATTTGTCATCGGTTCATTATCACACTAGAAATCCGTACCAAACCCTTCTTCCGGATACAAAAGGCCTGCAAAAAGACGAAAAATGTGCTTATAATCTCAAGCGAAAAACAAAAAATATGTCACGTCAGAAGTCATAATTTGTCTTTTTCGAGACGATGGAACGTGACTCCATTCTGACATTGCAAAATTTACCCTAATAATTGAATGCTTACCAAGAATATGACTGAAATTTTTGGTCAAAATTTGGCTGACTTTTGCGTATACTCAGAAAAAAAATCAGCAAAATATTCAGTCGGAAACGCCCAAAAAATTCCTGGCGAAAAGAGAATTTTCCGGAGAATATATTGCAATACAGCTACGTATTTTTGATTGGGAAACGAAGATCTGAGATTTTACGATAAGAAGTATAAATAAAAAAAGAGATTTGACATATTTTTAGTCTTACCTGCGATACAAGCGGTAATGAAGCAAGTTATACTGCCTCCGATAAAGGCTCTGATCGATAGATTGGTGACATTTTCCCTTTGACTCGGGCATAACACAGAAAGAGTCGCTATCATTGACCCGACCGAACTCGGATTGGCAAAACTGCAAAGAGCGAATGTTGCTATGGCTTCTGACCTCGGCTGTTAGTTGAAAAAATAAAAATACACAAATGCAATATTATATATTGGCATTTAGAAAAGGGAAAGGGTAAAAATATTAACATTGATTCGTTAGTGTGATATTCCTAAAAGAATACAGATATAATCTTACGGTAGTTTCAACCCTAGTTACAACATACTTGTTATTTAGTTCAAAAATTAAGCATCTGCGGGAAATCACATTTTACTTTTCACAGAAACAGAAGGTTATAGCGCGCTTCGTAGTTTCTTTTCCAGTGGCGTGGCGTGAATTGAGATGTATCGATTGTTCTGCCACCTAAACCTATGGTAAAGAATCGATTATTGAGGTGTTCGCTGCGAGCACCCTGATTATCGATCCTTTTTCATAGGTTTAAATGGCATAACAATCGATATATCGCAAAGCACGCCACGCCACTGTCTTTTTTATTTAGTTCATCCATATATACCTCCTTCTAACATAAATACGTCCAATTCCTTATTCTAATAATCGAGAATATTATTTGTGTAATCACTCACTCAGAAAATGTGTATGAAACGAATTGTATGTGTGGCGCCATTTCTATCCTTTACGTCGGAGCACGTTATGCTTTCCTCGTATTTCTATGCCGATTAATCATCGTAGAAATTCGACCCTCAACGCTTTGATCAGTGATGAGTACTTACCGAGAGCAAATGCTTGTTCTTGTACTCTCCTAATTGTTTATATGCTAAAAATTCGTTCACAGTAGTTTTTATGCCAATGAGTTCGGCTACCCTGTGACACTCTGACGGCTGCACTCCCATCATCAACGTCAGAGGGACAAAGACCACCGACAATATGTACTGCAATAAAATAAACAAAGAATTAAACTCGGATTATCGATAATTAAAAAACCTATCTACAAAATGCACTTTGTAAGTCATCGAACAACCATCTATCTTTAATTAAATTAAAAAAGAAAGTCTTGCCTTTACACGCAATGATGTTTACCACACACGTTGTTATCCACTGTAACAACTTGTAATAAACAACATTGCGTGGAAAGGCAAGACTTTCTCTTTTAATTTAATTAACACGCAAAATACGATACCTCAATCATCTATCTTTGTTGAAAGCTCCGGGATGGACGGTTTCGATATCATAATTATTACATTCTTATCTTTAATACACAAGCTCCATGATCCCACAATCTGCCTAACCTATTGATGATACCTGAATCTATTGGTAGATAGCGCCCATTTGAAGTTCGCCTCAATTTTGTTGCATAGGCAACAAGCCTGCACAGGAGAGCGCGAACAGTTATCTCCTCGGACAATACACATTTATCTCCCTCCATTAACCTCAACAGCCATTTACTCGATTTTTGCCTTCAATCTTTCCGCATAGGCAGCAAAAACACCGTGGAGCTCGAATAGTTGTATTCGAAAAACACACAATCATAGCGCTCCAACGCTTTGATAGAGCCAAACTATGTGTGAACCCATTGATTGGTATCGTCGTTTGAAGTTCGCCTTCAATCTCGCCGCATAGGCCACAAACATTCCACGGAGCGCTTATATTTGAAAAACACACATTCAACTCGTTCTGTAAGCTTCGATTGAACAAATTTGTGAGTTTTTCATGTCCAGAGCAACTTTTGAGGGAATTACAGCTCGATTTTGTTTGTACTTCAACTATGATATCCCTTACTGTTAAAAGGGGGAATCCATCATACTGGAATGACTAAGTAAAGTATACATTATTCGTCCCCCTCCCCACCCCGGATACATCTTTTGTTTAAATCTCATGTTCATAACGATACGTTTAATAAACAGCTTTCGCATGCTACATTCCTATATTCATACACTTTTTATAGTGAAGTGTTTTTTGTGGCAGTATACTGAATACAGTGATTATATTGAATATATGAAAATGGAGCGTAAGAGACTGTGGATTTTTCAAAATCTTTGGGGGTCCTTCTTTCGATTTTTCTTGAGCTCCAAGGGTACCTCCTCGTGGGATGAGTAAGTCAATTTTGTGCTGGAAAGAAAGCAGCAGCACCAATGCAGACAGGTGTCTCATCTTTTTTCTTTTTTTTACGATCGATACACTGTATATTTCCTGAAGCAAATCATTCAAGGTGCTCCTTCTATGGAGGTGCATGCCAAAATCTTCCGTGTGTAACTATACGTATTGATATTGTAACCTTGATCCCGACGTCAATCTTCTTGGCTAACATTATCATGTACTCGCTAACTATGTATACATTTATAAATGTCTGTATCCTACCTGCAGGCTGATGCCCTCGAAGCCGACCAGAAGACCCAGCCAAATGATGATATGATCGATGAATGCTATAAATGATACAACTGCAATTATACTGGCAATAATACCGAAGACCATTTCCGATCCAGCTATCGCACCTTTGCAAGCCGCGTCAATCACACTCCTTTCCTCGCTGAAAATAAAATTTTCATACCAATCACATGCGTAGAATACTACCGTGCAACGCAAAAACGCCGTAAACGCTATTTTAAATTTTTTGGGAACAATGTATTATAGCACCAAACTTGGATACCTTGGGACAATGTTTTTACGGAATTCTTTCGCAAACACCACCAAAAATGTAACCTGAAAATTTGAGGTGCATGGGTAAAACAGTTTTTATTTTATGAAGTGTTAAGTTCCAAAAAACGCGGGAAAATCTTGATGGAATTACGGCGTTCTTGCTTAGCACGGCAGAATATGAAGCAATTTCAAGCCATCGATTGTGACACTGAAAAACACGTCTTCGGTACACGCAGGGTTGCAAATTTCCATCCCTAGCTTCAAAGGCCAACTTTCTAACTCGTGTGTGTCAGTCTCAAAAAAAATTGTTATATGAGACTATCCAGTTTTTATGGGGAAAAAAACGAACAAAAACTTCGGGCCAAAAAACAAAAATAATGCAAAACTGAACCGGAATTTTCATGCTTCGAGGTTTGCAAATGAGTAAAATTTACCCTCGCGGAAAAGCTATTAAACATTCTAGTATTTTAGGTTTAGGATTATAAATTTCCGGTTTTTGATGTAGTTTCACGCCCCCATCTGACATGAAAATGAAATTGATGGCATTTTTGGACAATGATGAAAACTTTTTGTCAACATTTTTTAACTTGTATGGCCATTTTAAGTTGTGGAATTAGAGATTTATGTCGTAGATGTGGAAGCTCAAATCTATCCTTACCTCTTCAAGTCGCGCATATTATCAACTTTTGTTTTTGAGCTCTCAGTTTCAGGGTATAGCAATTTGGCATAACTCAGGGCTGCTGGGGCTGCCATAATAGATGCAGTTATTATATGAGCTGGCTGAATTCCAAAGGATATGTATGCTGCGAAAACAGTACCTGTAATGTAACGAGATAAACATGGATAACCAAATTATCAACGCGAAGCGAATTTTACATACATAATATTTGTTTTCTTAAAATATAAGTTATAAAATTTGTATACTCTTTCTCTACCTAGAGGTAAGGACGCCAAAAAGCTTACTACACCAGTGATGGATTTACATTTTTTGTTTCATAAAATCTAATGATGGAAGCTAAATCTCTAGAAAAGGATTCTTTTTTTGCTACATGATTCGTCCATTGACTGGTGCGGTTTATTTTTAACAATCAGGCTATCTGATAAGGTTTAATAAAATTATTTATTCTTCGAAAAAGGTAGGGTCAAGTGGAGTCGAAATGAATGTTTGACGATTGGTCACTTGTGTAAGTAAAGGTGAATTTTTCGTGCCCCTCAAAAAAGATGAATGAGTCATATCAGATCATCGATATTTTTTTCAACTAAGGGCAATTCTGGTAAAAATTTCAAATGTTTGCCTTTGCCGACCTCAGTGCCTGAGAGTACTGAAGTCAGTGTTTTAGATCTGTTTCAAAGTCAAGTGCTACTGACCTCACATTCGTTATTTATATCCAAGAGCGCTTACCTACGTTCGCTTCATCATTCACACACATTTTGAAGCCCTTTCTGACCTCTCTTGGCTCATGACACTTTGAATTATTTGAGAAGGAAAGGTCACTTGTTGGAGAGCAATAAAAACATGCTCTTTTATTTTTCAAGTGAAAAATGTCATCTTCGCATCCCAAAATATTTCGCTGTGCTAACTAATCAAAAATTTGAATGGGTAAAAATTGGACGGTGATAAATGAAAAAATATCTGCATATATATGTAGATATCTTCTGTACATTAATATGTATGTATAATATTACCAGCAACCGTTGAAAATCCGCTATGCATGACAGCATAAAGTTCTGAGACGGTGAGATCCTTCAAATACGGCTGAACTAAAATGGGAGCCTCTGTCTGAAAAAGTTTATTAAAAAACAAATCTTGAAAACCGGTAATAACGTTACAATTTAATAAGCACAAGAAGGGCTGGATTTACATTTTTAGCGCTCAACAGGCAGGACTTTGTTTGGCACATCTAAAAGAGGATAGTATGTGGCACAATGTAATACTCAGTACCTCACGAGATTTTTGATCAAAAAAATTTAATTTTGGGCGGCTGTTAATGCACGTGGATTAAAATTAATTCTTATTAAGACTCATGCAGCCAACTAACTTAAGGGCATACTTCTGCGTGTTAACACGAATTGTCTTCAGATCAGTTCATTTATCCTCTTATCTTGGCAATATTTTAAAATTATTTGTCCAAGCTTGAATGACACAGGTTTGCATATCAAACATGGCAAGTAATGCTTCAAAAACTGGCTAACGGAAAATTGGAAGAGGAATTACACATTTAACAAAAGTATCCCTTGATTGTTTAAAAGATCTCTTAATGATTGAATGTTTTGAAAATCAAAATCAATTACCATTCCTAGGAAGACGCTGGCGCAGCCATTTACTGATTCAATGACGGTTGTACCCAGAGTTGATTGCAGCACCCAGCCTAATTTTAAGAATATCCTTTGAAGTACCCCATAGTAAAAGAGAATTTGGACAACGAAACTAAGGAAATATATACAACTCAGCGCCTGTAAATGGGGAAATTTTAAACTCGTAAATAACTAAATAAATAAATACATGATAAATTATTTAATATTACATTGTAGTATTTTCGACCAATAAGATAGAGTCGTAGGTATCAGACGCTTTTTATTAAAGGTTATAAAATTGATTAAATTTCACGATTATGAAATTCAATGACAATAATCGAAAGTCTATTGGTTAAATGTGATCCATGAACACCATTTAATTAAAAAGAGTTTCCTCTTTAAAAACTAATAACAAAGTATTTCAGATTACGTAGTGCGAATATTTAAAACTGAAATAGTTGTTCAGCCACTGAACTTCAACTCTAATAAAGCCACAACTTTTCTAGTGTAGATGTACTATATCGATGGTGAAACTCCGAAACCAAGTATATCGTAGCAGACTTCTTGTCATACTGTATTTTTTTAATAAAAAACTATTCAGCGTTACTTCTTCAAAATGTCCATGATTTTTCTTCTCTGTGCGAGGAAAATTCTGTGAAAACTACAAAGAATCACGTTGATTTGTTCTCCTCAAAAAAAATAAATAAAATGGTAGAAGAGATTTTTGAACACCGCAAACGAGGTACGCGGTTTGGACGTTTCACCATCGGTATTCCATACATCGCATTTTCACCTGGTTATCTCCAATTGTTCCTCACAGTGCCGGATTCACCTACTTGCCGCCCATGGGCCGCCTGTATTTTTCCGCCCTCTTCTCATTCGTTTTAACACATCAATGGATCGTATTCGACAGTGGTTCGATGTATCGTTTGGTTCAAAACAATAGAACATAACCTCAAACAAAAATTTTAGGATTTAATTTGGGAAAGCTGAAAATGAGAAAATTGATAACAATTTCACTTTTCATTGCCATTTGGTACTCAAGAGAATAAAAATTTGATCACATGAGACCCATTACCTCAGATTTCTAAACTGACTTTTGAGGCTGTGGTTACATATTGAACCAATCGATATCAATATAATCTCACCTGTGTGATCTGTCGAATACGATCTAGAAAAACAATCAAGTGAGCGAGCCGGTGGGAGAGGGGTGTAGGAGACGGGTTTACTCGTTTTGGGCACATTTTTTGTGAAAGCCCTGTCAACACTAACAAAAGTTCAGTTCCATAAACCCATCCCTGTTTGGACAAGGCCTTCCATATTGAAAAAACGAACGAAAAAATTTTGAAAGAACAAACATAAATGTGGTTAATAATTTTAACTTCCACCGCCGCGCCGACCGCACTGTGTTGGCGCAATGCGTGAAGTATTCCTGCAGTCTTGTAGGCGCTATGCGTCTCACGCCGACCGCTGCTGATCAGACTGTTTGCCGCAATGCGTGAAGTATTCATGCAGTCTTGTAGGCGCTATGCGTTTCATGCCGACTGCTGCTGACCGCAGTGTGTTTGACGCAATGCGTGAAGTATTCATACAGTCTTGTAGGCGCTATGCGTTTCATACCGACCGCCTCACCGCTCCGTTCCAGGTCAAATTGCGTGTTTGATTTCTCTCTTAACTCGACCAACTAAAGGTGTTATCCTAGTTAGGTTAGGTGTATCACCGAAAGACGACAAAATTAGAAATTGCTATACTTTCACTCTCAGGAAATGAGATTGAGATTGATGAGGAATGAGATTTTGTTGCCTTTTCTCGTTTGTGATTTATTTTCTGAATCCGATTTTTTCCTCTCTTTTTTTGATACTTACATTCAAAAAGATTGCAAAATTTGCCGCCCCCTACATTTTGCCGCCATAGGCCGCGGCCCATGTGGCCACCATCTTGATCCGACCCTGGTTCCTCATACTACAAAAGTAGTTACCGATGAAATCTCAGAGCTTTTTATAAGCTTTCGTAAAATAAAATTATACTTAGTGGTACCACCGTGTTTCTCACACACTTTTGCGTCAATCAAAATGCAAATTCCTGGCTCAAACAAGTGGAAACATTCTGAGTGTTAAGCGAGTCCAGGTGCAGAAAAGGAAATATCTGCGCGGGATTTTCGAAAAAATTGGAATTGAAATGAAGTTCAATGGGCAAGAAAATGTGCAGCTCGACATTTACCTGGAATGCAAAGACTGCGTGCTTTGGATTTTTGACCAAATCGTCAGTGTAGATGAATGCTGCGCCTTCGTAGGCGAATTCAAGGAACGTTCGGACGTGGCTCCCGATACACTCGAACACAATCCGGCCGGCTCTCCATCTTATCGATAAGATTCCGATCGCAATTTGAAGGGCGATCCCCCAAAAGACGGAACGCCATTGCACCTGAGCGGTATCAAAGAAAAAAGAATTGAAGCTCTAATAGCTCTGTGTCGGAATTATGTCACGTTACATGGCTATGACATGTAACCTTTCAAAAAAATGTTTCGCGAGGAGTGAATTTTCTGGCTTTGGGACAAAAAAGTACTCTTTAATTTTCGATCTAAATCCACGTAAATCATCCTCAGGAAACATTTTGCTCCCCGTCCATAGCCTCTAAATTTGAGATCTTTTCCATTCATCAGTCTACCAATGAATTAATTTTTATCTAATTTTTTGTGAGTTTGCACTAATTATTGATATTGATGTATCACTTATAAGAGGAGGGCGAAGGAAATGAAGTCATCAAGATTTAAAACTTAGAATGGATTTCGCTCAAATGCGAGGAATTTCAATCTCAATTCTTAAATTCGATTTAAATTTGGAAATCATTATTTGTTAGCTTCTCAGAATCGCCACTGCCACCATAACACCTGGTGAAACTTTTAAACTTTCGACTGTTTGTTTGTTTAGGCATTGGGAACTGCTAGCTACCAAGCAAACTTTTAGTTTTACCAACTATTACCAACAATTATAGTTTTATTCAATAGGGACAAAACTCCTAAAGCTCAAAAAAAGCTCTCAAAATTTAGGCAGTAATGGAGGGGATGCTCCTCGCTACATTGGGAGTCCACCACCTGTAACTGGTCAAACTCTCCATGCAGAGATAGAGAGTAAATACATTGGCAAGGTTATCGTGGTTCAATTTTGGGAAACCCTAAACAAAATGACAACCCTGCTAATGTATTTGATCCCTATCTGTGAATAGAGACATGGAGAGGTTAACTATACTTAGAGGTGGAATCTCAACGTAGCGTGGAATATCTCCTCCATTACGACATGAACTTTGGGAGCTTTCTTGACCTTACGAGTTGATTTCAGAGAAAATCATAAGCATTACCGCGATTCTCACGAAATCAAGGGGCCTGGAGGACAAGGCGCATTAGAGCAGGTTTTGCTATTTCGAGGAACATGTATTTGAAGTTTCGACATAACATGGATCATTATGGCGGAATTAAAGTTTAAACTGACTTTTTGATGCTTCAGCATTGTTTGGGAGCGAATTTTTCACAGAATATGCATTAAGACTAGTTTTACTTGAAATCATTAATATCTCATTTTTTTTCAAAAACTGCACTTATGAGCATTGTCCTCCAAGCCCCTTAATTTTACGTCGGTAAAAGTATACTTAAATTACAAATCCCTCACTACTACATGCAAGAGCGGCATTAAACAAGAGCGAAAGAACGAGCGACAACGACAACTTAAGTAGTTCATTCTACCGACTATTATTTGGACCGCATTTTGCAATAAGGAACCACTATTTCTGGCTCATTTTAGAAACAGCATATATGCTCTTGGTTTCACGGTTTACCCAAAAATGCAGAAAGGTGCTTTTATGGAAGAGCCAGAGATAGTGGTTCCTTATTGCAAAATGTAATCCATTTAAGATTTAACGGCAATAACTATCGGCATTTCGGCAAAAACTATCAAGAGCTAGATATTTCTGTTTACCTTTGTAGGATGCTTAGAGAACAAAAAACCGCCGATAATGAAGAATGCTATTCCGAGTAATGATAGCAGTCTTCGTCTCTCTCCTGCGGTGTCATAGTACACAAAAATAATGAAACCAATGATACACGCGAGTTGCAGGGTCTCTCCAAGGTACCTGAAAGTTTTATTTTGGAGTGAATATCGGACACTTGAAGAAAATAAATAGATCTGAAATGGTAAATTTATAAATATCTCTTTTTGAGTTATCGGTGTGTCAATTTCATCGTGCGGAAATCTTTTGATATTTTATCAAAAAACATGTTTGAAATGTCAACTATACATTAAAAAGAAAATACTGTGGAGTTTCGGCCATCTAATTTAATTAAAGCTTCAATAACTTCAATAAACAAATATCGATTGCCAAAGTGGGAAACCTTGTATCTTCCTATTTGACGATGGCGATATCTTATCATACTTCATTTTTTCTTTAGAGAACTAGTCGACTTAATTCCTTGAAAGCTACCTTGATTTTTCTTTTCTATTTTCAAAATAATCCGTATTTTAAAGCAATATAGTTGACTTGTTTTTCTTCGAAAAAATAAAATAGGAGCAAGGATTTTGGAACGCTGCAATGAAGATACGAGGTTTTGCACTTTAGCAATCGATATGCAGAAGAAATTTTGATTTTTAAATATTGCAACCATCCGTAGGACAAGTTATCTTCCATAAGACTCAATTATAACGACAAAATTTATTTACTAATGTATTTTCACGTTCAAAATATATTTTATCGACTTCGAATTTTTAACAGGAGAAAATATTCGACCAGTTAACTTCAAAATTTCTCCCAAAGTCATTTTTACTTGATACTTTTTTTCTTCAAACTAGATCCAAATTTAGAAAAAACTTTCATGATTTTCAAAGTATTTATCCTTGCAAAACATCAAAAATTCGGTTTGCTCTGAAATTGTTATTTAACCTGGACATAACTATCAACCGTTCGAAACGTTTTGGAACAATACATTATTCAACTCTCGTTCACTCATTCTAGTGCTTAGACTGTGAATAAAATTCAACTGCAAGGAAAGGATAAGTCTTAGAAGAAGAATAGAACTTACCTGCTCACGGCTTTGTAAATTTTTGTTTCTGCGATTGAATTAATATAGGGTGCAAAAGCAGGAAAAATGAATGGAACTATGAACTTATAGTAGAATAAGATCCAATAAAGTAAACCTACAATGATCAGAAGTATTCCTAAGCCATTGCACCAGTTTATATGTTTATCTGAAACTGAAAAAAGTCACATTTAAATAAACATGTGGGAATAGCGTTGTAGATTCACGATCGAAAATTTGATTCCGACATGAGATTGGCAGATTATTCAACAGTTGCCAACGAAGTAACTTAGATTTCAAGAAAAAATGTTCATAACTTATACCTAAACTAAATATTTTATCGAGGAGAAAAGTTACATGATTAAAAAGTCTCCAGGACGTCCTATTCTGGATTATGCTCATTAGACATAGCATGTCTCGCCATCGATTTTGCAAGGTTGTTTTCAGGAAAATGCCACCGCGCCTTCATTTTTGAACGATGCAACACGGACCGGATGCACACCGTCAATTGGGAATAATTGTATTGTGACGTATCAGGAGCGGCGAGCTATAATATTTCCTCCCAATAAAAGGACCGTGTTGGTTATTCCCTTGTTCGAATTCATCATTCGATTTTCATAAGCAAAAAACTCGAGATATCTTAGCTGCATCAAATCTGAGGTACACCTCGTTTGGATTGCATACTGGAGGGTGAAATTAGATTTTTCAAATTTTTTATAAAAGCTTTTTTTCGCTTCTTGTCTCTCGATCTTGAGCAAAGCGGGATAAAAATATGCCATCGAGTAATTTTATTTCGAGGTACAGCAAGTATAATTTTATTTCGAGATACAGCAACCAATATCATAAGTGTTGAACATTCGCGAACTAGCTGTTGTCGCATGTTGGCGAATTAAAAATAATATAATAGGTTTGAAAATGAACTTTAGTTTACCTGTTTTATTCCAGTGATAAACAGCTGCTGCTAAGTATGCGATTAAAGCTACATTTAAAATATATTTGATCATTTGCGATATTAAATAAGACTGATTTTTGAACATTTGTACTAGATTTTCCCTGAATGTACAGATTATACCCGGGAAAAGAGGCTCCTAAAACAAAAACCGAAAAGGAAAATGCATTAAATGTGGATTTTTAGTGATAGAGATAATACAGATTTAATTAGTAAAGTAAGAAAGGTATCTCGGAAGAAGTGAAGTCTGACTGGGAGGTAAATTAAGGCTTCTTGCATCAGAATTCATACCGCAATTAGAGAAATCTATGCACCGTTAAGTCCCTAACGCAGAGTTGTGCGCTGTTTCGGGAGTCTGATGTTACAAAATTTGGAAAAATTACATAGTTTGCATTTCAGAAATCTTGCGTATACTCTCATAATCCTTAGCTCTTTCTCTTTCATGCTCTCCATTTCATTGCAGTGTAATACTTACAATAGTACTGAAAATGACATCATTTCTATAGGGTTTACTATTACACCTGAAAAGCCTGTATTACGTGCACTAATCACATTCGGACTTTACACAGCCCACCCTGTATAGATAAGGATTCTCCTTAGTGAAGCAATTTGAGGTTTTCAAGCAGAATTTGACTGCGTTTTGCAATATGACGCTGCAATTTTTGACGCATAAGTGAAAACACTCATCCGCATAGAGAAACTGATGGCATTCTTGTTGTCTCTGAAATAAACTAGAGATTGTAGATTCTAATCGCAAAATGCAGTCCAATTAGTGTAACTGCGTTTCTCATTGCATAGCCTCATCCAAATTGTTATTTTTTCACGATAAAACTCAGGGGCATGATGCCATGAAACTCTATGTGAATTTCTTCCAGAGCATGAAGAATATGTATCGACGGTGTAAGTCGGCAACCACATAACTCGTTTGCGGCGTTTGAAAATCTCCGCACCTATTTTATTTTTTTAAAGGAGAAAAAATCGGTATTATTCCTTGAAGTTTTCGCAGAATTTTCTGCGCACCGAGAAGAAAAATCACGGCAGTTTTTGAGAATTGCCCCTGAGTAGTTTTTCATTAACAAAAATAAAGTATGACAGGAGGTCTGCGACACGACGTCGCAAACCGAGATATACCGTCGATTTACTAAAAAAATGCCTGAGTAGTAGATTACTTAGATTTCTCGCAGAAAAAATTATAAATCTGAGGAAATCAGGCAAAGTCTGATGCAGTCAGGCTGGCTCCAATCAATGCTGTCCGATTGTTAACTAGAAATACCTTCAGTGAAGAAACTTCATCGTTGACAAGGGACCTGAGGTTGTATTTCAGCTTAGCTTAAGTCGCGTTGCAAGCCAACATAAGGAAATACCCTTGGTGTCAAAATTCCATGAAAACTCTCGGTGAAGTACAATTTATACCTGGAAATATAGACACTTACTTCTAAATGAGGTTGATTAGCCTTGCCATTATTTACAGGGGTCACTTCGGCTTGGCGAGGTTCCTCCGTTTGATCTGGGATTGACACCGAATGTTGTGGATTGTCCGTATCGTCTGCATCCGCCACCATCTCAGTGCTGTTATTGCTGTCTATTTTTCTCTGAAATCGAGAACAATAAAATCCTAAATCTAAAAACCCTTAGAAAAGTCAAAACTATATTCTTTGATCGAAAAGTTTTAAGCAAAGCAAACATCTATAAGCGAGGATAGGACCAAACTTGAATAGAATTATAGATTTCCAGTTGAATATAGAGTTCGTAAAATACGCTTACTAGCATCCTCGAGGATTAAATTAATCAGAATATTATTTTAAACCGTTCAGTTCGATCTATCGAACATCGAAGGGTGGTTCTGCTGACCAAACTTTTTCCTCAATGCAGCGCTATCACGATGATATAATGGGAACTTTAAAATCCTAGCAGTTTTTCCTATTATTATTATATTTTTTTTCATGGTTCTTTCTTAAAGTTTGACGAGTAAGGGGCTCTGAGGACAAGACGCATAACTACAGTTTTTGAAAAAATTGAGGTATTAATGATTTAAAGTAGAACTAATCTTAATGCATATTCTGTGGAAAATATGCTCTCAAATTTCAATTTTTAAGTATCAAAAAGTGATTTTGACCTTTCTTTTCATTATTAGGATCCACGTAATTTTAAAACTTCAAACGCGTATTTCTCAAAATAGCAAAAACATGCACTTATGCGCCTCGTCCTCCAAGTACCCCCTGGTAAAAATTGGCAGTAGAATCTGTGTTCCAAAATACCATAGACCTACAGCCGGCTGTAAGATTTCCAATAGCTTCTATAGCCGGCTACACAATTTCTTATAGCCTTTTATAGCCGATGGCGATTAAGCAACAGCCAGGCGATAAAGTGTATGCTAAACGTTACTAATTACGGATGCTAGGACTTGGTGAGTTTTTGGAATACTGCTCTCTTTTTGGGCCGTAGTATCTTGATTTATTTTGCGAGGAAAGCTCCGTACTTTTGATGGATACCTGTCATTACTAATATATTAGAGCGCCTTCACACGGAGAAAAAAAACTCGTGCGTGGGACCCGAAGTTCAGGTCATATGGATCTCTGAAGTTTTCAGATTGAGCATCTGAACACTTTAGGTCTAGCTACCGAAGTTCGGATCATACATCTGAAACTTCAGTTTTCACATCTGAAGTACTTCAGATGTGAGAACCGAAGTACTTCGGATGTGAGAACCGAAGTACTTCGGACGTGAGAACCGAAGTACTTCAGATGCAAGAGCTGAAGTTTCAGATGTGTGATCCGAACTTCGGCAGCTAGACCTAAAGTGTTCAGATGCTCAATCTGAAAACTTCAGAGATCCATATGACCTAAACTTCGGGTCCCACGCACGAGTTTTTTTTCTCCGTGCAGTTTCGTATGATACTGTGCAATACCTCTGGTGTGAAATAGTTGCTTCAAGCGCCGTGGCAGGCGGGCAGCCAGCGCGAAACACGCATTGGCGCCTACAAACCTAACAGGGATACTTCACGCGTTGCGCAATGCGTGAAGTATCCCTGTTAGGTTTGTAGGCGCCAGTGCGTCGCCGCTCCGCTTTGTGTTAGGCTCTAATATTTAATCTGGCGGAGTCAGCGTTATTCAACTCATGATTTTGAAATGTTTGCACATCCTGTATGGATTATTCTCATTTTGATTGATGAAAAAAAAATATGTATTAAAGGAAAATATAATGTGTGTTTTGTAAATATTAAGGTGGTTCCGTATCAAACTTAGTGATTTCCAAAGCGCATGAATTTCTACACAATTTCTTATAGCCTTTTAGAATCGATGGCGAAAAAGCAACAGCCAGGCGATAAAGTGTAAAGCCCGGCGATCCGGCTGCATAATTTTTTATCGCTTCGTATAGCCCGACCGTATGATTTTCTTCGCATTCTACAGCCAGCTATATGATTTTCTGTAGCCGTCTTTAGCCGGCTATAAGAATTCCTATGGTATTTTGAAACGTAGCTCTTATCGCCAATTTTTACCAGGGCCTCTATTAAAATTAATGCATGTATCATTGTAATCATACCCTCCTGGCAGAATTAGGTTTTGAGGTGGAATCGTCAAGTTCTTCCATATTTCTCCGTTAGTTTACAGCCAAGAAACTCTCTACCTATAATGAACAAAATTAAATTAAGTAAATAATAGGTAATTGACGTCTTAAAAATCAACATGGAACAAAAAAATAATGCACTACATATCGAGGAAAACTTGAGTGAAGCGGATCTGATAGGAGAACAAGTATCTGCTCTGCTATCTTAACAAGCTTTGCAACATTGTGTACAGTTATTTGCGCGATCATCGAGGATATGACAATTCTTCAAATTTTCAATTAAAAAAGCATTAAAAAAATGACGAAGTAATACATTTAAAAATAAAAAGAGAACGTGTTGGAAACGAGTGATTTCACCCGCTATTCGTTGGATTTTCCTCCCGCAATGGTTTCGGGTTGATTCTTTACAAAGTCCTTTGGAGAATGCTGACTTTACCAGGTTAACAGTGCACTGGAAAAAAAAACACATTGGAGTCCAGACTCTTGAAAACATTGACAAGAAAAAATACTCTTGATTCAATCGGATTTTTGCTTGAGTCAAAACGAAATCCGCTTAAATTAAGAGGCTTGGTTCTTGATTTAAGCTAGATTCTGATTGAATCAAGAGTACTTTTTCTTGTCGATGTTTTCTAGAGTCTGGACTCTAGATCCAATGTGTTTTTTTTCCAGTGTGTCTAAGTCTCTGAGTTAAGGAATTGCCTTAGCTGGTGAAAATCCGCCAAAAGTACATGCAAGTTGTAGGTTAGGCAACACTTTTACAAAACTTCGTACGAATTCATCACTCGTGTAGTGTTAAAAACACGCACAGAAAATGGGTAACCATCGCTAAAAATTGCCGATTTTTATGCCGCCGGGACATTCGGGGATCCGCTTAGTCTTGGTCACCAATTTTTTGCGTCTTTTTTAATCTCGCCACATTCCGGGCGAATGTTTTCTTTCCATCAATCGTTTAATAGTCCTATCAGTTTCGCTTTCTGGAAATTTGCACTTCATGCGGATTTGACGGCATTCACCGAATAGCTTCATCGAGACATTTATGCAAATGAAGTTGAAAAAATTACATTGTCGTATTAAAGTGATAGGAATGATAAGCCCTCTTGAACGCTATTACAATCGTGACTCGGTTCCTTGTTTGCAGTTAAGTTATTTTCATTAAGTGCAGTAGGTTGATTTCTGAGTGCTGTGACGTGCTCGAGTTAAGTATACTCGTGAAACTTCTCCTTTGTGGGAAAATAACTCATGTCATTTTTGTCTGTCGGCATGGGGGCGACCGGTGAAATGACGTAACGCACTCAGCGAAAAAGTACTTCGAAACGCGCGAGCAAATGGAAAAATTGTGTTTTCCTTCAAAAATTGGTGCCAATTTTCTCTTTCTCTGGAAATTTTGCTCCAAACACGATGACCGTAAAGAAACTTGACAACTACTCTAGAGAGAAATAGACTCGATTTCGCAATTACGGCAGGTTCATGACTCATTTTTCCTTATATTTTTCACTTCTGAATTTCGCTTTGCCAATTGAAAATGAGGTTGGTAAATACTTCGAGACGTCCCGGTTTTTTACTCTCTTTGTTTTGAAGCCTCTTTCCGTTTTTGACTGTATTTTTTGGGCTGTCTGAGTTATTTACTACTCTTGAAGAAGTTCACTTTTTTCTTCTTTTTTAAAACAAATATCGATCATATCCAAAAATAACACGCGTTACTGACTCTCCAAAGGGGAAGGATGGCCAGAGGAATGTATAGGTATTCAAAAAAAATTCTTCCGTTCTATACCAAGAGAAGACCGCAATGAACTGGACTACTTTTTGCAATTTGGAACTACAATATCTGGCTCATTTTAGAAACGATGCATGTACTTTTAGTTTTCCTATGCACATGAGTGTTTTTACGGATGAGCCAGAAATTTTAGTTCCTAATTGCAAAGTGCAGTCCAACTAGACTACGCCCCCTGAACGATCCTCGGTCCAATCTTCCGATGCAATTCGCGCCTCAGGCGTTCTGCGTCACGCCATACTCTTGTGATTTAGACTGCATTTTGCAATAAAGAACTACAGTTTCTGACTCATTTTAGAAACAACGTATGTACCATTAGTTTCCCTATGCGCACAAGTGTTTTTACGGATGAGACAGAAATTATAGTTCCTAATTGTGAAATGAAGTTCATTTCATAGTATAGAGTACGATACGAATTACTATGATTAGATACCTCTTATTATTAAACGAATCGCTTAGAAATAAAAAAGGGCAAAGGTTCCACACTACTCATTTCTGACAACGCTGTTGGTCAAATGCTCACGAGCGGCACGTCTGCAGCGTTTGATTCGATCTGTCTACGACATTTCGTTGCTCGGCTGACAAAAAGGCGTAACTACAATTTGAGATGAGCCCCAGAAAGCACTGGGCTACACGGACAACAGGGTTCATCGTCAAGCGTAGTTACGCCCATATGTTAGGGAGGCGACGACTTATACGTCTGCGAATTTTTTTCGTCGTGAATGGGACGAGACGTCGCTTCGCCAATCAAGACCAATTTCTCATGCAACAAAAGCCCCGAGTCTAGTCATGACAATCCCTCAAGAAAGCCTTGCCCTGTGCGCAAAAGGGCCTAACTTGAGCCTTGTCACCCATTTAACTCTATGTCATCTAGGTGTCACGTAAAAGTTGGGTTTGGACCTTTCGTCAGCGATGTATCGAGATGAGGGACCAAGGAGTGTAGTGAAGAATGAAAAAGGAGGAGGGGGGGTTTCGAGGGGGGATTATTCGCAAAACAGCCTAAAAAATTCTAATTATAAAGTTTAACCGAGCAATGACATGTTGATTTTTTGTCGACTGTAATTGCCTTGATTGGATTTTCAGCTGATAATGAGTCCTGGCTGGCCCCGATGTTTGGGTTCGAGCCGAAATAAGAATATTGAACTTGTCTCAAATTAATCTCTTAATCAGCCATGAACAAGTGGCATGGCGTGCTTTGCGATATATCGATTCATCTGCCATTTAGACATATGGAATAGAATCGATAGATAGGGTGTCCGCAACGAACACCTTTAATAATCGAATCTTTACCACGGCTTCTAAAGGGGGAATATCGATAATCGATCACGCTTCGCCACTGCTATGAACGCGCAAATGCAAATGCGCATATCAAAGACGAATATTCTGAAGCGCCAAGACACTTTTCCAAATAATGTTCTCCAATTAATTGTGTTTGACGCTGCCCTTGACCCTCCATACTGTCCGCAAATTTAATTCGCGAATGACAATCTCAAGTGGTTGCATATCAATTGAGAGCTCTCGTTTGGATCAAATTATGAGCTGACTTTATTCTTGTAATGGTGTAAGGAAGTTTTCTAACCTAGCACATAACGATTCTAACACTTAAAATAAGAGGAACCCCTTTTCCACCTTTTCCGTGACGATATCAGAGGGCTGATTATTGACCTTGATAGACAAAGCTATAGACAAAGAAGACAAAGGGAGACTAAAGTGATTCTTTCGGTTGAAACGGGTGGTTGCTATAGACTAAGGAGGAAAATGATGGACTAAGTATAGGGTCGCTCGTGCGATAATGTATAACTTACCTCCTTTATCTATTGCAACTACTTGCTTCCACACCAATAGTATCACTTCATATTTTGTCTCCCCTTTGTCTATCGTTTTGTCCATCAATTTTAATTACAAGCCCGCAGCGTGGCTTAAAATTCTAGTTCTCGGGTGAAAAGTACCGGAAAAATTACACCACGTGCTTTTTACGTAATCAACGAAACGAGGCTTTACTATCGAGGATAACGAAAAAATACTCATGACGACAGCTGATCAATTAGAGGTGATCGCCCAACGATTGAGGCATCAATCAAGATAATATGACGACGCAATGCCTCTTGAGCTGACTAGGAGTGTAACAACACGCACGCTAGAAGCCCTGCGGTTAGGGCAATGTGCTAGTGTAAGTGCTACATATTTGTGAAATTTTTAGGAGGGGAGGAGGCTTTTATTCGAGTCAAGTGGATCTAAATGTTGGAGTTTTTTAGCCAACGCGCGTAGAAAGTTCAGCTTAAAGCTGATATCTCATTACGGAGGGAAAAAGCTCACACACAAGCACAATTTTCCCTCAAAGAGATACTCTGTTTGGAGAAACATTAGTTACGTCCATTTAGGAAGGCAACTGCAGACGCTTTTCGGCCGTGCTGGGCCAATCCTCAGTGCAGTGCAGCTTGTGTGAGAGCTTTTTCCCTCTGTAATGAGATATCAGCTTTAAGCTGAACTTTTTTGGCTAAAAAACTCCAACATCCCGTCTTGCGACCCGTGCGATCACCGCAATCGGTTTATCTAAATGTTAACAAAAAAATGTTTAGCCTTAGTCCTGAGAGCTGTGGAGACTCAGAAACCAAAGTTGCTATCAGAGATGCATATGCCTATACTGCCGTGCTCAAGAAAACGCCGTATGAACCTTTAGCCGTTGCAAAATTTCCTGGGATGAATCGGGATTTATTGGGAAAATTGTAAATAATTTTCGTCCATTTTGCGAGACAATTCTGTTCGCACTTTAATCTAAAATATCTGAAAATTTCGGTTTAAAAAATGTATACCCTTCTCCTAAAGTAAGTATTTAATCAGGGGAAATTTGGCAACATTCGAAGGGTCATACGGCGTTTTACCTTAATACGGCGGTATAAAAATGTTCCCTGCCTTATAAAAATTTTCTGAACTCAATTGAGCAGTCATCCCTTCGAGTTTCGTTATAAAAACAATCCGACATTCACCAATCCTCGAACGAAACTTACTCAGCTGTAAGCTTTGAACTTGAAACTTTCGTAAAGTTTTTCTCTTTCGTATTTACTTTTAACCATTACCTTCCGGCCCTCCTCTTCTTTTTTTCTCCTCTCTAATTCCAACTTAATTCTGCTCCCTTTCTCCATGTAGTTAGACTGAAGCTCGAACCGTTTCTTCCTCTCCAATTTCAATTTATGCCCACCACCTTTCCCTTTTTTAAGTTTTTAGTATTCAAACATACCTTGAATTTCTAGTTTTTTAGCGCCCTCCATGCTACAGTAACCTCAATTTTCCAGGTTCCTCATAGCGGCACCTTCCAGCCGAAGTATCACAAGTGACGTTTCAAAATTTCAACCGCCATTTTGTTTTTTTACAGAGAAATTTTTGGTTATATCTGTTTGAAAATTTCACTGAATTTTATCGGCAGCACAAAGAAAACTATATTCGGCGAAATTTTTGAACAGCATCGGTGAACAATTTCTCTTTAAAAAAATGAAAATGGCAGCGGAAATTTTGAAACGTCACACGGCGCTTGTGATACTTTGGGCGAAGGTGACGATAGGTCAACCCAGTTCAGTTTATTTAGAGTCAATAATCGGTGATTGATTTCGCTCGATCAGCTGAAACCAATACCTGTCTGTCAGTGATCGATGCTTCGTCAGGCATCCAATAAAAGTGCATACCAAATCCAAAAAGAAATTCGAGTTTCCCAGCACTCATATTGATTTGCACGAAATCTATCGAGACATATATCGATTCGTGGTGCTTCAATGTGCATCGCTGCACCAAATTCGGCCAGACGTTGTTTATATTGACAGGACATCGGTAGCACTGACCAGACGCAAATTGCGGAAAAATCATAACAAGGCGTGCGAATTTCCCAGAAAGTTGAATCGGCGATATTGGCCGAACTCGCGGGTATTTCGGGGCGGACGATCGGGTGTCAGACGTATGTTTCTTCCATTAACAAACATTTCATTGTGAAATTTTTGAATCACGTGTAATGAAGAGGATGAACTACCCAACTACCCGTGGTTTCTTTCTCTGTGCACGTGATCATCCATACACTCTAGTTCTTGATGAGCTCCGGTGACACCATCTATGCATCTATACTTTGTAGTACTGTTGAAAAATTCACGCTCATTTCCAAAACCATGTTACGTAACTGCTCACTTCTTCGCTGGGTATTCCTATCGAGATAATTCCGGTCAAGCTTGGATCTTCCGGGAAATATCTGATGTTGGCCAGTGGCCAGTTTTGAAATAAAAAATTCTACTGCGCATTGATTCTCAGAAGATTTCAGAGTCGATAAACGAAAAGTTTGTAAATTAATTCTGAATGGGTCAGCCGATTGTGTCTGATTTCTCGGATATGATTGAGTCCCATGGATGGAGGATGAGAAAACTTTCACTTTCGCGTATTTTGCGTTTGGGCCACTTTCGCACCCATGAGACAATTTCAGTTTCGCACACTTTTTGTGCACATTATATTTATAAAAATATGTATGCTATGTCAGAACACTTTGACAACAGAATGACTACTGTTTGATTGAATTTTGATCAAGATACTAAAAATTTGAGCAGTTCTAAAGAAAATTCAACAGAAAATATTTGGTCTTGTGACAACAATTGACGTATAAAAAAATATGATCGTACATATTGACAAACTATAATTAAACTACATGATTGCCTGTAGTTACATCGACGGTAAAATTACAAAAACGTGCCTCTCAGTTTACGAATTTCTGCCATGCTTTATTCTTTTATAGAGAAAAATACTTCATTTTTACGTGACTTTACCCCTCTGCATGAAAAACACTTTGCAAAAAATTTAAAACAGCAGTGTTGCTGCGTCCTCCTTCAATAAAACACAATGAAAGCCTTATTTTGAAACATCGCGAACGAGTAAGCGTTTTTGCAGTTTTTCTATCAATCAGTGGTGTGACGAGCTTTGCGATATATCGATTGATCTGCCATTTAAACCTATGGAAAAGGATAGACAAAGAGGGTGTTTACAACCAACACCTTAATAATCGATTCTTTACCATAGCTTCAAATGGGGAATTATCGATAATCTATAATTCACACCTCACCACTGCCATCAATTCGCTTCTAATTCAAGCCCCCCGTTTAATCAACTACATGTTGCGTCGCCGGCCGGCTCGATGATTCTAAACAAATGAAAGTTGTTCAACTTGACACTATAAAAACTATCAAATCTCAGACATTATTTTTATTACCCACAGATTTCGTTACTATTGTCGCTGCTCCGTTTCAGTTCAGTTTTGCGCATTCTTGTGAAAGTAATTGAATACCTCAACACTTTTATCATGTCTCGATCAATGACATTGCTTCGTTTTGTTGAGGCAAGTTTGTTTTATGCAGAGTACTTCTTCCCCATTAAAAACTTATCGCTGCAGAAATCACTTGCATCTCTTTACTTACTTTCATGCCTCATTAAGATGCCTAAAAGAACTAGACTTATTTGTTTTGAGCACGCAGAATGAAGAACCAGGGTAAAGATTCACAGATTACTTCAAGAGACGTTCATTGAAATTATTCGACGCAGATTGTAAAATTTGAAGTTGTAAAAACTTAAAATAAGAGGTTTTAGACTTTTTTAAACCCTCTGAATGTCTCGAAAAAAAGTGACAATCTAGGCAATATCAAGGATTAAAGCACGTAATAAGTTTTAACTATTTGTTACCGGAGAGTAATTAAATCAAAGAAGAGTGAATTTTTGTATTATTTTAGAAGTAGTATTCTACCGTTGAATCCCCGTTTATAACCATGGAAAAGTTTCGACCACAGACTCCTCTTTTTCGTGGACAACTCTTGATTCCAGGAGCGCATTGTGTGTGTGTGTACAGGCTTCACTGTTTGGGCTATTTTTCTGAGGAAAATCTACGAAGTTAAATTTTGACCTACGTCATCTGTCAGGTATTGATTTTGTAAAAATATGAGAAAATTACCGGATAAGTATCCTGAATGGCACACATTTATAACTTAAAATTTTGCCTTAAATTAAAGAGCTAGTGAGGTGACTCAATTCTCGTGAATCGTTGATGCGTGTTTTTTCAATGAATATCTGCCATCATTTTAAATGGCGAAAATTATGCAATTAATGTCCATACAGAAATTTTGAGCCGGAGGTAGCCTCGGTAAAAGGTCATGCAACGCTCGCAACGCTGTTGAGATCGCGCACCTTAGGTCTTTATAAGTCACTGACCTATCTTAACGCTCTGTTATAAATTTTTCCCGAACTAGTTTTGTATTTTCCGATGGAAATAACTCGACCTTTAAAAAATGCATTTTTTTCAAATCATATGGATCGCATTTAGCAAAAAGGAACCAGCGTGATTACATTGTTGTAAAAATCTTGTTTCTTCATAATTTTTCAAAAAGTGTCTCAAAATAGTACATAGCTTTTTCCGCCCACCATTATTGTAAAGGAAAATAAATGTATAAATTGTATTACTGCTCACATGTTTTTTTTTTTTTATTTTTAAAGAAAAGAAATAGAAGTTGCACAATTTTGAAAACACTGTAATCGCGCTGGTTCCTATTCGCTCAGTGCGAAATCACGTATCTCCGTTTGCGACGTTGTTGACTTCCTGTCATCCTTTATTTTTTGTAAAAAAAACTAGCAACGTAATTTCTTGAAAACTTCTCTGATTTTTCTTCTATGTTTGCACAATATTTCGCACAAATTTTAAGCTATTTGAAAAAAAATAAAGTAGGAGGACATTTTGAAACACCGCCATGGAAATACGCGGTTTCACACTCTAGCCATCCATAAGCTCCTTTACCGATGATGGCCTTAATTGGACTGAGTTAAACAGAAAGCAACCAACTCACATTTTGGAAAAAATTGAGTCATGAGTGGTTTTGAACTGAACCACTGCTCTACTATCTGTCGCCAAAAATTCAAAGTTTTTGTTGGAGAAAATTATGCAAAAATTGAACTTGAAGTTTATCTTTTACATTGAGTCTTATGCAGGAGCCAAACTTCAAACCTCTTTTTCTCGGTTCGATCCCGATGTGGCTTGGTTCCTTTCTGTTTAACTCCGTCCAATTATCACAGACATTATGAGACTTTCATTTCTTGAAAAAAAGGAAAAAATTACTCACCTATTAAATGAACTCGGCAATCAATGATATTACAGGGATGTGGGTAAAATATCACCGATAAAACGCAGTTTCCACAATCACTGTCACTTCTTCATCATATCAGCTAGTCTAAAAGGGGTGGGAATCGAAGCCGGAGCTTTCGCACTGGAATTACGGCTCGCGAATCTCAATTTGCGAATTTGATTTCGCGATTTTATCAGGTGAAGAAGAATATAAGGCGAGCCGAGTTGAGAATTTGAAGCGCCGAGCCGAACCGCTGCGGCCTGGGGAGCACGACCAAAGAGAGGCGACGGCCTTCGGCACACGCCGCGGTAGATTAAAGTTCCCCCACCGCTCGCCCATTGTTGTGCTTATGTTTTCGGCGCTAAGAGGGGGAGTGATTGACAGAGCTTTGCAGAACTTTGGCTTAATTATTCAGTGCTGTCGTGATTTTTTCGATTCAAACAGGAGGTGTGGACAGGATCGCGGTGCTTACGAACCAGCCGATGTCACACACTGGAGGAGTGAAATTCGGTGGTGGAATCTACATTAGTAAAAAAAAAAACCTCCTGGTTCAAGAGTGCAGTTTCTTGTCGCCGGATTTAAGAGTCTGGACTCTTGTTTCAATGCAAAATCCGCTTGAATCAATGTAAAATCCGCTTGAAACAAGAGTTCAAGACTCTTAAATTCGGCGACAAGAAACTGCACTCTTAAGTCAATTCAATGCGGCATTGGTCCAAGAGGTTTTTTTTACCAGTGTACGTCGCAGGCAAATAGTAAAATCAGGCATTTTGTCAAATGCCTAGGCAAAGAGTCAAATATTCTAACATAGATTGAAATTCTGATTCTTTCCCAAATTTCAGACAAAATGATTCATTGCTCCTGCAGAAAAAATTCTCAGTAAAAATTTGCACACATAATAGTGCTTTAAACAATTTTTAGCTCCTGATGAGACACTGATCTTGAAATTTTCAGCATGTCGTAATATACAGAAGTTTTGTAATTTCAACGTTTAAAAATATGAGAGGCAATTGAAAAGGAAGAGACAAGAAGAGTTCGTAGGTTTAATGAGTTATTTTTCCAAAAGGAGTGAAAAATCGTGAGCTCTTCGCCATAAATTCACAAAATTATGTAGGCCGTCAAAATTTGACTATCTGCCTAGGAATTTGACAAAATGCCTGATTTCACTATTTGCCTGCGACATCTATATCGTCACCTTCCGGAAAAAGTATCACACGCGCTATGCTACGTTTAAAAATTTCCGCCTCCATTTAATTTTTTACAGGGAAATCGCTGTCCGAAAATTTCACGGAATTTTTTTTTGTGCTGTCAATAAAAGTCCGTAAAATTTTTAAACAGATTCAAACAACAATCTCTCTATAAAAAAAACAAAATGGCGGCGGGAATTTTTAACCGTTGCATGGCGTTGGTGATACGTTTGCCGGAAAGTGAAGATATAGCGCCCAAAATCCCCGAGTAATATGATTGCGAAGTGAAATTAGGTCCATAAAAGAGTAGGACACTCCACAAAAAGAGTAGATTCAGCACCGTGATATTGCAGGGCACTCTGCAAGGAGAATAGATTCATATCAGTCGGAACTTTCGGGCGCTATGCAAACTCCGGCACAGAATTAAAATTGACGCTTAGTTCCTTTTAGCAGAAAAACGTCCCAAGAAATGAAGGCGCTTGCTGACTTGCCGCTTAGAATGAAACACAATGCGGGCCGTGCCGGTTGTCGGCACACGGACTTTATGTCCACTTTTTTTACGTCCACAGACTTTTCGTCCACAATTTTTACGTCCACAGTTCTAAAGCCCACACTATTGTTAAGTCCATTACTTAAACGTCCACTAAGTTAAGTCCACAAATGTAAAGTCCACTAAAATCAAATTCAAGCGTCATATTTTAGCGTATATTAAAAATGTGTGTAAAATTATATTGACAATATCGAAATGAGAAAATTAAGAGAGAATGAGGTGTTGCTATCGTAAATCATATTTTAAATGAAATGTTAATTTCTTCTTTTGATTCATCTTTTCAAATTGTCTTTGGTAAATACTTGGTTTCATTTCTATCCTTGAAATTTCCGATATAAAATATGCCTTAAATGTACATTCTTTTTTTTTTAATGAAATTGATTACTTCATTTTAAAAACATTTACATTTTTAAAACGTGGTGAATATTTGTAAAACCTTTTCCAAGCAATGGCATCGATATGAATCTCAATGAGCCGTAGTTGTGATGAAAGAAACTATACAAACATTAATATCAGAGGAAAAAAACTAAGAAGCACGCAATGTGTTGTTTTTAACTTATTTTTACATCGACCTCCTTGAGTCAAATACGTCCAATTTTGAGCGTTTAGTTGCGCTTTCACCACGCTGCAGCACAGTAAGAGCCCAACACATAAAAGCATACATTTGAATGCTTTGGTAATCATTAAATTTGACACGGATTATATTTACAAAAAACTTATTATATTTTCCAGTAGTACATATTTCTTTTTCATCAGTTTAAAAGGGAATAATCAATGCAGAGAGTGCAAACATTTCAAAATCATGAGTTGAAAAACGCTGACTCCGCGAGTTTAAATATTAGAGCTTAACGCAGAGCGGAGCGGCGTGTTAGCAGCGCAGAACGCGCACTGGCGCCTACAAACCTAACGGGATACTTCACGCATTGCGCAAAGCGTGAAGTATCCCGTTAGGTTTGTAGGCGCCTATGCGCTTGTCAGGCCGGTTGCCTGCCGCACCGCGACGCTGTAAGCAACTATTTCGCATCAAAGGCCACTAGTTAAACTAGTGTATAAATAACTAGTTAAAGAGGACTTTCAATTTCGACTGCATCTGTTACTGAAAAATGTTTAATTTGGCATTCGAGCGTTTCCCAGGCTCCTGCTTTGGTTTTCATCTTATCATATCCGTACAGTGTACAAATGAACACATGTTTTTATCTGCTCTTAGAGTTGGTTCTCTTCCATGACTTGATTCATGAATGAAATGTTTTTAAGAATGAAGGTAGTAGTAGTATGCATTTATTTTTGAGGTGGTTCCTGTCATTTAAATGAGAAGAAAAAAATGTGGACATAACATGTCCACAATTTGGACAATTTTGGACATATTCATGGTTGGACATTAAATCACGTGAGCTTAATAAAGACTGGACTTAACGTTTAGTGGACATTAATAGCGGTGGGCATTTATTTAATGGACGAAAGGTAGGTGGACATAAAGTCCTTGAAGCGCCGTGTCAAACACCTGCATGCAACTATTCGCACTCGGTGGATAACCGTGTTGCGTGTAAAATTTAGTGAAGGCGCTGGCTGATGTATCGCACACGACACGGTGCGTGTTATGCTAAATAATATACAGATTCTTCCTGCAGAAACTCAAGTCCCGTCTCACTTTTTCTCGTAAAAATGTATAATGAACATTATGGCTTGAGAGTAACCATTCACTTTAGTTTTATAATGTCACCGTTGACCATATACTGAGGCACTGCGGCATAGTCTTAAGGAGATGACCGACAGAGTATGAACCTCTTCCTTTTCCCCCAACAATCTAATATTTTTTCGCCAAAGAGATGTGAGTTTTTGCGGATTTTCCTGAATTTTTGGTCTCCGGAATCCCATTTGAAATGTTTCACCATGACTCTTACTCGTTCCTCCATGCTAAACCAGCTGTACCCCTGATGGACTTTTACCTATACTAGAAACTACGCTCTTCGAGAATTTCTGTAGCCTGTTTGCAGGTAGTCTGTGCGGCATCTATGTAATATTCTAATTATCACTCAAGGTGGGCATAGAACGCGACTTTTCAAGGGAGGAATTGTAAAGAAAATAAATAAATTGTGAAAAAAAGTCTTATTTTTAAAAAATAAATTTAGAAAATATTTGTACATTGTATTATGAAGAACATTTTTTAGAATCGCACCCAAATCCAAAGAAATGAGTTTCTCTCAAATTAGTAGATTATTGTGCATTTTTCAAACTTTCAATGGTTTCCAAAATTATTTAAGTTCGTTCAGGTCGTCACGTGGAAGTTTCTGTTATTGCGATTATTATGATAAATTCGACTTAAAAATTAGAGGACCTGCTTTCTTTGAGGAGACAGGACGATGAGTACATGCTAGACTATCACAATACGAACAATATCCAACTATGAACTAATGAAGTATTTGCTAGAAGTTGCGACTATTTCCTAGGATCTAGCATCGGAGCTGCAGCTGATCCTTAATGTTTTTTACGAAGCGCAATGAAATTCATCAATAGTCATGCATAATGACCTATGGGCTCATTTGGGCTATGTAGGCCCACGTTTACAGTGTTGCAACTTTACGTATAGTGAGCTTCACTAATTTTGAAGAAAATTAGTCGAAAATTCAAGACTATGTCTGACGAGGGTCTGAATCCTTGAACGTTTAAATGGATCTGGTTACCTTAATGTGTACATCGATCGAAATTATTTTAGTGAATTTACAATTTTAAAGGACACACTTGGAATGCACGCAATGCTTAAAATTAATTTATCACAAATCTTATTCATCAAATTTTAGGAAATACTTATAATATGATACATACATGGACAAAAGCAAAACAAAGATTTTTAAAAAATAATTTTAACAAAAAATACACAGAGGCTCTAAAATACACAGCTTTTAGACTACAATAAAATTACAGAGAGAGTGAGAGAATGTTCGGAGATGGGTAATACAGTATTACAAGCCCAGATTTTTTTCATCTTATTTTTGGTACCTTTTGCTCAGTTTTGCTCCCAATACACTGAGTATTAAAATAGTTTTGTATCAATTTTTTCCTACAAGTAAAAATTCTAAAATTATGTTCAGTATTTATTGTTGATCCACAGCCATATATTCACCAAAGTGTGTGAGTAAAGGAACTCACCTTCCAAAGGTCTTGAAAATAATGCAAAGCTTCAGCTCAAAAAAAGTCAAAAGTTGACCAAATAACTCATCCACTATTTCGTAGAGGTGTACCTGAATGGTCTGCTATCACATTTTCTTGTAAGAGAAGAGAAACTTTCTGGAAAATGTTTACAAGTACTTATTGAATTTCGACTCTCAGGATATTTTTGCGAGTGAACATGGATTATTTCACGGTGCAAAGTGTCAGCTATGTGTAATTTTAACGGTGGGTGAATTTCTCAGAAATTTCTTAAGATATGTTTTTAGAAAAAAATTGAAAGAAACCCCAATTAATATGGAGCTGAGGTTACCCAATATGTTGCTCTCGCATGGGGAAAGAAGTTAAACATTTTTAGTGTTAATGTTATAGAGAGGAACTGACGACTGAAGAACTAGCCGGAGATTATCAAACATGCTAGTACCAGACTCGCCATTATGGTACGTGTAGTAGTTTCGTTACTGTTCGGTACTACAATCACTGTCATGTTCTGCATCGTCATCAAATAGAAAAGCGGCAGGGTTGCACTGAAAAAAATTCTCGGCGTTTTTACCAAGGTCCGTTGGTACCTTTACCATCTCACTTTTTTACCAATTATCGGTAATTTTACCAAGACAGACTGGTAAGCTTACCTAAAAACCGGTATTTTTACTGTTTTTTCAGGTAAGAATACCACTTTTATTGGTAATCAATTCCCGGTAACTTTGCCATTTTATCTCGGTAATTCTACCATATAGTCGATAAAACATATTGGCGTTTTTACGAAGGTCCAGTAAAATTACCGAGAAAGTTCAATAATTTTACCGAGATTTATCGGTAAAATTACCAATTCCATAAATGGTAATTTTACCAAGAAAAAACTGGGATCAAATAGAACCCTGATTTCTTGGTAATTTTACCCTTTTCTTAGTAAATTCTTCGATATTTTTTTTGTCAGTGTGCGCTAACTGCTGTCGTTAAATCAAGACGCATTATTGAAACCACGCCCACCACTTTTTTTGACAGCTCTATACCAATTATTGAACCGGGATTCTGTTGTCATCGGTTTGACTTTTTCGTTTACGATCTGGGGAAGTTTCCGTGAATTTTCGTCGAGGAGCAGTTGGTCCTGATTGTTGGGATTTGGATGGAGGTTAGAGTCGCCGTTTTTAATCCTGTCTATCCGTTTTTGGGGGACAGCAGCAAGACCCAAAGCTTGAAGAGTGTAACTTACGGTGATCCCAACTGCAACAGTGACCGATATCGACATGGTCGCATACCATAGGTATGACACGCGGTGGAGGTATGGAATGTCATGCGAGCCTTCCATTATCAACCTGGAACCGGATGAAAGTTTTAAGAAACATAGCTTTACGAGAAACCAAAACTAGAGGGAACAATTTTTATTTTCCTGCAGAGAAATCGTACAGTTTTTGCCACAGCATTTGCGTTGGAATAGCATTCTCCTTAAATGAATAGACTCATTCTGAAAAGCTCTTTCGTGTGCAGAGATGCGATGTGTACCAGGTACGTTGTTTCTGAAAAAAAGCTTGCTCTTTTTTCAAAAAAGCAACCGAATTTCTTTTCAGTAAGTACATTGTATGAAAATTCTGCAATGTGGAGGGTTGACATTTTTTACACGTTTTTGTTTGGCGGCATTGCGCCAAATCCCTCCGGAAGAACTTCTAATAGCTCAGACATAGTAATGCCAAAATAACTCAAAAATGACCATTTTGGCCTTGTTTTCTTTCATTACTATAGCTTGATAGATTCTGTAAATTTTATTAATGAAAATTTTTATCATAAAAATCAAACCTACTTGTCGTGCGTAATCCCTCGTTTTTTATGTACTTCTATAATAGTGAGGAAAACCTATAAGTGTATCCGTCGCAGACAGTTAGCAATCGCCAGCAATTTGCCAATACGCGTGTTAACTCTTAGAATTACAATAATTCACGAGGACTTAAAAAAAAAAAAAAATCGGCTTGAAGCGCCTTTAAATCCGGAGATACTCTACGCTTTGTCAAGGGGTTAGTTTAGTTGCCTATCCGAATCAAACCCAACTATGGTCACCGATTTTACACGCACTCACTTGTATGCTAGCTGGTATCATGCACTCAAAAGGGGGGGGGGCGTCTGTTTCAATTCCAAACATAATGATTTGTACTTTCTATCTTGTTTTTTTACGTCTGAATTATTAAATTATTCCATTCAACAGTAATAGATTGCAATGTGCCGGTGATTGCTAATTGCCTGCGACGTGGGCAATACTCACTTTTCGGGAACGGAGATTAATGTGGAATTATCTGGACAGTCAACGACTGACGTTGCAATGGTCTGGAAGCTGGAGTCGCCCAATCTTTCTGCAGCCATGCTTCCCACTGTAACCCACGCCATGAATATCGTGCTACTCACCAGTCCAATGGTAGCCCCCTAAAGTAAACAAATCCAAGGTTTATATGAATTACTGAATTTCGGTTCGACTAAATAGAGGGATTGGTCAATTATGTTTTTTTACTTTCTCGCTCCCCTAGGGTAGAGGAAGTATTGTCATCCTGCAAGGGGGGGGGGGAGTTGAAATTTCATCATTTTTTTGTCGAATGTGTCATCTAATTTATCAGTGTGATCATTGTTTTGTCCATCGTATGATTATAATCGGTCTAATGAGTAAAAACAAGGAGCTTCTATGAAACTTTGATGCACATTATCTAAATGAATTGAATGTGTTATTGATTGATATTTAAAAATTCAATCATGCAAAGCAATTTTTTCTTTTCTTTTTTTCTTTAAGAAAAACTAGAGTGATCAGCGCATTGACGAGAAATAATTTTAAAAAAAATTAGAGGAAGAATATAAAATGGAGAAACACAAGAGAGTTTGCAATAAACAGAGACATCAACCTATGGACACATTCAAGAACTCCGTATGAAAGAAAAGGGAATCTGTCATAGCCTTGTGATCAAGTTGAGCTGGGGACTTGTTTGTCGTTTATTCGTCAAAAATGTTGAATCTACTATTATTCCGTTTTGCGAAGCATGTGTGCCTTTTCATGAACACATGCACCACTCAAATATTACATCAAGAATATTTACCCAAGTTTCGACCCTCGGAAAACACAGTCCGAGGACGAATATTCCAAACAGTGAACCAGCAAATGCGCCAGACAGAGAAATAGTTACCTGGAAAGGAGACAAAAGTGAGCAATTGACATACTTCGGTATTATATTGAATATTATTTTTAAGAAAATATGCAGTTTAGGTACATATGCTACGGTGTAATTAAAATAATCTCCATTTATTAATCACATTTAAAAGCAAAGTTTTGCAAAGACAGCATGAATATTTTGCACAGGGGAGAAAGTATGATACGTTCCAACAAAAGTGTTTCTACCTTTTGACACAGTAAATAGCACTGAAAGTGACTGCAAGCCTAGTAGAATTTACTATATTGCCATTAATAGCAGTGATTCTCTGATATCGACATAGTTAATACTACCGCAACCTTCTTTGATGGTATCACAGAGTAAAAATATAAGGTAGGTTTCCAGTAGGTTCTGCCTTCTTTTCATCTGATATTTTAAAATTGATATCAAGTCAAAATTCTAAAATTAAAAAACAAATTTTCAAAAAAATGTTCGTGGGAGTGCACAGATATCTAATGCGCTAGGAAAGTAACATATTCACTATTTAGACATATGTTGGCTATTGGGCCATATAGGAAAATAGGTAGATACGTACTTTTGCTAAAGTGCCCATGTAAGGGACCACGAAAACCAACAGATAAGAGAGGATGCCAAAACAAAAAGCCAATAATTTGACCACTGTCCCTGAATGTTTCTCGTCGATACCTGCTCTGAATTTCGTTCCTTCCATCTCCGCAAACCATATAGCTGCCAAAGAGTTCACGCCAGTTGCAACAGTGCTGCAAGAAAAACAAAATTAAGACGCACTGAAATCAAAGTAAGTGTGCCAAAAACCAATCCAAATTTAGAACCACTTGAAAGAGGATAATAATGCTGAAGGCGTTTTGAGAAAATTATGAATTAAATAATTTTTTACAGTATTTTTTTTTTCTTCCCTCTGACAAAATATTAAGATGGTCATGTTTAAAGATACACATACCTCAATCCAGCACTAAAGATTCCGGCTAAAAACAAGCCGGGAAAACCAGGAAATTCATTCAGAGTCTGCATCACGTACAGAGGAAATAGCTCATCTGGTGTGCTAACGACCTGAAACATAAACATTAATAATTTATTGCATTCGTCATTTTTCTTAAACATTTGTAGCTCCTATCAGGGCCGGATTTACCTACTTGCCGCCCCCTTCTCATTCGTTTTGAAACATCAATAAAAACCATCAAGTGAACGTGCCGGAGAGGGCGGGGTGCATAAGACACGTTTACCTACTCGCGTTGGTAGCAAAATTTCACGGAACTTTGCGCGAAAGTTAAGTTCCGTAAACCTATCTCTATGTGGACGAGGTCCTCCATTTATGAGAAATGAACCAAAAAATTATGAAAGAACAAACATGAATGTGGTTTAATAATTTTAACTTGCAGTGAAACAATGCGTGAAGTATTCCTGCAGTCTTATAGGGGCTATACGTTTCACGCCAACCGCTCCTGACCGCACTGTGTTTGACGCAATGGGTGAAGTATTCATGCAGTCTTGTAGGCGCTAACATGTGTTACATGCCGATCGCCGCGCCGAGGGCTTGTCTTTTTCATCTCACTCAAGTCGTCGTCATCATTCCTCTCTGCGTTGAGCTCCAGGCCAAATTGCTTCTTTAGTTCCTCTCTTCACTCTACTAATTAAAGATGCTATTTCTTGTATCACCGAAAAACGACAAAATTAGAAATTACTATATTCTCAGGAAAGAGAGATTTTGTCCCTTTTTCTCATGGATAATTTTTTTTCTGAATCCAATTTTTTTATACCTACATTAAAAAAAATTGCAAAATTTGCCGCCCCCTTAATTTGCCGCATGACCCGCAGCCCATGTGGCTACCCCCTTAATCCGGCCCTAGCTCCTATTGTTCGGAGTTTTTAAAACTCCATTGAGAAATTTTTGATAAAATACCGAAAGAGTTTTAGGTACATGACATGTGCTTATAAGACAGAAAATTTGCTCGATAAAATTATTTGCTTCTGAAGTAACCAAAAACGGAATTTGATACCTTTCTTACATGGACCACATTTTGCAATAGGGAACCATTATTTCTGGCTCATTTTAGAAACAATATATGAACCATCGGTTTCCGTATGCAGAAAGATGATTTCATGGAAAAGCCAGAGATTATGGCTCCTTATTGCAAAATTTAATCCATATGTTGATCGTGCACAACCATCTATCCATTTTATAGTTTACATTTGTAATAATATCGATGAATTAAATACCTAATTAGGAGGATGAAAATCTTGAGATTTTCCACACCTCCTCTCTAAAATGTATAACCACTGATGACAGTGAATTGTAATAAAAACGACCTTACTGGCATTATGTTAAGATCATACAGTTACGTAGTCCGTAACGGGCTATGTTGGTATCAATGTGTTGTCAGCATAGTATCAACATAGTATCAACATGATATCAACTTGGTCGAAGAGATCACCACGAAGCCAAAATGTTACCGTGTTGGTCGATAGCACGTTGAACTCAACATGGTACCACTTCGAAGAAGCTCAGGAGAGTTCACGATGATTCCTTGAAAAGAAATTCGCAGTTCTCAGGTTTCTCTATTTATATATTATGAAATTTGTTATAGCACTCACATGACTCTTTATTGGATCACAGTAGGCGTAATTAGCGAAGATCAGCATCCCTGTATAGACAGTCAGGAAAACAACGCAGGTCCATCCAACAGCATTGATCCACAACATCCTGAAAATGAAGTAAGAATAGGTATTAGAATAAATCCGACATAACAGAGAGACGGCACAGAAGAACTGTTCTTCTTTCCTCTCTTTGCATAACAGGCAGCGATGGGTCAGTTGATTTTTTATCACAAATTCATGTTTGGGGGGTTTTCGACGAATCTCATTCTATCTATTTTGACTTGGAGGGCACCATGATATATTCAGAATTAAATTCCATGTATGATTTACTATTTATTTGTACCCATATAGGTGGATAATGATTTGTTATCATATTAGAAATCATCCATATACTTATGTATTTCAATTTCATGAATTTCATTCATTATATTTTTATTTCAATTGCAATCATACGCAACGCAAATACTGTCATTACGTCATTGTTAAAAGGACTTACGTTTTGGTAAGTCTGGATAATTGTCTCATCTATTTAGATATGTCAGAATGCGGCTGGCTAACTAAAAAATCATTGATGAACTTACTTTCTGGCTTTTGCTGCTGAATTGACGACGAAGTAGCGCTGAATTTGGAGCTGGTTGCCACCGTAAAAAGTCACGTGGAGCACAGCAGAACCAACAAATGAGGACCATGCGTCGTATCGAACAGTCGGATCAAACGTCCAACTTGAAATGAGAAAAATGGCAGTTTGAAGGAAAAATAAAAAAGTATTAAATAATTAAAATTGATGAAAACGATCGAAAGAAACTGTGTCACAAGAGGCCCTCTATGGATTGTGTCGGTAGCGTTTCTTGAATTTTGACCTCCTCCTCATCCTCTTGTCTGGCGCCCCTCAGCCACCTCCAAAAAAATAACCCACTCTGAAAATTACGCAAAGCTAAACGTAAAACCTCCTAATTTTCCAATTGTGAGAAAGGCGGTAACAATTCAGCTATTGCTGCTTTTCCGGGTTTTCCCCTTGGTTTCTCGAATTTGTTGAACTTTTGTTTTCAGCATAATCGTGTCGGGTATGAACGCCCACTTTGAACTTCAAAATTAACCTTGTTAGTCCATCGTCTTTATTAATTAAAAATTTGAACAACTTATACCTTAAATTTATAGCATTACCGATATTGATTTTGCGTCATTGGTGCAGAATTCTGGATTTTACTGCGTGTTGAAATATTTTTAATTTGTTACAAAACTTGGTGTTGAATGAAACTCGAATGCAACTAACTCCTAAAGAAATAGATGTGGAATCTTAACAACATATGAAAACGTTTTTTCCCCTTTTTTGGGTTCAAACGGTTCAATTAACTCAGCTGAAAACTTTGAATGAGTAATCATTTTAATGTTGGTTTGAATGAACATACTCGAGGAAATTAGTTCTGTTGAACTCGGCATTTCTTTCCCAAACCGTAGACAGGCCACCGATGTCAATGGTACCCTTGACCAAAATAGCTATCATAGCAACGTACAGAATGACAATCTGAAATGAGTCGGTCCAAACCACTGCTTTCATTCCGCCCTATAATAAAGCAACAACATATGAAACAGCCTTTGAAAAAACAAACTAAAATTGGAAAAAAGGAGTCGTGGTGGGATACGGTACACATACGCGCGGGTAGTTTTTGTGTAGGTGCAAATAAATTATTTAATTTTCAATAATCCCAGTGAAAATTACGAGTTTACGCGTTATAATCAATAGCTTAAATCAATATTTTTTGCTGGGGTCAGTTTCAAGCATAGGCTAACTAGGCTGCGGCTCTGAAAGCGGGATTTTTGCGCCTTCAATTTCGACCGACGGCAATACGTATGACATCATTCATTGCCCTAATAGTTATCTCTTACAGCACAGCCATTTTGTCAAAATACTTTATGAGCGCTATCTTTCCGCACTGAGTAATGGACAAGGCGGGATAAAAGTTAAACTTCCAGAGAACATGTTCTCACGTCAAAATTTCTCGTCTTTGGTAAGGAAACATCTGTTGTGGCATTTAATTTTATAGCCCATCTAGTATTCCATTATATCCCTCTCATTTTTGATAGGCATTAAAGAGCCTAAATTTTTATTTATAGAGATGAATTTTTTTAATATAGTCAGTCATTAAGTTCATACAAAATGTTTTGCGTCAGGACACATTTAGAGGTTCATTGAAATGTGAGTGCAATTGTGACAAACAATTTAATTGATGCTGTCTCAAGTGCTTCATTTTATCGATGACGTTAGTTTATTATGGAAATTTATTAAATTATCAAGACTAGAAACAACTTCAGTAAAATAAATATCGCACTCTGATTTCTGATTTACATTGTCACAATATTATCTCATGATTGCCGTGTGGTATATATACTTCCACACATTGACGGCAAGTTCTAAAGGATGCGGAATAAGTCAAGGATTCAGCACATGAACACGTTATGCTTATGTTACATTCTTGGAAAAACTGACGCATTAAGCCATTCAAGTAGATGATCCAGTCTCAAAGTATTACATGCAAAAGACTACGAAGTTAATTTTAAGTTTCGCAGCTCTTTAGTCTAGCCGGTGTTTAAGCTATGAGTCCTCTTATAATTTTTAGACCCCTGAAAATGATTTACCAAAAAAGGGCATTAAAGGCAAACAATTTTTACTTACAATGGTTGTGTAGAAAATACAAACAAGATACATAGTTGTAACTACAAGCATAGTGTTCATTCCGGTCACTGAAAAAATACAGCAAAAAGTAAGTGCATTATTTTGATAGTCATCGCTGCTAATACTGATGGAAAATAACTTAATTATTCGGCTAAAGAATGTTATACGACTATGGTGGGGCTATGTTTTTAATGTGTTATTTTGACTTTTTGTTGGAAGCGCAATGCAGGTTGCACATATTGACATTTTATTGCCTCTGCGGTTACGATACATATGGGACGAAGAGAAAAAATTGATAAAAGGAAAAATGGAAGTGATACCAAACTTCCCTCCTCTCAGCCTAGAATGGCCAATATGCGAGGTTTCTTTTCATAATAATCAGAGAACGGAGATGAGTTAGTCATCCCATAGGTTTTTCACTCAAAAATCTTGCATGTAATTATTTAGACAATAATGCATTTAAATGAAGGAGTTGAAAGGAATCTCTGTATTTTTGTGAGAACAAGATGGATGCAATCGGAGGAATGTTCCTGACTAGCGATTGGACAACGTTTTGCAATTAGGAACCACAAATTCGGGTTCGGTTTGGAAACAACGTATTTACCATTATATTCCCTATACACATGAGTGTGTTTTCACGGATGAGCCAGAATTTACAGTTCCTAAATTCAAAATATTCTGTGAGCAGAATCAGTTCATAACTGCATTGTAAATTGCTAAATTTCCTATCAGTTTTTTTTCTTTTTTTTCTTCTTCTTCTTTTTCTGTGAACCAGGCAACATGAAGCTCTCTGTCGTATCAAAAATATTCGCACAAAATTTCAAGTCAGAATGTTGATTACATTTCTGTTGGATAACGTGAGAGGAAATTAGGCAACAATAACTCATGCAGATAGGCTGATTTTAATCGTACATCTATCCAATACATCTGCTCAGCTCATTCAGCAAAATTTGAAACAAAAATGTTCAAAAAAGTTACCTCTGTGCATGGCCAAAGCCGGTGCGTAAAGCACGAGTGCCAAGTATAAAATCTGAAAATAAAATTTTCCAAATATAAGTTTTCACATAGCAAAAAATGGATGAGATTACTTTGAATTAAACCATACATTTAATCCTAAAAGTAAATACTAGAAAAAAATAGAAGTTCCTGTATGAAACGATATGCAGAGCTGCTATATTTGCTTCGCAGACTTATGGAACAAACTTTGCGACTTAATTTAATACGTAAAACTTCCCTAAAAATAGGGTGAATTCATTGTGGAAGCTTCGATTATACATTAGAGTGGTAAATCAATCTTATATGGTCAATTCTTTTGGGAGTGATTTAAAATGAAACAGGATTCTAGATGTTCGACTTTGAAAAATTATCGGCTTATAATAAGCTTTTATACAAAATTCTTCATTAATTGAGTCCAAAGTTTCTGTTTCGGGCTGATTATACATTTCCCCGCAAAGTTCGATGAAATACACGCAACATCTACTGAAGATTCCGCCGCTCCTCAACGCAAGGTGCCTGGCTTGCTGGTTGCGTGCGTCGAGATTGAAGGCGATTTCAAGTGAAAATGGAATTCGCAAGGCCATCGTAATATTTTCTCAGAGCTATTGAGAGTGGTACGGATTAGAATGCATCGACGAGGCTCAGTTGAGTGCTAAAGTTGATGCGCTATTTTCAAATATTCATCTCGGAGTTCTACCTTGATTATTCGATTTTTAATTGTGTTTCTTAGATTTTACATTTAGATATTTTGATAAAGTTAAAATAAGACCTAATCCAACTTTTCATTGTATTGAAAGTATCAAAGGAAAGTCATCGAATCTAATGTGCAGCAATTGATGCAGGAAGTAAGAAGAAAAGTCCTGCTAATATTTTTCTCGACATTTTTCAAATCCTGAGGATATTTCTTTCTGTTACTTTTCAAGTAAATGTATGAAAAGAAAGTTACATTTACCATCTGAAAGCTGAATAAAACTGAAGTGAGCAACTGCAATTTTTTGCTGAAACGTTCGCCAAAATACTGAAACAATAAGAAGTGAATGAGGACATACACACGCAAAAAAAAATTCAACGTGGTGATATGAATTATATTTATAAACCATATTATTTTCAAAGTGTATAGTGCATCCTAAATCAACGATGAAGATTTAGTTGCCTTAAGACATTTGTAAAATGGAATTCTACCAATTCATTTCCCATCTACTTATATTAAGACTCAATACGAAATCTTTCACAGGGAATTGAAGGAGAAAATAATGTTAAAAGGTTAGTTAATCGATTTTAGGGATGACTTGGACCGCGTTTAGTAGAAAGGAGCCAAGCCACATCAGCTATCGCCAAATCTAACTGGGCCCTTTAATTTTTACCAGAGAACGTTTGTGCGGATTCCTTTGAAACTTTTAAGGAATTAGCGTCGTACCATGCAGAAACTTCACTGGATTTTGCAACAAAATTTGCACACTCGTTTTCATTGAAAAACTTAAATTGCCGAATTAAATTTGGCAGTAGCTGATGTGGCTTGACTCTTTTCTGCTTTACGCGGTAAATATGAAGCATCCACATATTTTTCTTTCACTTTCTTCTTCCCTTTGAAAGTCCGTAGACTTATAAAAGCAGTGAAGTAGTTCTATTCCATCCAGTGTTGTTTCGTGTCATAAGACCATAAATACTCAAGTAATCCTCCAATTCACTGCACTCGTCAAATTTTCTACTTTCTAAAGTCCACGTGATGGTGAACACAGTGGATGTCACAATTTTGCTCGTTCACAGCGTTTAACATCGCCTTGGTTGGCTCCAGTTATTTCTCTCACTGGAAAAAAAAAAACACATTGGATCTAGAGTCCAGACTCTTGAAAACATTGACAAGAAAAAAATGATTCAATCAGATTTTTGCTTAAATCAAAAGGAAATCCGCTCAAATTAAGAGGCTTGGTTCTTGATGTAAGCAAAAATCCGATTGAATCAAGAGTATTTTTTCTAGTCGATGTTTTTAAGAGTCTGGACATCCAATGTGTTTTTTTTTTCCAGTGCTTAATTATATGTCTGTAAAACGCAGAGTTTGATATCGTCTCTGATTTCGGAGTTTTACGTAACTCTTTAATGATCTATAATTTGACGGTTATCATCTTAGTAATAAAATCTAAAACTATTCTACAGAGTTTTTAAAAAACAAAAAAAAAGTATGTCATGTTATTTTGGTTATGCCTTCCGCATAGAGTTGGGCGCGAATAATTTGACAATTACTGAAATTGGTGCGTCTGCGCCAACACTGACTCCTCAGAATTCTTTACCTGGTAATATATATATCAATCGTCAAATTATTCGTTTAATTGACAATTATTGATCGGACGTTTCTGATTGACCATATAATATCCGAATAATTTTTTCCCAACTCTGCTCGTGGACGTGCTGTAGTTTCAAGAAATCTAATTGATTTAGGTTCTTAAAGTGAAAAAGGATTAATTTTTCTTTAGATTTTTACTTGATATGCAGAGGTGTACTTGTGTGAGAGGAAGAACGGAACCATGCGATAGCCAATAAACGGCACGACCAGAAACGCAGACGCCCCGAACATCCACAACTGTGGCCCGTATTGATACACCTCGGCGGGCTGGCCCATCAGAGTGATCGAGGACAAAAAGCTGTGGAAAAAAATCAACAAACAATAATATACACTGGAAAAAAAAAACACATTGGATCTAGAGTCCAGACTCTTGAAAACAGTGACAAGAAAAAATGCTCCTGATTCATTCGGATTTTTGCTTGAATCAAAACGAAAACCGCTTAAATTAAGAGGCTTCGTTCTTGATTTAAGCTAGATTCTGATTAAATCAAGATGACTTTTTCTTGTCGATGTTTTTAAGAGTGTGGACTCTAGATCCAATGTGTTTTTTTCCCGGTGTATCAGTATTTGGTGTCTGATAGACGAAATTCTGGAAGATGGAGCAAGAAGTAGTATCAAAAATTGTTTATTTTGTGGAGGTGTCTGAGCAACTTTGGCCATTCACACCTTAGAATCACGCTTCAAAGAAGGTTAAACAAGGTTCTCGATGTATTTGTGTTCGAGAGATCTACCGCGCCAACTTTCATGATTTTTATGGTTACTAATGGGAGGTAGTCCCTGTATGCGTTCCATAGTTACGTCTCTCCATTGTATTGCATCTACTTGTCTTCTGCGGTCGCTCCTACACATATCTGTCATTCATTCCCTTATTTTCCCTGTTTTCCTTTCCCCATTTCCCTATATGATTACGTTCTGTCCCTGGTTAATCCCTCTCTATTAAGATTCAGCCACATCTTAGAGGGTACGAGGCGCCCTCTGAGGTCTGAGCCGCATAGCAACCAGGAGGGGCCCTAATATGCCTAAAATTTTACCAGCAGATAAGGACAAGTTTTCAATTCATGCCCTCTGGCATCGTGAATAGGTGAACACTCACTGCCTTTGCAGATCCTTGAAAAAAAAAAAAATGATTCCCTCACTTACGTGTTATTCGAAAATGTCAAATCAATATGCAAAACAAACCTTAGGAATATGAGGACCAAAATGAGTCATACTTTTTTGCCTTTAGTACTGCTTTGATTCCGAAGAAAAAACCGGAAACCTCGGAGCGATCCGCTAATGGATCAAGCGACGAGCCTATGACGATGATAGGTGGTCTCATTAAAATTTTTAAAAAATTTCCGCGAGGGTGGTGTCATTCTAGCCACATTCCAAGAGAAGAGAACCCTAGTGTGCCACTAGGATTTACGATTTTAGGACTTTTCCTCGTTTGATCTATGAGAAACACGATCGGTTCCACACACACTGGTTTACCCTAAAACAAACTCCTGCGCTCAAAAAAGCTTTCAAAGTTGAGGCCGTAATAATGGGGTTGCCTACTTTATGGTAAGAGTCCACCTCTATGTCCAGTCAAACTCTCCTCACACAGATAGGGAACGAATACCGTAGCAGGGTTGCCGAGGCTTTAGCATTAAATCCCCCAAGAAAATTGACAATCCTGCTAATGTAGTTGCTCTCTATCTATAAACAGAATTCGACTTTTATCATGGCGGAGGCCATCTGCTTCATCATGACCATAATTTTGAGAGCCCCTCTGAGCTTGGGAGCTTGTCTCGGAGAAATCTAGTAGACAGTCGTGTTCTTCGCAAACCTTTATACAAGAAAATTACCTAAATCGCCTAAAAAAGTCGAAAGAGGGGTAATGAATGTCGCTCTCTCTCATAAATGAACGTATTTCTTTCAAACGGAACTAAGCGCCAAATTGAGTTCCTTTTGAGGATTTTAGAATCTCGGATAGCGCGTTCTGTTAAACGGAACTATAAACGTCATGGAATTACATTGCGAGTATAGGATGGAACGAGCATCGCGTTCCGCAACACCCGCCAATCCAAGCCCCCTCCCCTCTCCCTTCCTCCCCGTATGGCGCTCAGTTCCGTTTGATAGAAATACGTCCAATTGTCTATTTGAAATTGTTGAATCATCGAAAGTAAAAGTATCTGCGTGACGCCGAGAGGCCAATGAAAGGTTTTTGCTTATGTTCTAAGGTCATTAGGTCCAAGTAAATTATTTTTCTGCGGGAGAGGGGGTGGGCTCTTTGGTCTCCAATGACTGATTTTCAAAATGAGACTTTGAGCTCTTGAAGACAACAATACAAACACACTAAAATACAAAAAACAAATGGGTATACAAGGCTAGAGGAGACATAAAACAACCAGGACGTTTCGGGCCAATTACATGCCCATTCTCAACTGGAACCGAAGCTAAAAAATGTAAAAATTAAAACGAGAAAATGAGCATGCAACTGACCGAGGTAGGAATCAGTGCAAACTGAAAAACAGAGCAAAGATGGACAGAGGGGCACTATCACCTCCTTGATAGTAGGCCAACCTCTACACCCACCAAGGAGTATTTATAGAGGCTCTTCTCTACCACAGAAAAACTGATGATAGCTCTTGAAGACTAAAGAGGAGATTTAATTAAAATATGGGTAAATAAGGCTAAAAGATTATTAAAACACTAAAACACAGGACGTTTCGAGCTGTTACCAGCTCATTTTCAGCTGAGAAAAACCTAAAAACAAGTAAAAAATTGAGTGGCGACCTGACCCCAGCCGTTATCACGCAACCACTCTATCTTAATAATCTTTAGCTTTAGCTTTGGCTTTTTATCTTAATAATCTTGATAATCTTTTAGCCTTATTTACTCATATTTTAATTAAATCTCCTCTTTATTCGTATATTCGGGCTATGTTTTTGTGCTTTGCTCTTGAAGACTTGATACCTGATGTAAGAAAGATTCATACCTAGCGAGCATGGAGAGAGCAACAGGGATAGTGCCGAGCTTTCCTTCGGCGGTGAGGAACTCGTCGGACGTGACGTGCTTCTTCTTCTCCTTGCGGAAGAGGCCGCATCCGTGGTAGACGCCGATGAGCATGGAACACGTGAGCATCCCACCGAAGACGAGGTAGTCGGCCACCACGAACTGCGGCTGCACCTCCGCCCCCGGAACTGTCTCCATCGTCATCGTAACTGCCTCAGCTGCAATAACGCAACATGAACAGATTTAGAAATAACAAACTGATTGCAGTAGGAACACGAGTCATTTAGACAGAAAAAGTTGGTGACGTAGTCAACGTGCGTTAAAAATCATCATAAAGCTAAAAATCTCAATACAGAGGGAAGAAGGTCATACACGGAGGAAAAAACTTCGTGCGTGGGACCCGAAGTTTAGGTCGTATGAATCTCTGAAGTTTTCGGATTGAACATCTGAACACTTTAGCTGCTGAGGTTTGGATCACACATCTGAAACTTCAGTTCTTACATCTGAGGTACTTCGGTTTTCACATCCGAAAAACTTCGGTTCTCAGATCTGAAGAACTTCAGATGTAAGAACTGAAGTTTCAGATGTATAATCCGAACCTCGACAGCTAGACCTAAAGTGTTCAGATGCTCAATCCGAAAACTTCAGAGATCCATATGACCTAAACTTCGGGTCCCACGCACGAGGTTTTTTTCTCCGTGTATGAGCAGAATTTTCCCTCAAAAAGATGTGCTGCTTGGTGCCTTTGGTTGCCTTCCTGACTGGTCGTAACTAGTATTGCACCAAACAACACATCTCTTTGAGGGAAATTTTTGCTCATATGAGCTGTTTCCGTCTGTATCGAGATTTTCAGCTTGATGCTGATTTTTAATGCACGATGGCTACGTCACCGACTTTTTTGTCTAGATTTAGAAAAAACGGCAACGGTGTGCACATAAATTAATATCATCATGTTTTATTGGGATTACCTATGGTGTACGCGGTGGATATGTTGCAGGTTGCAGGCAATTAGCAATTGCTAGTAATTTGCGAGCCACAAGTAATGATAAACATGAAATCCAGAAATGAAGGAACAAGATTAGAGCACTAATTATTTTGCATTAAATGTGAAAAGACGCCTTTCCTTCCGTAAAAACATGGTAGTAACATGCACATTCACTGTTGGGAGAACATACGTAGTGAAAACCATGACCCTAGTTTGCTGAGTTAGGATCGGACAAGCAACTAAACTAACTCCGTGACAAAGCGTGGAGTATCGTAAAAATTGAAGGTGGAGTATCGTAAAACCTCCTAGCCGAGGTTGTGCTAGTCCGGGCCCAATCCAACCTTCATTATTATGCACAGTTTTGCGATTTATCGAAACAACATGTAAGCCGCTTGCAAACTGCCAGTAATTGCGAATTGCCCGCTAAATTGAGGGGCTTGGTGGTCAAGGCGCATAAGGTGCAGTGTTTGAAAGAATTGAGATATTCATGAACTCAACTAAAACTAGTTTGAAAGTATATGCTGTGAAAAATTCACCATTAAATTCCAACTTTAAAGCATCAAAAAGTGAATTTCAACCTCCTTTCCGCCATAAGGCTCCATGCAATTTTGAAACTTTAAACACGTATTTCTTGAAATAGCAAAAACTGCACTTATGCGCTTTGCACTCCAAGCCCCACAATATACCAATTCCGTTTATGTTAACTGGTGTTAAATAAAAGTAAAACGGAATATTCACGTCATACTGTATAGATACACCAGATACACAATTGAACAAGAGCCAAACCCCTAACATGCCGCGGGAAAGTCAGTCTCCACCCTCTTTTCTGAAGGCGCAGACCAACCACAGGCTCGCTGGTTCGCCCCAGCGGCGCACCCACCACCCTAAATCTGGTTTAGCTTCATCATAGGTAATCTACTTTACTTCTAATTAAAGCCAGACTGGGTTCCTCCTGGGAGAAAACTCAGGGGACGTCCAGGAAAGTAGATAGGTGGCATTCAAGATGAAATTACAACATGTCATTTACCGGATTACCTCTGGGTCGATAGACAAGAATGGCGATTCGGTGTCGCAGGGCGTCCGGACGCGCTGTAAAAGCAACTTGCATGTATGTATGTAAGATAAAACAGTCTCTTTGAAATGTTAATGTCCTGTAAATAATGAAAAATGATATCACTGACGAACACGGGGTGAATATGCCGTTCATTGAATTCAGGGTATCATTCCTCAAAACCGTCTAACACTGATTTACTATTTATGAACCAATACAAATTGCGTAGTCTCCGCTACCCTTTGCGTCAGATGCATCATACTTGACGCAAGTGTCTTCATTTGGCGTCGTTCTCCAATCTCATATCCATGTGGTTTCCGCCGAAAAAAAAACGAGCCAATTTGTTCTTTCCAGACCTGTCAAAATTTTCAGGTTATTGGCATTCTCAGACTTCCTTCCCTGACAGCGAGAACACTTTTACACGAACATGCGTGCGAACGGACGCACATCAATGACACACGCTCGCCCGCACACATTTTTTGTGCATTTTTTCTCCTCATTTTTTTGGGGTTAGGTGGCGTCGACAAGCGCATGCGAACCTGCCCTTTTACCTTTGACGTAGGGGCGCGAAAAACCTATTGCCGGGTACCAAAAATCCAAGGTCCTCTTGAAAAACTATGTCTAAGGTTCAAATCTAGTCATGATTTGTCATTAAGCCGGAAGGGGAAGAGAATGATTACCAAGCTCACGCCCTCGCTGAAGTGTTGCTGGAATTTTAATTAAAAATTATTATTTGAAAACGTTCTCAAATAGCTTAAATTGGTGTGTCATATGCACGGAATAAGAAAGTTTTGTTCTGCCTTTAAAAAATTTAGCTCACACTCAAAGGCAACATGTATTTTTTTGGATGCGCTGTTGCTAAAGCGTCAAAGGTGCCTGAGACAACAAGTAAAAACACTTTGAAACCCCTGAAAACTCCCCTGAAAATGAGCTACCTAATTTTATTATAGATAATTTTGGGTGATGTTTCCAGGAGTTTCAAAGTGTTTGTACTGTTGTTTCAGGTGCTTTTGACACTTAACTGACAGCGCGTCTAAAAAGTCACATTTTACTGTTGAACGTGAGCTAAGTTTTTCAAAGGTAGAAGAATACTTAATTTTTTCGCCTAGTACCCTTCCCAACCTTCTCTCTCCTCTGTAACTCTCGCTAACGATCGCGAAGGCTCTAATGCACCTTATGTTACGTAATTTAAAGATGGTCCATTGCTGATGGGCAAAGCAATTTGTTAATGAGAAGGAATTCATTATTTTTCGCCGATTCGTAGGAGTCAATCGACTATCACCACACAGTTCTATAATACGTTCAACTGACTAAAGCCATTCAACAGCAGCAGCTGTTGAATGGCTCAGCATATAAAACATATATCTCTTTGTAAATTGAGTTAAAGTCGAGGTAAACCGTTTTTATGGACACACGCAGCATGCATGCACTAACCTCCAGGAACATTATGTATGTCAGATCAGGGCCGGATTAAGGGGGTGGCCACATGGGCCGCGGCCCATGGCGGCAAATCTATAGGGGGCGGCAAATTTTGCAATTTTTTTAAGTGTATGTATTAAAAAAATCGGATTTAGAAAAACAATTATAAACGAGAGAAGGCGACAAAGTCTCTCATTTCCTGAGAGTATAGTAATTTATAATTTTGTCGTCTCTTAGTGATACAAGAGACAGCAACTTTAATTAGTCGAGTTAAGAGAGAAACCAAACACGCAATTTGGCGCGACGGCGCGACTTAGACACTTAGAGAGAAATGATGACGAGGACTTAAGATGAAAAGGAGAAGCCCTCGGCGCGGCGATCGGCATGTAACACATATTGGCGCCCACAAGATTGCACTAATACTTCACGCATTGCATTAAACACAGTGTGGTCATTGCGGTCAGCGTAAAACGGAGAGCGCCTACAAGACTGCGTGAATACTTCACGCATTGCGTCCAACACAGTGCGTTCAGCAGCGGTCGGCGAGAAAAGCATAGTGCCTACAAGACTGCAAGAACACTTCACGCATTGCGCCAATCACAGTGCGATCAGCATGGCGCGGCGGCGGAAGTTAAAATCATTAATCCGCATATATGTTTGTTCTTACATAATTTTTTCGTCCATTTCTTATGAATGGAAGGCCTCGTCTACGCAGAGATAGGTTTACGAAACTTAACTTTGGCGCAAAGTTCCGTGAACTTTTGCTAGTAGTGTTGATAAGGCTTTCTAAAAAAATGTGTTCAACACGAGTAAATGCGTCTTACGCACACCTCTCCCGCTAGCACGTTCACTTGATGGTTTTTATCGAGTTTCAAAACGAATGAGAAGGGGGCGGAAAAATACAGGCGGCCCATGGGCGGCAAGTAGATGAATCCGGCCCTGTGTCAGATGTAAGGAGCTGTGCAGATTTAGGAATAGAAGCCCTATTTTGCACGAAATATTTCATATGTATTAGATAAGATGCCCCCTGGCCGCTATGAGATCCAACCGCTACAAGAACCTCTTGACATTTGCAATTGGTCATGGTACAATGTAAAGATATGAGGAGCTTCAGCTCTTCTGAGGACTAGTATATGGATTACATTTTGCAATAAGGCACCACTATTTCTGGCCCATTTTAGGAACAACACACATGCCATTGGTTTCCCTGTGCAGATATGTGCTTTTATGAAAGAGTCAGAGATAGTGGTTTCTTATCGCAAAATGCAATCCATATCAACCTATAACTTAAAAAGGAGAGCATTTGGGGAGGCGCAGAGCCAATAGGCACCCTGTTGCCGCTATTCGGTATAATTATTGAAAAATCGGCACACCATGCAGAGCTGTTGGCATGTTTACCAAATCGCGGCAGCAAGCCGAAAATCTCGGCTTTCGCTGCCGAGTTTTTTGGGATACGGACATTGCCAAAAAAAAGTTTAACCGTGTATGAGGATGATACCATTATTTGCAAAGCACAGCTATTTTTGGCTTTGTTAAATTAAATTCGATACAATGACATAATTCCCCAGATCAAAGATACTATGCTCATTGTACGTACATTAACATACCCTTACACGACCTCTTTCCCCCGCAAGCTTGTAGACGCTGGTGCTTCATCTTAATGTCTTTGCGTAACGTACAAAACACAGTCGTGTCGTGTTTTGTTTGTTAAATGGATGATTTGAACATTGGATTTCTGAGTGACGCCCGCCCATTCTTCCCACCAGCAGTTGGTCCGACAAAAAAGCTCCTGGAATTACGCTAATCGATTGCAACATTTCGAATGCATTGTAATACATTACGGCACATACTCTCGGCTGATCTTGGTACCGTCCAAGGACAAGGTTAAAACTTGGTGGGTGTCTTAGCATTGAATTTCTGCAGCCGTGATCAGCGTAATTAGGTAATTTGAATGAAAATACGTTCGAAAGAGATCCCACAGAGGGATGCCGAAAAAACCTGCGCGTATGACAGCACTAAATACTCGACGGAATCCGATGGTGCAAAAGTGAAGAGGAACATTACATTAGCGAATGAAATCAATGAAAAATAATCAGAAGTGATATTAAATTAATTAAAACTGCCGGAAATGAGATTCACCTAGTTTTGCTGAATGTGAAAGTCTCCTTAAATTGAACATCAGTATTTCATAGAGATTTTTATGTGGTTTTCATTTATTCATCTTTTGAGTATCATTTTTTCAAAGCTCGTTTCTGCTTTTAGAAGTAGAATTGATTATAAAGGTGTTCGTTGCGAACACCCTGTTTATCGATCCTTTTCCATAGGTTTAAATGGCAGATCCATCGATAGATCGCAAAGCACGCCACGCCATTGCTGTCTGAACTCCGCTTCTGTTTTTCCTCAGATTTCACGGCATGGGTCTTTACACCAACGGAAAGAAACCATGTTGACACTTCAGTAATTTCGTTGTATAGTTTCGCACTTGAAAGATGAGGGATGGTAGAAGATTTTTAAAGTCGCTAAATGAGATACCTTGTTTTGTTTTTTCAGTCATATTGATAATATCCTTATTGAATAGCATTCTCAGGTCGAAATTTTTGTGAGGCAAAATATACGTTTTGTCTGAGAATCGCGATAGCACAAGAAATTAAACATAATAATGTTTACTATGAATGTTTATGAAAAGTTGACAACACTAAGTTTCAGCCACATTAATGTTTACACTTCCGAACTGTTCGTTTCCTCGTGATGAGGATGTCACATCGATGAAAATATTAGTTGTACTGGAGAAGAGATGGAGCCACACAAAAAAACTCGAGGGCTGGCAAAGTTCCAGTTGCCTCCATCCCTTTTCCATATTTTGTATTTTGAGAACCTGGAACTTGAGGTAGAGCCATGACACCTCTGAAATCTTGGCGCTCTTGGCTGTTGTTTGTTATTTCGATAAAGTTTACCCACAGGAGATGAACATGCTAAAATTACAGCCTCCATTACTTTCTTAATCTTAATATCTTAAGTTTTTTTTTTGGTGACCAATGTGTAAATTAACTTACGCATTTAGTAAATTAACACTCGTTGAAAATTTAAGAAAAGAAAAAGTATGAATGAGAAATTATTGTTCGTAATTTACATCTCAGTCGCTGAAAATTCGGCTTGCTCCCCAATTCTATAAGGAGAGACACGTAAAAATAGTGTTAGCAAGTATGTTGAAATTGGGCAATTGAAATACTTTACTTGATTTGACAACGCTGCTGTCAAAAAATCCTGAATATGTTTAAATCCTCAGTGACTTTGAAAGGAAAGTTTTAAAGGGGTACACCTACTTGCACCGAATGAAGTAAGTATCCATTCCTTACAGTCAGAGAAAGTTTAATCAAGACATCTGGATCAGAAATCCATCCTGTAGAAACTTATTTGAATTATATTTTTCCAGCAAAGGTACCATTGCGCCAAAAAGCCTCCGTAAGTGATGCTCGACATATAAAATGCCGAAATATGGCAAAAAATAATTATATCATGTGAAACAAGTTGTGTGACCAAGGCATTAGAAATTGTTACGCCAAATAAAAGTTAAGAAATTTTAAATTTTGGAGTTCATAAAACGTAGTTTCGAGGAACCGCTCCTCCAAGACTTATCGTTACTTCTTCCTCCTGCCTGCCCCCTAAAAATATTTGCTTCCAACTTGGTAAGGAGGGGTATCAGCAAGGGTCAAAATCGGCTGCATCCCAGAATCCCGAGATTTTTTTTATATTCTGCGGTTGACTATGGATATTTTTTCAAACATGATTCGGACGATACTCACATTTTACGGCCTCGAAAAAAAGGGCCAAACTTGGACCCAAAAATTAACGTTTTTCCAGTATCTTTCATCAACTGTTATGCTGAACTCTATGGTGATAGTTGATGATACATGACAGCTTTGGATACGTAATTAGCGACCACGTGAGATAGAAAATATGCATCGGTTGTTATGAGCACTGAATAAACGCGAATTGCAGCCGATATTGGCCTTCGGCGTCCGGATCCGAATTTGGGCTTCGGTTTTGAGGTCAAAAAATGTGAGTGCCGCCAAAAGATGCGTCGTCATCTAAAAACAAGGAAAAATTCTTTGGATGCTTGTTCACTACTTGTATCAGGACGCCGACTTGACGAATAAATCAATTTGAGAAACTGTATACTCGGTCCGCAACAACATATCCAAAACTTATCAACTGGTGCCTTTGGACTCAACATGTGGAACACAAAGTTATCATAGGAGCTTTCGTCGATTTTCGCATCAGGACCCAAAATTGAGCCTCCATTTTTGAGACTAAAACGAAAGTATCGCCCAAACCCAAACGTCTTCGTTTTTAGCTGTAACCTATTGTGAAACCTCGGGATTCTGGGATGGAGCCGATTTTTGCCCTCGTCTGTGCCCCTCATGGACATATTTTTAATCACCTATTCAACATAAAATACCTCCAGGCCTCTGCCTAGAGGACCTTTGAAAACCGAAAAATGTTCAAAACTATCTTTTACTCACCGGAAATTTATCACAGAAATTGGGATTCGTATCTTCACAAAAAAAATTTCACCGATTCAAGACGCAAATGTAATATGTGCTATGAAATGACCCGCGGCTCAGAAACACAGAGTACAGTTACCGAAATGAATAACACTAAAACTTCAATAGAGCCAGGTTGGCAAAAAACACAATTTTAGAGAATAACTTGGGAATTTCAACACGGGGATCTAAGAATCACTTCACTGTCGGTTAAATATACCTACGAGAAACTTTCTCGAAAATTTAAAATAAACCAAAGCGCCAAGATCGAAACACCGATGAGGCTGAAGGATTTGTTAAAACGCGAACTCTCTCGAAAATCAAAGAAAAAACAATAAATCCAAAGTGCCCCAAGATAAGAAACCGGTCAATGTTGTAGGGTTCGTTCAAACGGAAATTTTTCAAAACTTTAAAACGAGCCAAAGCCGCATGGGAAAGAGAGCCGATCAAGGATTTGGGATTCGCTCGAGTGCCGAAATCCACGAGCACTTCCCGACCGAAGGTGAACTTCCAAAAGGCCGCATTCCAAAATCCGACGAGTGCGTTCCGTTCATCAACTTCCCGCGTGCCGCGTCCTGTCCGGCGGTTCCGCGGATGTCACGATCAAGTTCGCGATGGCGAAGAGCAGGAGCTGGCGCGGGTGGGCGAGGATGGCCCCCGGTGGCGGGAACGAAAGGGGATCGAGGAGTCGAAGCCGAAGACACCGGGTTGCGTAACGCGGTAACGCGTTGAGGATGGCGAGCGTGGCGCTTCTGAGCGGCCGCCGGTGACCGCCGCCGATTTAATGACGCGTTATCAATCCCGCGCCGATGATACCCGTGACGGTTCGTTAGTTGTCGCTACCGAAAATAACGCCTCACCTGCGCCGCGCCGCCGCACACTGGATCGAGTCTATAGGAAAGGTCGGACAAAATTTGGAAACTTTGAAAGCCTCTAACTCCGTTTATACAAACGTTTAAGGTTCTAAAAGTGGTTTCATTGGTTTCCTCGCGAAATTCTCTTTAAGAAGCACCCCTTAAAATTTAAAATGTGACGAAATGAAAACCTAAATTTCCAGTTTTAATTAAAAATTTCCTGTCCGACCTCTCTAGTTGACTCGGTCCACTGTGCGCCGTGTGATGAGGCTGGGGTCGGACCGATGCTGCCGTGCTGCTAAGGAAGAACGCCGAATGAACATTCGAGAGACACATTTCCTCCGGTAAAATGATAATTGTTGAGGAAAGTTATGAACATTTTCCCTTGAAATTTTCAGGATATTTAGGTAAAATTGCGCGGTAAATTTGCAGAAAACTTGGAAGAGAAACATTCATAAATTCACTAGGAAATTCAAATTTCATCTAGGGCAGTTTGAAAACGCCTAAAGGTTCATACGGCGTTCTTCCTTAGCTCGGCAGGATGGTTGTGTCCGATGGATGCGCGACGGAGAGGACGGCCCTCAGTGGATCGAGTCAATATGAAAGGTCGGACAAAATTTGGAAACTTTAAAAGCCTACAACTCTGTGTAAACAAAATTTTCAGGTTCTAAAAGTGGTTTCATTGGTTTTATCGTAAAATTTTCCTCCGCCAACACCCCTTAAAATGTAAAATGTGACGAATTAAACATCAAAATTTGCAGTTTTAGTCAAAACTCTCATGTCCAATCTCTCTGATTGACTCGGATCCATTCTGTGGCCGTGCTGAGGAAGAACGCCGTCTGAACTTTCGAGAGCTGCCGAATTTCCTCAGATTAAATGTTAATTTTCAAGGAGAGTTTTGGATATTTTCTCTTAAAATTTCCAGGTCATTTAGATCTGATTACCGAACAAATTCTTGAAAAAATTCGAAGGAAAATAAAAATTTCATCGATAAACTCGCATGTGCGTGTATCGAAATCAGAGACCCAAGTTGAGCTTGGGTCAGATAGGCAACTGAACTAACTGCGTGACAGTGCGTAAAGTGTCACGGAGAAATGCAGGCGCTCCAAGGCGAGATCGTGGTTCCGAAGGCCTTTGCCGATAAAAATTTCATATCACCGGGTTGAACCTTTGAACAACTCAGATGGTATGAATGTGGAGTGGAAGCTTTTATTATCGGGGAATGATATACGGTGTGAAATCCGTCCGATGATTTTACGCCACCCTCATATCATTTAAGTTACTTGTCAGTTATGTATGTATGCTCCGGCATTCATGTGACTCCAATATTTCTAACTGTGTGAGGGAAGGGTGCTTATTGCAAAGTTTTCAACTTAACCACCTGCTGCACTCTTTGGCTGCATTACCGTAAAGAAGGTTGATAGGGAGAGGAGTTTTTTTTTCTTCTTCTTCTTTTTTTTTCATGTGAAATTATAAAAAAATATTGAATGCGTTTCATTACGTTGTCTAATTTTAGGTAAAACTCACGGCGCGGTCAGCAACTAAATCTCGCATCAACATCGCACGGCGACACGTGTGCGTTCTCTCGGCATGCATTTCCAGTCGCTGTCTCTGATTCCCCATGCAGTAATCGAGACACCTGCTAAACTAGCACGAATCGGAGATACTAAAAAAAAACAAGCAGTGAACTCCAACACAATGTGTTGATAAGGCGCGTCATTAACTCGCACATATCAACCCCTTTAGTTTTCATTTACAGAGATTTCAAAATAGGCAAACAGCATAAAAAGAGAATTCACGATCCAACACTGCGAGGTCAAAGACGCACCTTGACGAGACCGTGTATTGTGAAAGTAGAAAGCTATTCGATCGAATTTAAGTTTTTTGATCTGCCTCAAGCAAAATCTTATCAGATTCTTGAAGAAAAGTGCTACGGAATAATTTAAGCGAAGAAAGGAAAAATTCTGTCGAACTCCTAGAAGATAAAGTCGATTTAAAGGTATTTTGGGGCTAAAATACCCAAATCACCGGTAGTAAAAATCCCGTTATATTATTGAAAAGAAATTGACTCGATATAAATGCAATTGCATTAAATACGTCTTGATTTTGTTATTTTAAACGTCTTTCCATGCAAAGAAGTTCAACCATGTCGTTGCTTTATTCATTCATGAATTGAAAGTAAGCAATCTACATCCCGAAAATCTACTGATTTGCCGTAAAAAATTGCAGAAACTTGATATACCAGGTCGATGCACCCACTCGTTGAATTTACCAACCAATTTTGTGAGTGCA